AGGGCAGGGAACCCTCACTGCTCTTCGGACTGGAGAGGGAGGGGAGGAGAGTGGGGAGTGGGGGGAGGGGGAGGGAAAAGGGAGGCGGGGAGGAGGTGGAAATTTTTAATTAAAAAAAAATTTAATTAAAAAAAGTTGAATATTTAAATATCTTTTTAGTTTAGCTTTTTTCTGTTTTAATGAAAGCAATGTTTTAAATAGAAATAATCAATAAAAATGAAAAAAAAGACTAGACATGTCTCATAACAACAATCTTTCTTCTTATTCTAAACCTGGTTAAAAGCTTTACACATAGATCTTTACTACCGAGCGCAACCTCAGTGTAAAAGGAACCAGACCTATCTACTTGATTGATAGGTGAAATCTTAGCTTTTTAACACTTGTCCATTAATATATTTTGGTTTGGTAAAATAACTTTCTTTTAGACACAGAATAGACAAGAAAACAATCACAAGTGTATTATTTCTGACCCTTTTCTTCATTGATCATGTATATAGAGTATTGTATTTGCTTTTGAAATAGCTTCATGTTAAGATTTCATTGAATTTGAACTACTTTATACAAACATTAAATTGCAAGATGCAGTTTAAACAAAAAAGAAAAGAAAATTTCCACCTCCTCCCCTCCTTCCACTTCCCTCCCTCTCCAGTCCAAGGAGCAGTCAGGGTTCCCTACCCTATGGGAAGTCCAAGGTCCTCCCCACTCCCCCCAGGTCCAGGAAGGTGAGCATCCAAACAGACTAGGCTCCCACAAAGCCTGTCCATGCAGTAGAATCAAAACCCAGTGCCACTGTCCTTGGCTTCTCAGTCAGCCTCCAGCGTCAGCCACATTCAGAGAGTCCGGTTTGACCACATGGAACTAGCTCTTGTAGCCCAGGCTGTCCTCGAACTCACAGAGATCCGCCTGCCTCTGCCTTCCTCCTGAGTGCTGGAATTAAAGGTGTGCACCACCAGGGCCCAGTTTAGGAATGCTGTTTTTATGTATATAAAAGGTGTTATAAAGGAATCCATGGCTAAAGTTAGGGAAAAACTGGTTAGACAGGAAAAGGATCACAAGGCCAGTCAAGGGTGATTCAAATCCTGGTTTAATCCATAATCCTGGCACTCCTCCTTAATTTCCACCGTCACCACCCTGCTGCGCCCACTCCTTATTCTGGTTATGCTACTGACTTTCAGGCCTTGTATTTTTTTTTATTGGTTTTTATTAAGTTTTACATTTTTCTCTGCCCCCCTCTCTTCCTTTCCCCTCCCCTTCAACCCTCTCCCATGGGCCCTATGCTCCCAATTTACTCAAGAGATCTTGTCTTTCTCTACTTCCCTTGTAGATTAGATCCATGTATGTCTCTCTTAGAGTCCTCATTGTTGTCTAAATTCTCTAGGATTGTGATTTGTAGGCTAGTTTTCTTTGCTTTATGTTTAAAAACCACTTATGAATGAGTACATTGGGCCTTGTATTTTAAACAAATTAATATAGTTTGTAAAAGAGAGACTGGGGGAAATTCAAATCCAGTATCAGTTCCTCCCCCAGGAGCCTGGGGAAACCATAGAGCTTGAGAGAATCCCATGATGGGAACTCTCAGGAACCAGACCCCATCTTAAAGATGGGACTTCTTTTATTGTACTCTGTGTAGCTTTGGAGCCTGTCCTGGAACTCGCTCTGTAGACTGGGCTGGCCTCAAATCACAGAGATCTACCTGCCTCCAAGTGCTGGGATTAAAGGCAGATATCTCTTAAGGCAAATGATGACCTAGAACTGACCGAATGTGCTGCAAAGGCCGATTAAGGTGTGAGATAGTAAAATTTAACGAGGACCAGATGTCTCCGAAAACCTGCCCTGGCAGAAACCTTGTCAGTGATTTGTTTCTTTGTTAGGGTTTTTGAGCCCAAAAACTGACCAATGGTTTCAGAAATTTTCTTATTCTGTATTCCCACGGCCCAATCCTAAATCATAGAGATATGTACTTCCTTAACTGCAGCACTTCCCCCTTATTTTTTAAAAAAGAAAACAAAATTTTTTCATTTTACATACTAACTCCAGTTCCCACTCTCTCCCCTCCTCTCGTTCCCTCCACCTTTCCCCCACTCCACCCCCCATCCACTCTCCAGAAGGCACACTGCTCCAAGGAAGGACCAAGGCCCTCCCCATTATATCCAAGTTGAGCAAGGTATTCATCCAAAGAGAACGGGTTCCAAAAAGCCAGTACAAGCAGCAGGGACAAATCCTGGTCTTACTGCCAGTGGCCCCAGTCTACCCCAGTCATACAACTGTCACCCACATTCAGAGGGTCTAGCTTGGTCCTATGCTGGTTCCTTCCCTGTCTGGCCAGAGTTGGTGAGCTCCCATTAGCTCAGGTAAGCCATTTTCAGTGGGTGTACCCATCATGATCTTGACCTCTTCGCTCATGTCCTCACTCCTCTGAAGTAATAAGGGCGGCGGCGGGTCTGCATCCCCAACACCCCAGCCGCCTGCCCGGCTAGCTTATGCCCCGAAATAATTACACAGACACTGTATTCTTTTAATCACTGCTTGGCCCTTTAGCCCTAGCCCTTACTGGCTAATCCTGTTATCCCGATCAACCCATCTCTAATAATCTGTGAGAACCAGTCTTACCGGGAAGATTCTAGCCTAGTCCATCCTGGGTCGGAGCTTCATAGCGTGCGTCTGCCCAGGAGCCAGGAGCATGGCATCTCTCCCAGGCGTCTACTCCCGAGAGCAGAGCTGTGGAGTCTGACCTCACTTCCTCTTCCTCCCAGCGTTTTGTTCTGTTTACTCCACCTACCTATGTCCTAACCAATAAAATGGGCCATGGCAGTGCCTTTATTAGCCAATGACCTTCCTCCATCACTCTTCAACTTCCTCCACTACTCTTCAACTGGATATTTTGATTGAGGTAGCCATTATGGGGCTAGCAAGAAACCTGGCACTAGAGAAATGCCCAGGAATCCACAAGGATGACTCCAGATAAGACCCTAAGCAATGATGGAGAGGGTGCCTGAACTGGCCTTGCCCTGTAGTCAAATTTGACGACTATCTTAAATGTCACCATTTGATGTGGAGACAAGGGCAGAGACCTGCAGCAGAGCACCAGGCTGAGCTCCTACAGCACTTCCCCTTTAAAAGCTGATCTCTTCCTGAGCTGGTGGCCGACCCTACTGCCTTCTTACCCATTGTGTTGGTGTGCTGGAGGCTTGTAAATAAAGACCCTTTTACATTTACATTGGAAACTGGCTTCATAGATTTATTTTGGGGTTCCAAAATGTGGGCACAACAGTACGTGAATCCTAAATATTGGGCTCTGAGTTATTTATACTGTTAACTTTTGCTTTGCTCAGAATGTGACTGTGCTCTGGTTCTTCCATCTTGAAGTAAAAAAGTGCTTTTGCAGAAGCCCACAGTTAAAAGAGATTTTAAAGCTTTCTTAAAAAGAGATCTTGGAGTTTTACAGAGAATTTGGATTTTGTTGTTGCTGTTGTTATTGTCTTGTTTTTTTTTTTGTTTTTTGTTTTGTTTTCTATTTTATTTTATTTTTTTTAGAGAGCCACATGCATCAAACTTGGTAGGTAGTCACAGATTTCTCTGTGCACCTCTGGCTGTCCTGGAACTCCCTCAGTAGACCAGGCTGGCATCCACCTCACAAAGATCTGCCTGCCTCTGCCTCCCTCCGATGGGCTTAAGGGTGCACTACCACCGCCTATTGAGACTGCTTATTTTTGAAGAGACAACTTTTAACGGGTTTTAATTTGTAAGGCTGTGGGAATTTCTAAGTCTGTAAAATATCTTATATTGTGATATCTTTATTAACGTGTTCATCTTAAGGATGAACAGTGATGCGTTTGTGTGTCGAGTTGACAAGAAGTCAACTGTACTGGCTGGTTTTATGTTTACTTGACACAAGCTAGAGGCATCAAAAAGGGAGCCCTCAAATTAAAAAAAAAAATGGATCCATAAGATCCAGCTGTGCATTTTCATTATTGATAGGGGAAGGCTTAGCACATTGTGGGTGGGGCGATCTCTGGGCTGGTGGATCTGGATTCTATAAGCAGGCTCATCTGTGGATGGTGGTGGCACACACCTTTAACACCACACTAGAGAGGCAGAGGTAGGTGGATCTTTGTGAATTCAGGGCCAGCCTGGTCTACAGAGCGAGTTCCAGAACAACCAAGGCTACCTCCATAGTCTCTACCATAAGTTCCTGCCATTTGAGTTCCTGTCCTACTTCCTTTGATGAACAATGTTATAAGCCAAACAAACCCTTTCCTCCCTAAGGTGCTTTGGTCATGAGAGTCAACACAGCAATAGAAACCCTAAAACACCTTATCACCAATGCTATGTAGGTGGTAGTGGGGCCAGTGCCATTTAAAGCCAGAACCTCTCCTCCTGCCTCTTGCAATTGACTCTCCAGCCAAACCTGACTGAATACTAGAAGGGACATCCCCAATTCATACCGATGGCTGGTGTGCATGGGTGCCAAACCAGAATGGGCAGGTAGCAGCAATACGAATGAAAATAAGCACCATGTGACTGGCAAAGGAACCATACGGATAACAATATGGGAACTTTGGTCAGTAACAACCTATACTGACAGTTGGGCCTGACTTTATGATGACCCAGTGGTAAAGGAAAAGCCATCAGGTGATTGGGCAACCACTTTAAGGGCAACAGTGGGCAGGAGAAAATTAAGAGCTGGAGTCCCTGGTAGTTTATGTACAACATCTACCTTCTGAGACCCCCAGGGAAATGAGAAACATACCTTTACCAAGGCAAGAGCCACAGGAGCCAGCAGAGGATGGGATGGAAAATACCAAATGCTGGCATACTGGTAAAACCCTCCAACATTCAGCACGCTATCCAGTCCTGTGAGGCTTGCTCCCAGTTTTGGCCCCTGTGCATAGATGCAATGGCAGAATCCATGTGTGAGATCTGCCTGATAAGGGACTGCCAGTCAGTGAGTGTGTATGTCCTCACTTGTGTAGACACCACCACAGGCCTTTCCCTGCAAGCAAGCAACATGTGAGGTGGCCCAAAAGAGCCTGACCCAACTAGATGTTATACACATTGCCCACAGAGAACTAAGCACAGAGAGGGACGACTCACAACTGTAGTCACTAACATGGGGTAGCTGCCTTCCAGGAGACTCCTCTGTCTCCTCCTGGGCAGCTTGCTCACTCCCATACCTTCCGTTCTATGTGATCCACAGAAGCTTGGCCTCAGGAAGTTCTGGGCATCCCACAGAGCTTCCAGGGTCCTCTTGCTGATCCCAACCATCTCACCCTCATAGCTCAGTTCCACCTGTGGAGTACCACCAAGTCCACATTCCAAACAGAGCTTGAATAATGGGGTAATTTAGAGAAATGGTGTGGCCAGCAGAAATGCCCTCAGGCAGGAACCAGAATGACTGGAGGAGAGCAAAAATGTGGCTAAGGCAATGACATATGGAAGCCAGTCCTGTGTTCCCAAATCTGCACATGACAAACAAATCCACCCACCATCATTTCTGTCAAAGCCTTACAAGTCATGCACAGTAGGGCCTACTGGCCAATCCCTTGCAAATGGGTTCACACAGATTCCAAACAGCCAAACTGGGAGTAGAAACAGGACAGTATACTCATCTGCTTGAATCACTACAGATCCGAGACATCTCTTTGAACAACCTTCAGATGAAACTGATAGAAACTAGACTCTCTAGTGGTAAAGAGCAAGTAGACTTACAGCAGCCCAGAAGATTGGGGCAGATCTGTGTCCCCAGGACACCACTTGGGTACCCTGCCTCACATGAGTCTAAACTAAGCACAGATGGATATAGCAGGGCTGCCCTATTACAAAATGGGCCCAGTGCTCCTGTGCCACCTTCCCAGGATCCCTGTGGAAGTATCCAAGCCCTCTGTCCTGTCCTCCAGGCTACAAGAAAGGCAGAGGACTCTGGCAGACCCTGCCTGCCTAGCAGGGAAGAAACTTGGCCCAAAGATTCCAACTCTGCCCAAGACCCGACTGGCCAGATATACTCCCTTTAAAAAAAAAAAAAAAAAAAAACATTTATTTGAACGCAGACATGGTGGTGGACCTTGTACCTCAGCACCAGGGAAGCTGAGCCAGGGGGACCACAAGTTACAGGCCAGCCTGGGTTACAAAGTGAGTCTGTTTCAGACACAAAAAGAAAATTCTTAGGAGATGAGGCCAGGTCAGGTGAGAGTGAAGAACTGGGTGCAGAGGTGATCCTGTCGGCCCAGCAGGCCTTTGGATGGGATAAACCCCAGGGGCACTGACCCAGGTGCCTTCTTCTTCAGGTCCTGCTCAAAGATCTGCAAAGGACAGACAATGGGTGGCATTGGGCTGGATGCAGTAGTCCCCGTGGCCTGCACCCCAACAGCCCTGTGCACAGCTCTCACCTCATAAGCAGTAAGTTCCAGGAGTGGCGCAATGCTGACCTCAGGGACAGATAGCACCTGGTTGATGACCCCGGCAGCTCTGGATACCTCAGGATGGTAGTGCTGCTGAAGAGTCTAGGAGCAAGTTAGAGTGATGTCAGAAACCTCATGACATAGCAGCAGGGCCTTAGAATGGAGCTTGAAGCCCTGAGCCAGTGTGGGGTCACCAGCAACCGAGTATCTTAGCATACGCTGGCATGGTGCCCTGTGTGACCAAGATCTCTAGGGGCTGCTGGAGATGTGTCAGTGGAGACTCAAATGCCTTCTAGAAGCTGGACAGGCAGATGACTCACCTGCAGCTCCCACAAGCAGCTCTCCAAGGCATGGCTCCTGGCTGAGTCCTTCTCTACTGGGTCATATGGATCAGCATCTAGCTCTACAAACAGGATCAAGATTCCATTTGCCACCTGGCCTTTTGGACCACAGGAGCCACGGTGTGCCATGATGCCCAGCTACTCACACTCACCAATGTCCTGTGGACGATGCACCATAACTCGGCAGGCAGAGTGTCTATGCAACAGGTTGCAGATAAAGGGCAGGACCATAAGAAGGGCCTCAGGAGGTGTTGTTAAGGCCAGCCGGGCCAGGCGTTTGGCAAAGGCAGCCATCAGGTAGGCGGGGAGGTGGCTGGGAGGGAAACAGGTATGAGAAAACAGGTCCCCAAACATCCTTCCACTGCCTCCCTAACCAGAACTATAGCCCCCACAGACCATGGAGCTGGATATTCCCAAAACTCACGAGGAGGAAAGGAAGAGGTCGGCCAAGTGAAAGAACCGGGCTCGGTACTTGACGTGAAAGATGGATGGATCCAGGAGGCCATAGAGCTTTTGATAGAAATCAGGGTATTCCCTGAGGGAGGGAGCAGAGAGGACACAGGAGGTGAACTGGTTAAAGGGACAGAACCCCCCAGGTAAGCAAGGCTCCTCCTCTTGCACCTCTTCTGCATTAACCTCCCAGGTGAGCAACAAAGGCCTTTGAGAGAAAACTAGACAGCAGACCAGAGTGGTCCTATTTGGTACTCACAGGTTATGCTTATGGATTAGGATGAAAAGCCCATTCAAGGCCAGGAGGCTGATGGCACCACCTGCAGAAACACAGGAAGACGTGAGGCTACCTACACCTTGCTCACCCTGGGCCTGAGTAGGTAAGGGAGGAGTGGGCATAGATGCAGGTGGCCAGCCTATAGAGAGACTGACTACCTACGGTCACATGCAGGAAGGTTATGGGAGTTTAGCTCAGATCTGTCAGGCAGGAGATGGCAGCTGGGCCCATGCACAGTGAGTGCCCCTTGTCGAATAACCTAAGTGGAAGTCCCACTCACCCACATCACAAGCGCTTGTGAGGAAGTCAATCATGAGGGTGGGCTGAGCCAGGTGGGGCAGGATGGAGTCATGCATAGCCACTAGTACCTTCTTGTAGAGGCTGAGGGGCAGCTGTAGAGATCATGGCAGTCACGGAGCTGCTTCCCTTGCCCCCACTGCCCACAATAAAACCAGGGGCTTCACCCACCACACTCTACCTTATGTTTAAGGAACCCAAGCCACATCTCCTGGAAAGCTTTTCTGTGCTCCTTCAACGGGACCAGGCAATGTGTGTATCCTGATAAACCCCAGACCCACCCAGTCCTTCTGTAGTCAACTGTGGGCCTTTGACCCTGAAAGACCCAGGCCAGTCTGTGATGCCAAGTCTCAGCACAAGGAGAGACAAAGAACAGAGGGGCACAGGATTCAGGTCTGAAGCTGGTTATAGTAATACATAAAAGTGGCATCACTTGAGACAATGGAGTACATGCTATTACCTATAACTGCCCAGAGAGGAGGCCATGCCAAGGAAGGTCTTCAGTCTCTGAAAGCATCTCACCTTCAAGTGAATGACCTTCCACTTGTCTGACATCTCTGAAATCACAGCAAAAAGGGGAAGACAATGGCTAGCCAGGCTGAGAGGCCTGGATCTCTCCAGGAGCCCTCCTACCAGGGTCAGGCTCCAGTGGGCCTTAACCTGCTCAGAACTCACGTGTGTGCTTCACAGAGAACTTGGTAAGGTCATGCTCTTAGAGGGGCAGGTTCACAGCAGACAGCAACATGAAGGCATTGTTCCAGAAGGTGGGTGACACCTGCAGAAAGCCTAGCCTGAGCAATTGTCCAGGCTGCTGCCATCTACTTGCCTCCCTGAGGCACTACGGCATAGGATGGTGATGGAACCCAGCTTTTTACCTCAGATTGCTGGCTGGTGGCTTGGGCTACAGTGCTTGTGGCCGCCTGCATTGTGTGGTACCGAATATCATCATATTCCAAGTATTCGCAGAACTGGGAGATAAGCAGGCTGTGGTCATCCTCGGATGTGAGCAGGCCTCCTACCACTGCCTGGGGAGAAAGACAGGGTGAATGACTCTCTTCCACAAAATGGTCCTAGCATGGTCAAGAAGGATGTCACCATCCATCAAGCTCCACACCACCAGGCCGTCTGCCATTTCCTCTCCAATTCACAAGACAGAATATAGTGATATTTCATTTGCATTTCAATAAAGTTTGCCTGGAGATCAGAGAGTAAAACATCCCCACTGGTCAGCCTTACAGACTAGACAGTGGTGACACATACCTTTAGTCCTAGAAGCTATATTAGTTTGCCATCCAAACTGGTCGGAAGTAGTGCACATCTTTAGTTCCAGCACTAGAGAGGAATATAGGAGGCGAGGAGACAGCTCTCAGTCTCGTTCTGAGGATTCCTGGAGGCAGCATCACCATTTCAGAATGAGGTAGAGGTAAAAGCCAGTGGCTGGCTATTTTGCTTTTATGAACTTCAGGCTGAATGCCAATATCTGTCTCTGGGTTTTTATTAACTGTGCTACAACAGAGACCTGTAAGCAGTAAGCCTTGCTTAGTTCCCAGGTCAAAGCAAGACAGGAACATAATATGTCCCAGCTATCTGTTCAGGAAACTAACTCACGAAACCATCTTAGGCTTGGCCACCACAGTCTTCCAGATCCCACTAAGGCCTTACCCTGAAGAGTGGGCGGGGGAAGAGGTAGTAACTTTCCCACTGGGGCTTCTCCAGGGGTTTCGCTCCTTCCAGCTGCACAAACTTCATGAGTGTCTTGAGGGCCAGCTCCTGGGAAGCAGAGAAAGAGTAACCATGATGTCCCCATCTAGATGGCCTCCCAGAGTTCACCTAGCCTCAGGGTCGCTCCCAAACAGGCTTTGGCCAGGGTCAAGAAGTAGGAGAGAAAGGAGACCACATCTTACCTTGCTCCGTGTTACATGTATGTGATGATGGTGACAGTGACATGCTCTTGTTGACTTGGGACAGAACTTATAACAGAAGTTGGCCTGAGGCAAGCTGGGCTTGCAGGGGAAGCCACCTAACTGCTCTCTCATCAAGCAATTTTGGAGATACCACACCAAACATGACAATATGCAAAGCAGATACGGTGCCCAGAACTAGGGTTACAGACACCACATCTTCAGAGCCAGATAAATCATACCACAAATACCATACCGTAAATCTTTGTGGAAGAAAAAAGAGCAATGAAGACATGTAACTTCTCTTAAACAGGAAGAGAGGTGTTCACAAAAGCAGCCCCTACACCTGTGCTTTAGAGAAGCTGGGCCAAGGACTTCAAGACTCACCTTGACTTGGAAGGAGGGATAGGTCAGGAGCTCCTCCAGGCGATTACAGCAGCTGTGATAGCGGTGTCGCATCCAAACTTTGTATTTGTGTGTGGCTCCCTGGGATCCTGAGAACATAGGAGAGCTAACTCCCACTGATGTTTGTGTCCCATCCCACCTTCCCAAGGTCTCCCATCTTCAGTTGTGAACCTATATCCAGACCAGGCCTTGGAAAAGACCATTTCTGATCTCTGCAAACTGGGACTAGATATTAAAATACAGTTCTTCTCACTTTGCCTCAAGATCTGGATCTCCCAAACACTAGGGCAGTGACAGCACCAAACTTTGAAGTGGCACAATTAAAACCCCGGGGGAAAAAGTTGCTAGTATACGAGTTCGTGTAGGCCTGGCAAGTACACGGATCTCACTTTCTGAGCCACAATGGACTGAGTCCTTCTACAGGGCCCAGGCTTGGCGTGTTCTTCCTGGTGTCATTTAAGAAGGCGGGTCCCGTTGGGGCGGCCTGGAGGACAGCACCCCAGCCCCTCCAGGTCACTTTACCTGCCAGGACCCCGTCCTCGCGTGGCAGCGAGCCCACGAAGAGCTCTTCCCGCTCCAGCAAGGTACCGAAGAGTCGGCTGCACGTACGCACTCCTTCCTGGATATCCTCAGGGTCCTCGGACTGAGGCGGGAGGTCAGAAAGGGTGACGCTGGGCCCAGCTGTGCCTCCCGTTTGCCGCCCCAGGGCCGCCCCCGCTGCTCACCAGAAGTACAGCCAGGATGTCAAACACCGCGTTGGCCTGACCACGTGCTAAAACTCGTTAGCACCGCCTGTAGTAGACGGCCAAGCTCCCCACGGGAGCCGGCCGAAGCCAGGAGACGACCCAGGCCGCCGCGAGGGACTACCGAGCTTGGTCGCGCCTGTGACGTCTGCGATGGCTCGGTCTGGTCACGTCATCAGGGAGCGCCGAGGAAGAGCGACGGCGTGCTGCGACTATGGCTCTATTCCACGTAGCGCGGTACGCAGGCCCGGAGGCTTCCGGACTGGGGGATGCAGAGGTAGAGGCGGGTAGCCGGGCACGAGTGCTGCTCGAGCGGCTGCAGAACCGAGCTCGTGAGCGGCGGCAGCAGGAACCGAAGCCTGAACCCGCCGGGGAGGCCGCGGAAGCGGCAGGCAGGCGGCGTCGACGGCCCCGGCGGCGGCGTGGCTGCTCTGTGGCTCAGAGCCCGGAGGCTCCTAGGGCGAAGCGGCAGAAAGCCGACTACAGTGTGCATGCAGGTGGGCCATGTGGCCGAGATGTGGACGGGGCTTGGAGGCTTTTTCCTGGGTGCGCTGCGGGGTTTATGTTCCCTCTGTTGTTGTGTCGCGCAGGGAGAGGCGAAGAGTCGCCTGGAGAGCTCAACACCGACTTAGAGGACTCAGGTGAGAAGCCCCCAGAGGAGGCCCCGAGACCCCCGGCTCCAGGGCCTGTGTTGGGGGACTTTGCAAGAAGGAAGACACTGAAGGTGAGTGAGTCTGGCCGCCCGCCCGCTACTCTTCAACTTTATCGGGGCGGGGTGGGGATGTTGCTTGTGCGTTTTGTTTTGTTTTTGCCCTTACGTGGCCCTAACTATAGAATGGCGGGAGGCTTATAGAGTTCCATAGGGTATGTGTGGACACTCTTGAAACTGAAGTCCACAGACGTGTAAGACCTATTGGACACTGGTGTGTCTGGCGGCCCCCGCAGAAACATTTCTGGCCGTAGTGAGGCAATTGCTGGTCTGGGCATCTTGTCCGAAGACTGCCAAGAATGGGTGGTGGTGAAGGGTTGAGGAGAGACTAAGTCAGCTCTTGCATCAGGGTTGACTGCTCCATGTGAGTTTTGCTCCCTTTCTTAGCTCCCCTTGCTGACCCTAAAATGAGAGTCAGGGTGGCTTAAGGAAACCTGCCCTGCTAATACGTTCTTCACCCTGCTAATGTTTGCCCTCGTTTTCCAGCACTTACTCTCCCTAGGTGCCTCTATAGAAGCTGCTGTTAGGGTCTCTTCTGTTGTTCCTAGTTTCTGATAACTGGTGTTGCTCCATGAGCCTGAAGGGCTCTGCAGAACTCTTGTGGTTTTTTTACTCTTTTAGGTCCAGCCTTTCCTGCCAGCATGGCTGGCAAAGCCAAGCTGTGTCAAGAAGAGCGTCACTGAGGATCTTACTCCTATCGAAGACATCCATGAGGTTCACCCTGACTTGCAGAAGCAGCTGAGGGCTAATGGCATCTCTTCCTACTTTCCAGGTCCTTCAGCCCTGCGCAGATGATGGGGTGAACTCCCCAAGGCAGCCTTCCCTGGGCTGTCAGGGCTCCAATATAAGGGCTGTGGTTTAGGGGTACCTACTTCACACTGGATCAGTGAGCTTCTGCATCCTTGGGCTCAGGTTCCTGATGATTATCTTAGGTCTTATCCAATCCAGGTGCCATCTTTGGCCAGGAGATCTCCTGGGTGACATGGTATATCCTAGCATATAATTCACCTGTTCCTTTTCTTCCTTCGTTACAGTCCAGGCAGCTGTGATTCCTGCCCTCTTGGAGAGTGCAGATAGTGGGTTTCTAGTAGGCAGAGGTGGATACCAACCTAGTGACCTCTGTGTGTCTGCCCCAACGGGCAGTGGGAAAACACTGGCATTTGTTGTCCCTGTGGTACAAGTGAGTATCAGAGTACACATTTCTAGCAAGAGCACAGCAGGGAGGGTCCTGGTGGCACAGATCATTTCTGTCCCTGCAGGCCCTGCTGCATCGAGTGGTCTGCCACATCCGTGCACTGGTTGTGCTTCCTACTAAGGAGCTGGCCCAACAGGTATGCCCCTCTGTATCCAGAAGTCTGTATCCCCAGCCTTAGTTGCCCTGCTGGATGTACACGGTACTTATCCCTTGACCACCTGTGTTAAACTCAAGAGTCTTTGTCATAGCAGGGACCACCGTCTATTTTAGACCAGTGACAGACTGCTTTTGCAGGTGAGCAAAGTATTCAACATCTACACGGATACCACACCTCTGCGGGTTGCTTTGGTGACTGGACAGAAGTCACTGGCCAAGGAGCAGGAGAGCCTTGTCCAGAAGACGTAGGTGTGCCAGGTGGTGGGCTCTGCAGTTGTCCTTTGATTAGGGCAGTGTTAGTGCTTTACATGTGAGGCTTTGCTGTTAGATGGCCCTTCTTTGAGTCTTTCTGGTTTGTAGGGTAGATGGTTACCGATGCCTGGCTGATATTGTGGTGGCCACACCTGGCCGCCTGGTGGACCACATTGACCAGACCCCAGGATTCAGCCTCCAGCAGCTCCGCTTCCTGGTAGGCCACCTTCTGGACACTTGGGTCCCTGAGCTGGGGTGATGTCATTGGGGAGTCTTCAGTTGACCCTTGGTTCCTGTCTGCTGTAGATCATTGATGAGGCTGACCGGATGATAGACAGCATGCACCAGTCCTGGCTGCCCAGAGTGGTGGCAGCAGCCTTCTACAGTGCAGGCCCCTCAGGCTCCTGTGCCCTACTCCAGAGGACACAGCCCCAGGCTGTGACTGCTGCCAGGTATCCTGCTGCTCCCTTTCTCAGCTCCCCTTGCTCGCCCTAAAATAGCAGTCAGAGTGGCTTGAGGAAGGAATCCTGTCCTAACACGCCCTTGGTTTTCCAGCACTTGCTCTCCCCAGATGCCTCTACAGAAGTTACTGTTCTCAGCCACACTGACCCAGAACCCTGAGAAACTGCAGCGGCTTGGCCTCTACCAGCCAAGGCTTTTTTCCACAAAGCTGGGACACAGTGGCCCTAAAGACACAGTTGAGATGGATGGAAACTTTGGAGGGAAGTACACCTTCCCTGTGGGGCTCACGGTAAGCAAGTAGGGCATGTGGGGCAAGTTGGTGCCTAGGCCCAGGGCTTCTGGCTAGCACCTGCTGTCCATTTCCCACAGCACCACTATGTACCCTGTAAGCTCAGCTCGAAGCCACTTATTGTCTTACACCTGGTCCTTGGGATGAACTTCTCAAGGGCCCTTTGCTTCACTAACTCTCGAGAGAATTCCCACAGGTAAGCTGAACCAAGGCGGGGTATAGCTAATACAGACTAGATCCTGGCACCAGCTGGCTTCTATTTCTTACCTACCCAGGCTCTTCCTGTTAACACAAGCCTTTGGGGGTGTGAGTGTGGCTGAATTCTCCTCCCGCTATGGACCTGGCCAAAGGAAAAAAATCTTGAAGCAGTTTGAACAGGGAAAGATCCAGCTGTGAGTCCATGGAAAACAGACAGGACCTGACTGTGTTGTGGTGGGGTGCTCCTGGGTTAGCTGGCTCCCAAGAGAGCAGAGAGGGTACACATGTTGACTGCTGAGTGTTTCTGGCCCTCTGAGCCCTGTACCCATGTCTCCTCAGCCTTATCAGTACAGATGCTACTGCTCGAGGCATCGACGTGCAGGGTGTGGAGCTGGTGATCAACTATGATGCCCCCCAGTACCTACGAACTTATGTGCATAGGTAAAGTCTAGTCAGCAGTGGCTGCTGTGGGGCTTATGAGCTCTTGGCCATTATATGTGGGATCTTGCATCGTGGTTTGTGTGCTGTGTGGCCAAGAGAGCAGGTGTCCGATTAGGTCTCCAGGGTTAGGGCCAGAAAACACTTATGCTTGGTTTCAGGGTTGGGAGAACAGCCCGAGCTGGAAAAACAGGCCAGGCCTTCACACTTCTCCTGAAAGTGCAGGTAAGACCATGTAGTTCCCAGCAGATGTCATGGGTAAATGCATGCTACTGCAAATGGCATTTGTTCCCACCCTGTCCATGAAACCCCTTCCCTTTAGGAAAGGAAGTTCCTCCAGATGGTATCAGAAGCTGGGGTGCCTGAGGTGGCACACCATGAGATCCCCAGGGAGCTCCTGCAGCCCTTGGTCCCTCATTACGAGATGGCCTTGTCTCAGCTGGAGAAGATTGTCAAGGTGAGTGCTTTTGGACCCAGGTGGGGCTTTTGCAAATCCAGCTCAGCTCTGGTAATGTCATCACACATTCTAGGAAAGGGAGGTAAGTAGGAAGCAGCCTCATGCCATGGGACATGCCTCCTGAACACAGTGCCAGTAGTGTCCCAGTTGTAGGGCAAGGGCTCTGTAGACAGCAGGTAAGGATGATCCCTTTTCTCCACAGGAAGAGCAAAAGCTGAAGATGGCCTAGATGGGAGCAAAAGCCCAGGGGGAACATCCTGCTGAAATGAATGTTGTGTTTAAGCAAAAGATACGGTTCCTTGGGGTTCCACTAGAAACAACCCTTCCCTGCAAGCACCATGGTCATCTTGGGCTAGGCAACCTAGATGTTGGCTTGGTCCTGAAAAGTAATGGCCCTTGGTTTGTACAGCTGGGGTCCAACTGTCTTTGGAAGTAAGCTCAGGTAAAGCTGAAGGGTGCCTTCAGGAATGTGATGAAAAACTATGGTCAGCCTTATGGTGACAGCAGATTAAAGTGTGCCTAGCATTAGCATTTCATGTCTACAGAGAGACTATGGTGAGCCTGTCCCAGACAAGTCACTGAAGCCCAGGAATAGGCTGGTTTAAGATGTTTCCATGGCTACTAGCCTTCAAGATGGTACCCACATAAGCAGGAGAGTGCTTGCCTGAACATAGTCAAAGAGACTGCTTTTTGTAAAATATTAAATAAATAAAAAGAAAAATCTATAGCATTAAGATAAACTGTTTTCATTTATATTTAAAAAAATGGATAACTTGAACTCATGCCAATTTCCTGATAGCTTCAACACGCTAATACCCCTCTAATTCAGGACACCTAGGCTAGCTCAAGAAAGCAACACAGGCCGCTGGCACCATCCTCAGGCCCTTGCTGACTCTAGGATTTTGCTCATGAGATTAATTTAGAATCTCCTAGCAGCTAGTCTGAGAGTCAGACTTCCATTTGATTGTTGACATTACTAATGCTTTGAACATCTTATACAATGAAATGAAATCTCCTCCACTCATCTCCGCACCCACCTAAGTCCGAAGTTTTTTGTTGTTCTTTTTAAACCTACTGAATTGATTTTGTTGTTTACTCAAAAGTGCCTACAAGGGCCGGGCGGTGGTGGCGCACGCCTTTAATCCCAGCACTTGGGAGGCAGAGGCAGGCGGATCTCTGTGAGTTCGAGGCCAGCCTGGTCTACAAGAGCTAGTTCCAGGACAGGCTCCAAAGCTACAGAGAAACCCTGTCTCGAAAAACTAAAAAAAGTGCCTACAAGGGCTCACAGGACAAAGAAAACTGACTTCCAGTAGTTCTTCCTCAGCTACTGGTAGAATTGTGCATGCTGTCATATTGTTCTCTTGTGTCTGGAAAAAAGCTTTCCTTTAAATTATGCACCACCTTATTCTGCCTCCATGTATGCCTGAAGTCACCAGATCTCACTATATAAATGGCTGTGATACACAATGTGATTGCCGGGAATAGAACTCAGGACCTCTGGAAGAGCCCACCTCTGGCTCTTCACTTTTCTCTGTACCCTCTTCCTAGGAGAGAGGGATGGAATGTCCCCTTTAGGGCCCAACACTCCACACAGTCTCTTACTTTGTACCAGCTGAGCAGCTGCCATCTAGTGCAGTCAGCTTCTATGATGAGAGCTGAGAGGTACACTTAATCTATGGGTATGGGAATATCATCAAAAGTCATTTTAACAGTATGCTCATTAACAGAATAATAGTATTTGTTTTTCGAGCCCATAACCTGTCTAACCACAGGTTCTTGGCCCCATTAACAGTACCTAATATGGGTTCTAGCACATGGGGCAGGCCTTTGATCCAATCAGAAAGTGGGTGAGAGCCTAGAGATTAGTAACTGAGCATTTTCTGTGATGCAGAGGTTTGGTTTCTAGTACCTACATGATAGCCGCCTGCGATTCCAGTTAAAGAAGCTCTGATGCCCTCCAAGGGCACCAGACACACATGGCAAACAGACAGAAGGGGGAAAAAAAGTAAGAAACTGCTTTTAAGAAAGCAGTTGGTGCCTGGCCTGGGAAAACACACCTTTAATCCCAGCACATGGGAGGCTAGACCAAGGGGATCTCTGAATTTAAGGCCAGCCTGGTCTACAGAGCCAAGTTCCAGGACAGCCAGGGCTACACAGAGAAGCCTGTCCTTTTTTAAAACAGTTGCCACTATCACACTACCAGTGAGCCATCTTGTCAGACTAGTCATTGTGCTCACAGGATTCCAGTAAGGAAGCAGCATCAAGGTTGAGTATAAGCTTTAAGTGTGTGGCATCTTGTCTTATGTCAAGTTCTGTTCTGAAGGGTAACCAAGAACATTGGCAATGGTCTGCAGTGTTTGGGGGTCCTCAAAAGGGGAACCCATTCCTGGTTCAGGGGTTATTTGCTAGCATGTGTTATCTAGTTGGGATTTTGAGCTTCCCCCGCCCCAACATAGAGTAACTTCATTTAAACTAGTATGTATATATTAGAATGTGTCTATAGAAGGTTTCCAATATAGCTTTTTCAAAAGTATTATTGGTGACAAAGTTAATACATCTTGAAGTTACTTAAGACTGCTATCCTACTGTGTGTCAAACTGTTTTACTGTAATCTTAGGTACTCTTCATGCCCTGACCCAGATAATGCACATGTATCATTTTTTTTTTAAAGCAGCAAATAAAGACTTGGAAGCAACTTACCAAAATCTACCATAAAGATAGATTGGTTGATAAATAATTACGTCTGTTATCTGGGTCAGTTGGGCTTGATTGGACCCAGTGACTTTTCCCTTGTGAAACTCAGCTAAAGATTTCTATAAAGTATTCCCCGTGGGTGCTTGCTTTGCTGTCAATAAAGACAGAGTGAAGCTCTTTGTGAGCTCCATACAATGTGTGGTGGGTAAAATGACTTGGTAGGCAGGTAGGCAAGATGAATGAGTTTGGGGTCAGCCTTAGGGTTGTGCAGTGGGTAGGGATAGGCAGGAAAGTGAGTCCTTTTTCCCCATTCCCCGTCTGAAAACCCCTGGCTAACTTTATCCCCCTTGCCTCTCTGCTGGGGATTAAGAGTGTGTACCACTACACCTTGCTTGAGGTCCATTTTTATGGACAGTGTCAGAAATGATCACATCTACTATCTTGATCAAGATCAGCACTCGAGCCGGGAGGTGGTGGCGCACGCCTTTAATCCCAGCACTCGGGAGGCAGAGGCAGGCGGATCTCTCTGAGTTCGAGACCAGCCTGGTCTACAAGAGCTAGTTCCATGAAGGTGGTGGACACACCATGGGACCAGCCAGGGAGGGCCACCTGGGATCTGCTTGCGTGAGGCTGGGTATGAGCTGAACCCCCAAGGCCTTTCAGAAAGGAAGCAGTGTGAAGGCTCACTTTTGCATGACAGTTCTAAGTAGAAATCAAAACATTATTTTTCTGTTGTTTTTCTACTTACTTCCTAGTGCCTGAAGAGGGGCTCAACTTGCAGTCCTTTTGGCACTGTGAAGTCCTGAAGCAGACACAGCACCCATGGTGGAAAGCTGCACAGGAACCCAGGTGTCAGAGTAGCTTCAAGGCCAAGGAACTAAAGAGGAAGACCTTGAACATGCAAGCCCTGCATTGCTTTGGAGCAATACATACACAGAAGGCTTTGTTTTCTAACCAACACATCCTTACTCCAAACACTGGTCATGAAAGACAAAACAAGGATGTAGAAAGGTCACTTTTATTAGCCTCTGCTTGTAGGACATCAAAACCCTATTCAAATACAAATGTTTGTGTTTACAAAGTATTTACAATTTCAGTCCTGTTTATTACATTTTTTAAAAAAAAGAAAACAACAGCTATCTGGTTGAAAAATGGATGAAAGTAACTGCCAAAAATGAAGACCCTGCCTCTTGCTCCCACCAACCACCTGGCTTGGGCACACTGAAGTATGCTGCCACAACAGTGGGAAGGATGGAGAAAAAGGTGAGTGCAACATTGACCAAGGACCCCCACTGAGCTCAGTTCTGCCTGAGGACTATGGGGAGCCAGATACCCAGGAACCTCCCAAGGGCTATTCTTCCCCTAACACAGCACACACTAAGCCAAAACAATGGGTTTTTGCTTGTAGGACAGGTTTGTGGTTCAGAAAATATTAAACCTCTTCTGGTTTTTCAACACCTAATTGCTACTTTTATCCCAAATTTCACATTATGAGCTCAAAAGTGAGTTCTAGGTGGGCTTCAGGATGTATTGTCACATTCTTGCCCACACAGTACACAAAAAGTGGGATGGACATGACAGGGAAGAACAATACAACTCCTGTCTTCAAGGCTGCAGTGCTGACAGCATAGACCTCACAGACTTAACTTCCAGGCTTCAGCACTAATGTGGAACATGGGCCTTCGACTCTGGCAGGTAAGAAGGCACAGTCAGCCTGTTATGCCCAAGAATGCCATACAAGTCACCTTACAGTGGTAAGAAGAGTGAACTTAGGACTGAACTTTCATTCCAACCCTTTCTCCTTCAATTGCAGGCCTGTCACTGCAACAGCTGTTTAAATCCATGAAGAGCTGCTGGGGTGGCACAACAGCAATGCCTTCCAGACTAGACCAGGACAACAATAAGGGAACCTGGGTATCAACTGCACCAGGCTGCCCTATACATGTAACCCACACTAGCTTCTCACAAGAATACTGTAAAGGATCTCAGTACAGTGTGTATAAACACAAACTTGGCTATACAGAAATGGTGTCAGTCCCAGAGCCTCATTCAAAGGAAAGCCACTGCCCACTGGTGCAAGATGGGTGCTCATAAATGCAAGCTAGGACCTCACTGGCATATTGAGTGAAAGCTCTGGAAAGAGGGGTGGGGGTGGGGGCATCTGATGGTCTGCCCTTGTCTCCTACATCTCCCTGAACATTCAATGAGCTGGACCCTGCTGTAGGACATGCTGCCCCTACCACATAACTGAGTAGTGTACACTACAGAAGAAACTAAAGGGCTTTTCAAAAGACTGATGTGGACATTGCCCACACAGTGAAACCATCAAAGACTGCAACTGTCGCTTTTTCAGTTAGTCACACTCAGGAGAAAGTCAAATCACTTTGGCCAACCTAGGTACCAGCAGATCCCGGAGTCCAAAAACAGTAGAACATTCTACTAAGATAAGACAGCCTTGCCATAGTACCAACCAGTTTCCTTCCTATTGGCATGGAGGCTTGGTGGGTGTCTTCAGCCTCACAGCAGGGACTCGCATCTGTAGTTTGGGCTGCTGGCTTGGGCTGTCAGAGCTGGTTGGAAGCTGTGCTGGGGCTGGACCACCAGGGGTCTGCAGTGAGGCAGAGGCTGTAGTGACCACCTGCTGCTGAAGGAGCTTCTGCTGCACCACTTGGGCTGTGGCAGTCACCGTTGGGATCATCTGTACCTGTTGCCCTGCTGCTGTTGCCTGTGTGAGTGTCACTGTCTGTGGAGAAGCCTGAGCCAAGATGAGATCACAGGTCACTGGAGAACAGCCCTGGCAATGCTGTCCCTCTAACAGAGAACTATCACATACACCTAGTAGCCTCAGCAAAAGAGCAAAGGATGTAGACCAATGTACGGGGGTTAGTTGATTTTTTTTTTAAGTTCATGGGCAGCTTTAAAAATAACGTCACCACTTTAATCAAATACTACTGCACTGAAAGTAAAAAAAACCAGAGGGTTCTGGTTCAGAAAGGGGTGTTTTCACTTCCAGCTTCTCTCCCAGAAGCTGTGATCCTGTCTTGTGGAACATTAGAAAGGTACCTGCTGAGAGCAGGTTGGAGCACAGGTCTGGTTTTTCCTTGGAAATTCCCCCTCTTCAGTAGGTCATTTTTCCCAAAAGCTCATGTTTTTGTGTGAATTATGAAAGCCAAAAGTAATTCTCTAATCACTAGTATTCTGCTTCTGAAACACATTTTCCCCCCCAGCACCCTCCAGGTCTCTGTGCACTCTACCTGTTGAGAAGCTGATGCAACCTGCTGGATGCTGGCCACAGGTGTTTGTTGTTGTACAACTTGAGGAAGTTTTGCAACCTTTGACAAAACAAGGCAAGCATAGGATTCAAAATACATGCACAAATATCTTTCTCTGCTTTTAAGCAAACAAATAATGGCAGGTAACATGGAGAAACAATCTCAAGTATGCCCACCAGGATCCTAGGAGGTTAAAGAGCAACTGACTCACTTTCAGAAGCAATCCATTTAATAACTCAAAATTCTTGGTTCACATTTTAACTTTTCCTTGGGATTGATTATACATGAATTAGATTTGGCAGTGAACTGCACCCTTATCTGAGTTCTTAATGACACCAGATAAAGGTTTTGTATAGAGGCAAGCCCAGTGGGCCAGGTCTTACCAGGAGAGACACCAAAATTTCTCAGTGGTTTCATCCATCATAACTCACGTTCTATAAAGCAAAACTTTCTGCCCTGTGTTCACTTCCTGTTGTGTTCACTTCTTTTTTTTTTATTTATTTATTTATTATGTATACAATATTCTTTCTGCGTGTATGCCTGAAGGCCAGAAGAGGGCACCAGACCTCATTACAGATGGTTATGAGCCACCATGTGGTTGCTGGGAATTGAACTCAGGACCTTTGGTAGAGCACGCAATGCTCTTAACAACTGAGCCATCTCTCCAGCCCCCTGTGTTCACTTCTTGCTGTTGTCAAAACTGAACAATGCTGAAGCTGTAGCTCAGTAATGAAACTTGTGCAGCATGCATGTAGCCCTAGGTTGAATTCTTAGAATCATGAAAGCTACAAAAGTTCCACACACACTGAAGTATGGTAGTTCACACCAGACTACCTGAGCAGAAGGATGGTAAGTTTGAGGTCAGCCTGGGCAAGGCCAGCCTAAGCAATAGTGAAACTTATCAAGCTAGCTAACTATTCTTTAGTCAGACTTCTGTAACCTCAAGCCTGCACAAAGGAGACCCTAAAGCCTATGGAAGCAATGATCATTAGTATGGAATTTAAGAGTGTGAGAGCACTCACACAGTTAATAATTTAAAAAAAAAAATTAACAGCTCAAGCCAGAAGATAGAAATGTAAACACAGGGGAAGTTGACAAAATCCTACACCAATCAAGAAGCTATTTGCTGGGAAAGAGAAAATCCAGGTTCTTCAATTCAATGTCATGGGTATACTAAACACACTCCAGGACAGACCCAATGCCCAGAAATAATTGGCCAAATGGATTCCATGTTTTTTAGTATGCATTTTGAGAGACAGAACATATGAATGAAGTAGGCTTTCTGTCTAGGGATCTGGGAGGAGTTGTATATAACAGGGGAAAGAATATGATCAAAATATAATTAAGAAATTTTCATTAAAGTATTATGCATTGAAAATACAAAATGATATAAACAGCTTTTGTTAAGAGAACAAGGTTGTGTACAAAATTACCATTATCTACAAGAAACATTTATATTTTATTTTCTTTGGTTTTTTTTGGAGACAGGGTCTCCATGTGGCCCTGGCTGTCTTGGAACAAACTGTAAACCAGAGAAGCCTTGAATTTAGAGATTCATCTGCCTCCTGAATGCTGGGATTAATAGTGTGCACCACCACGCCCAGCCCATATTTAAATTATTGTGGAGCAGCATTTAAAAATCAGTCTTTACCTAAAGATAAAGTCTGTTTAAGAATACAGACTGTGATGTGGGAGTGATTTCTTTCTAATCTGTTGCTTTCATTGGTTAATTAATAAAGAAACTGCCTAGGCCCATTTGATAGGCCAACCCTTAGGTGGGTGGAGTAAACAGAACAGAATGCTGGGAGAAAAGGTGAGTCAGTCAGTCGCCATGATTCTCCCACCCGACACAGCCGCAGGTTAAGATCTTCCCTGGTAAACCACCTCGTGGGCTACACAGATTATTAGAAATGGGTTAGATCAATATGTAAGAGCTAGCCAAGCCGGGCGGTGGTGGCGCACGTCTTTAATCCCAGCACTCGGGAGGCAGAGGCAGGCGGATCTCTGTGAGTTCGAGACCAGCCTGGTCTACAAGAGCTAGTTCCAGGACAGGCTCCAAAACCACAGAGAAACCCTGTCTCGAAAAAAACCAAAAAAAAAAAAAAAAAAGAGCTAGCCAATAAGAGGCTGGAACTAATGGGCCAGGCAGTGTTTAAAAGAATACAGTTTCCGTGTAATTATTTCAGATAAAGCTAGCCGTGCAGCGGCTGGGTGCCAGGAACGTAGCCAGCCGCCCTTATTTCAACAAGACTGTTTGCAAACAGCAGAGCTGCAGCACTGGCTCAGTGACTGAGAGCTCATACGGAAGACCTAGCTTTCATTCCCACGCCTACATAGCCGCTCATATCTGCTAGCTGCTTGGGAGGCCGAGACAGGAAGCTCACAAGTTCCTGGTCTACCTGGCCTACAAAAGGAGTTCAAAATTGTCTAGCAACTCAGCAAAACTTTCTAAATTAATTTTTTTTTACAAGGCTGGAGATGTGGCTCAGCAGCAGAGCATACTTATATAAGGTTTTGGGATTAATACCCAATACCACAATAAATACATTTAACATAATTTATAAGGCCCTTTAGGTATACATAACAGAAGATGTATTCTCCTGGTGGCTTAGAAGCTAAGATCATAGACTACCAACTCTTTTACTACTGAATCCATGCAGTTCTAACAGTGGTTGGAATCCAAAATCATCAAAACAGTCCTAAAGGACAGAGCAGAAGAACATGCCTGCCAGAGACCCAAGTGGCACAATTATTAAACAGGGCATGATGGAACACACAGGAGGAATCCACAGGATAGAGTGGAAGTAGGATGGACATTTTTTAATAAGCAGCCTTGAAAATAAAATAACAGGCATTCACACAGATTTCATCAAGGCCCTCTTTGGATTAAATAGCTAAGTGAGAAAGCAAAATCATGAAGCTACAACCTCTGGGGTGGGTTTCTTTTTGTTTCATGTATGTGTGTGCCTGTGCATATTGAGTGCAGGTACTATAGAGGCAAGAAAGAAGGGACTGGGTCTCCTAAGCTGGAGTTACACAGAGACAGCATTTCTTTTTGTAGCTTTGGAGACTTTTCTGGTCCAGAGCCATTCCAACTCTGTAGATCAGGCAGGCCTCAAACTCCCAGAGATCCAGCTGCCCCTGCCTCCCCAGTGCTGGGATTACAGGCGTGCTCCACCCGGCTCCAGGACAGACTTTAGTCAGTATCCAGCCTGGCAGACAACTTGACAGGATGTCAGCGGAGACTTGAAAGTCAAAAACCAGGAAAAGATGAAACCTCATCATTACCCGGAACACAAGCTAATAAAGTACCCAAGTTTCTCCTGTTCCCACCCCAGACAGGGAGCTCTGGAATCCAGGTGGACCTGCACAAACAAACCCACAGCCAGGCAATGACACTGCATATCTGTGACAAGAGTGGCCAGGACTACTTAGGGACCATCTGTGCGCTTGCACACACAATTAGTCAGTCAGTCTCTGTCTCTCTCTCACACACACACCATCTGTGTACATGTACACACAGTCAGTCTCCCATATACACACACACTTAACACATGAACACACAAAAGAAGTTGGTATAACAACAGCATAAGTCTGAGACCTCACTCATGAGACTCCCCTATGTTCTGAAAGGCTCCATGCCTACTAACCAGAAAGGGCCCTGCAGAAAAGGTCAAGCACTGGTTAGCCACACTGGCTGGGTGCTGGTACTCTTCCACAGGCCCTACCATCTGCACTGAGTTGCACACAGCAGCATGCTTACCTGGATTTGCGTCTGCACCTGCTGAGTCCCAGCCAGTTTCTGGGCCTGGGAGATGGGTGTGGTCAGAAACTGGGTTTTAAGGGCTGGCTGGGCAGCATAGGTGACTTTCTGCTGTGGGCCCTGAGCAGTGATCTGTTGGGTGGTTAGCTGAAGAAAAGACACCAGAGGATCAGAGCCAGGTGAAACCAGGTTCCTTATTTAAACCCTCAACAGATGCCAAGAGTCTTCACCATTTGGCCTCTTCACAGCACTTCTTAGACAACAAGGTCAAGACCATCCCAAGATACTGACATTGCCCTACCTTTCTTCCATAGGGGTGGTACCACCAGTAAACACACTAAGTACAGAAGGCAGTGTTCCTTGCCCTGAACTCACAGTCCCCGTGAATTCCACATGAAGAGCCATTCCTGCTTTTTTAATCTTTTCTAGTCCCTTCCATACCTGGCATCCAGCTGGATTCTACCCACCCTATCATCATCCCTTACATCTCAAAAAGAAAAACAAGGGACACTGACCATACTAGCAACCCTGCCCTTGTAAGGCTTGTAGCCCGTTTACTTTGGACCCTCCTCCCCAGCAAAAACCTGCACTCAAATAAAACTTCACACAAAGAACCCATACCTTCTGCTGGACGGCAGCCTGGCCCTGGGCAACTTGTGGCTGGATGGCCTTCTGCTGCTGGACTGCTTGCTGCTTGAGCTTCAGCAATTGTTGGACATGTACAGGTTGGGCCACGACAGTCTGCCCTATAAGAATAGGGTCAGTTAGGTCCTGGCAAGGGTTCCCTGTTTATCCAGGTTCTGTTCAGAAAAGAATAAATCCTAGAATTGTACTAAGGCAAATTAAACAGTGTGGTGTTTTGTTTGTTATTTTTTTCTTTTGAGGCAGTTTCTCTGTGTGACCCTAGCTGTTTTTGAACTCAGATCTGCCTAACTCTGCCTCCCACGTGCTGGGATTAAAGGTGTGCACTACCACTGCCAGTTTCTATTTCATAAATGACAAACAAGAGAAATGTCAGAATGTTAATGGTTAAACTAAGAGCCAGAACTTGGGACTTGGAAAACTAAGAGAATTTACACTAAGCCCTAGAACTAAATGTGTAAAGCAGGTGTTAAGACAGAGCAAGGCAGTGACCATCTCCAACAGAAAAGGCTCCCTGTATACCACATGGCCACCTGAGAAAGGCATACAGCAAGAAGCTGCAGGAAGGTACCTGCTGTTTTTTGTGGCTGTCCAATTGCCACGCTGATCCCTGCAACGTTCATAGGCAGGGTCGTGACCCCCGGCGAGGAGACCACAGCTGCTGGGACAGATACCACTGGAGGCTTTGCCAAGGCCACCTGAGCAGGCTGGGGTGTCTGAGTTTGCATCTGCCCTTGTGCCTGCAGCTGAGAAGTAGGGACCCGGGTCTAAACAGTGAAAATAACAGGAGAATCCAGAGAAATTCAGACATTGTGTGTCCTTTTCTTTCCTACTTTTTAAAAAATATTTTCTTGACCAGAGGCCAAGAGAGTTACACAGACAGAGGAAGGGGGCAGTAACCTAGAGGAGAATCTCCAGGACTTTTGCTTGTCGCTAACAGACACATGCAGACAGGATCTGTACAAGACTTTTGTGCTTGTCTGCCCCACTGCCATGGTTCTGGTGTTCTTAAGATTCCAAACACTCATTTCTGCTCCTCACTCTGTGCCACTTACTCTCCCCCACATCACTCTTCCACCACACCCTTCTCTCCAAGATCACTGCCATAACCGCCTATCTGAAAACACAATCAAGGCAACCCAATTAATTCTACAGTTTTCCACAAGCATTCTTCTCCCTAAATTACATTTTACAAAAGGCAAATGAAAATGAGTCAATTACCAAACACACATAAAAATAAAAAGAAACCTAGAAAGGAAAAGCTACCCACAGTCCTAACGTGCCCACAGACATGGGATTGAAACTGACATTCAGCCTGCTTAGCATTTGTTCTATCAGTGCAAAAATGCAACAGTAGAATGAGTCCCGGGGTTCTGTTGCCTCTTCCCTTGACAGCTGGCACTCTCCAAGTTGCCTGAAGAAAGGTTAACCTTGATTGTCAACCTGACTGGATTTAGAACTGCCCAGGAGACAACTCTCTGGGAAAGTATGTAAGGAGGCTGTAGAGCAGAGGGGAAGACCCACCTCAGTGTGAACTGGGAGCCCAGACTGTACAGGCAAAAGGAGCAGCAAAGTCTGACAAGCATTGGCATTTGCCTCTGCTTCCTGAGTGTAGAGGCCATGTCACCTGTCTCCTCTTTTTCACACTGCCACAACTTCCCGCCATGATAAACAAAAGTAACGAATCCAGTTGCTAACCCACCTTTTAGGTCCATTTAGTGAACATTTAGTCATTTGATCTCGTTACCACTGACAAAAGCTTTGTAAACAGCCCCACTATTTCTGCAGGAGACGAGTACTATTGTATTAACTAGCATGTAAGGTTTGTGGCCTAATTACAATCTGCTCTGCAACAGCCCATTAAGCTCCTATCTACTAGCTGTTACCACTCTCCTGACTCAGTTTGTAAACACAGTCACAACAGGCTTGCATTTTTTGTTTTGATTTTTTAAATAAGTTACCCTCAGATTCCCTCTTTGGTGGAGGGGGCCTCTCACTAAGACCTATACAAAGAGCGGAGCTCAAGTACCTGGGACCCCAGTCCTAGCACAAGCTACAGTTGCCAAGTAAAGGATCTGAGCAGGTAATTAGCCCATGTGCCACAGTTCCTTCACTTGTTAAAGATAGCTCATAATACAAAACACCAGGAAACTGGTACAGAGCTCCTAGGGAAGCACGGGTGGGCAAGCCTCCAACAGGCACTCATCACTGGCTGTTGTGATACAGAAGACCCACAGCACATTGACCGCAGTGTGTGCATATCCTCAGACATCACTATCTTGCTATGTTCCTTCCTTCAAACCCTCAAAGGCTCTCCCTGCTGCCAAGTGGTCACTATTTAGCTGGCCATGGAACCTGGGGTGCCTGCAACATCAGCTGTTCTGTGTTCTAGCCATACTGAGATTGCCCCTACCCTTCCTCTGCAAAGAGGACAGTCAGTAAGCTGTGCCTACTCCTCACTATTCACCTTCTGTTATCCCCAACCATTCAGTCCCTAACAGGCCTGGTGACACTCTGCTGGTTCTGTAAGCAGTGCTAGCACAACTTGCCAAAAGTCTAGTATCTCATCATCCTCTGTAAGGACCAAATCTTCTGCTTCAAATCTAAGTCTGCCACAAGACCTAACATGATCCTGAGCAAGCAACAGAAGCAGGTGTCTGCTGAGACGGTTCAGCAGGTTAAGGTGCTTGTTGTACAAGCCTAGAAATCGGAGTTTAATCTCTGTAACTCATGTAACAATGGAAGAAGACCACCAACTCTACAAAGTTGTTCAACCTCACCACACATGCATGTGCACTCCCGGCCACAATTTAAAAAACAACCCCAAAAAACTTTCAGTAAATGCAAAGATGGTATTTGGACAATAAATATATAAACTGGAACTTACAAGCCGGGCCACCTGGAGGTTGGCCACAGTGGTGCCCGTGAGCAAAGCTCCAGGCCGTGGGGCTGTGACTGAGGTAAGCTGAGGACTCTGTTGCTGCTGTGGGGGCTGTGGTGTCTGCACTTGCACTTGTGCTGGCTGCTGTGGGGGACCTTGCTGGGCCTGCGGTGGTGGGGGCTGTGGTGGCAGCTGCATCTTCTGTTTCTGCATCTTGATGATATGTTCCTGAAACCCAAATAAGGTATGTTCTCTGCATGCACCAACCATAAGCCCCCCTTATGATTACATGTACAGAATGTAAACCATCCCCAAAACCAACTGTGTACTGAATGAAAATGAGCACTTCACCGGGCAGTGGTGGCGCACACCTTTAATCCCAGCACTCGGGAGGCAGAGGTAGGCGCATCTCTGTGAGTTCGAAGCCAGCCTGGTCTACAAGAGCTAGTTCCAGGACAGGCTCCAAAAGCTACAGAGAAACCCTGTCTCAAAAAACAAACAAAAAAGAAAAAAAAATCAGCACTTCACAGAAGTGGGGACAGCAACTTTGACAGATCACTAAGGTCACAGCAAGGTTTCCAAGTTCTTATTTCTCATGAGTCAATTTAAATAAAGAATAATGACTTTGTAACCACACTCCATCAATAGTAATAACTTGGCAATAAACCTTATGAAGATAACAAGATAATGAGCTGGGCATGATTACTCAAATTTACAATTAATAGCACAATGGAAGTAAAGAGGAAAGGACCAGGTGTTCAAGGCCAACATCAGTTACGTGATATTACCTGACTCAAAAACAGAAGTTATCAAGACACTAGTTCAAAAGACAAAAACAAAAAAGGCACCCCACCCCCTTCCCACAAATGTATGAGCTGTTCATAACTATTAGATCTCTCTGGATATATCAGAAATGACAATGGATTTGAAACTGAATTAGGAGAATGTGGGTTAAAAAAAAAACAAAGGAACAAGAGGGTGAGCAGGACTCCTGCAGCTGGGCTGGGTGAGAAATGCTGACTGGAGCAATCTCAATGCTATCAGACAATTTTCCCCTGCTGGCCTTAGAGTAGTGAGAACAATTACTCTGGTTTACTGGAAGAAAAGGTGCTGTATAATTAAGCAGCCACATCCTTGGGGGGCTTTGGAGCCCTAAAACATAATCTCTGAATGAGGAACTGAATGTCATAATTTGTGGCATTTCAAATGATTTAAGGTATGTGTAGTAGCCACAGACAGCTAGGTAGTTTTCATCTGAGGTATCTTACCACCACCTCTCAAAGAGAACGAAACTCACTCTGGAGGTCCCAATAGAATACTGACAAAAGACACACGGGACCACCGACTCATCTCTGGGTCCTTCCCAAGCTTCACAGAGGTGGCCTCACCTCAGCTCTAGTGAGTCAAGCCTCTGATCAGCAGCTCACAATGGCAGACCCAGCAATCAGTCTACTCACATTGCATCTGTTTTTCTGGTTCCTTTTAATGCTGCATTTGTTGCAAGGACATAACAATTCCCTTCTAAAGTAAATACACTAGCACCAAAGACAACAAGACAACAGACTGGCAAAACGAGGAACAACAATTTTCAAACAAGCAGCAAAGAAAAGCATACTTTGACCTAGCTACTCCAGAAGAGGAGCACTGAGGGATCATCTTCACACTATCCTCCCAGAAAGGTGCAGACAAGCTTTTTAGTTCTCTGGAAAATGAGCTGTGGTAATACAATGCTTGGAGATGTACCTGCTGGCAGGAAGCTAAGGTTTCCTAATGCTTCTTAGAAGAATGAGTCACACTTACTAGATGAAAAATTGTGTTAAATACAAAAAAGCAGGCTCTCTAACCTAACGACAATGATAGATTTTTGTAAAACAGGCTCTGAACTGCAGACAAGTCAGATATGCCTGTGATGTTATGGTGAAGGATATGCTCACCGGTGCCAGCTTGCCCACGGCTTTGATCTGTGCAGGAGACTGGGCCTGGCCCTGGAGCTGTGGAACTTGAACCTGGGAGGTCTGCTGCTGCTGCTGTTGCTGCTGCTGCTGCTGTTGCTGCTGCTGTTGCTGCTGCTGCTGCTGTTGCTGCCTAAGAAGCTGGAAGTGGGCAGCAGGAGTGATGGTTTTTCCAGGAAGCTGAACTCCTGTGGCTATAAAGAGGTTGACTTGTTAGACCATGGCATCTTCAGCAGTCCTGGATAATACCTGCAAGCTGAAGCTCTAATAGTAGATACTAGCTCAGGGAAACACCAAGTCTCTCACCTTGGGACACTTGGGTCACTAAAGACCGGGTTGGGGTCTGCACTGGAGTCAGGTTGGTAGTGACCACAGCTGAGGCTGTCACGGAAGTGACTGCCCGAACACCCTGAGTTGTTGTCATGGACACCAGGTCAGTGGTGGCAGTAGCTGGGGAACCAACTGCTCGTTGCTGGGTATGGACCACTTGAGCAGAAGCAGAACCTCCGGATGTCTAGAAAGGTAACACAGGAATGTTATCATAGGACTTGGGGTAGCTGCCAAGCCAAGGAAGTGTGAATTCAGCTAGGCATGGTGGTACATTCCTTTAATCCTGGCACTCGGGAGGCAGGGGAGGGAGGGAAGAAAAAAGAAAAGAAAAAAAGAAAAGAAAAAAAGAAAAGAAAAGAGACAAGAGTGAATCATACAACAAGTTTAGCGGCTTAGTATGGCTCCTCAACCGTTCTGGCGCTATCTGGTGAGGCCGTCCATTCCAATCCCTCCTAGCTTCCCTTGGCGCTATCTGGTGAGGCCGTCCATTCCAATCCCTCCTAGCTTCCCTTGGCGCTATCTGGTGAGGCAGTCCATTCCAATCCCTCCTAGCTTCCCTTGGCGCTATCTGGTGAGGCAGTCCATTCCAATCCCTCCGAGCTTCCCTTGGCATGTTCAACAAACCCACTGGTTACAGACAAGTATGTATATCTATGTAGTTCTGTACCCTCTCCAACTCCATCCATTTGTGTGTCTACCTACAGTTTATCAGAGAAACAACACCTTCATAGAAAACATATTCTCTAAACCCCAGCATAAGAGCTTTGAAATATCACTTCTTATACAGGAGACAGGCTGCCTCTGGGTATCAGAATATGAATTCTAATACAATGTGTTTTATTCTGACTATGAGCTATGAAAGGAAAGCAGGGGGCTGACATTAGAAACCTGATCGCCGGGCAGTGTTGGCCCACACCTTTAATCCAGCACTTGGGAGGCAGAGGCAGGCAGAGCTCTGTGAGTTCAAGGCCAGCCTGGTCTACAAGAGCTAGTTCCAGGACAGGCTCCAAACCCACAGAGAAACCTTGTCTCGAAAAACCACACACACGAAAGAAAGAAAGAAAGAAAGAAAGAAAGAAAGAAAGAAAGAGAAAAAAAAAAAAAGAAACCTTCTGATCACATTTTCTGTGTTATGCCACAGAGGGTGTTTCCTTTCCTCCTAGGGGATCATCTTCCCCAAGCTAACCTCTACCTTTATGCTTGTGATGGCTCTCTCTCCTGCCCAGCTGCCTTCACTCCAGGCAGCCAGCTTGCTTGCTCCCTTTACATGGCACTGTGCTCCATTGTGCTCCACACTCCAGCACAGCACTCTACCAAGGTAACCACCTCATCTCTGCTTCCCACTAGTACACTGAGGCACAGTTAAGGGGCACCCAGGTCAAAGGGACTGGCTGCTGTTTCTTCATATACCACCTCTCCCTCTCTGAAAACTTGTCCTATGAGGAAAATCACTCTTCCCTAATAATACAAAAGAGGACAGTTTCTTAACACCTGAGGATTCCCTAACTGATCAGCTACTTCTTTTATAAAATTCAAACTAGACCAGTTATTTTTTTTCATCTGTGCAACATTCAAAGAGCAAATAATCTTCCCAAAATACAAGTCATAGTAAAAGCTCTCTGAACATGGAACAACTCACAGTCAAAGTTCCAGGAGCCACAGGTGATGCCAAACGCTTGTTAATGGACTGGAAGGTAGCAGCGGGAACACCCGCTATTGTGTTCACAAGCACGTTTCCACTCACAGTGCCTAAAGAGGAGGATGTAGGTGAGGCCGGAGGAGAAACACTGAGCTCCATTTCCAAGCCCTCTGCACCCTCCTTACCTGTTGGGATGCTTGTTCCAGTGACTGATGTCTTAATGGTTCCTGCCTATTGAAAATAGAAATTCAGGTTAACTTCAGGTCATTAATTTCAGGTCAGGCCTTATGCTGCACAAACTCTCCAAAAGCCATTACCATCAGTCAATGCAAATTCCTGAGCTTCAGACTCTAGCCTGGTCCTCCGCACCTGGGTTATTACAAGGTTGCCTTCCCCTTTCCATGCTGCCCCTCACCCCATGCACTACCTCCAGACTGTGCCCACCACCACCACATTAACGACATGCAAGACTCTGTGCTGGCTGCTTCCATCCTTCTCATGAATGCCTTCCTGTCATTCAGGCTTCAACTTTCAAATGTCACCTCTTCAGCAAGAATCTTCTTGCCGGGCTGGAGAGATGGCTCAGTGGTTAAGAGCACTGCCAGCTCTTCCAAAGGTCCTGAGTTCAATTCCCAGCAACCACTTGATGGTTCACAACCACCTGAAATGAGATCTGGTGCCCTCTTCTGCCCTGCAGGCATGCAGACCACTGTATACTTAATAAATTAATTAAATAAATACCTTTTAAAAATCCATTTAAAAAAAAAAGAATCTTCTTGCCAGCTAACCACTGTCCAGGCTCTTCCTGTGGTCATTACTCTATTCTACATAGGAACGTGAACTTCAGTGGACAGGAGATACTGCTTATCAGTCTTTCTGTCAATGTTCCCACACCATACAGGCTTAGTAAATGTATCATCTCAGTGAAGAAAGAATGATCCCCAACCACATTAAAAACAAAAAACAAAAAAACAAAAAAAAAGAACCTAACACAGTTCAATGTAATGATTCAGAGTCTGAGAAGATCTTGGTAAGGTGCTTGCTTTGCACGTATTAAAATCTAAGTTTGACTCCTAGCACCCATATAAAAACCCAGAAGTAGTGTGTATGCTTATAATCCTTGTACTGGTAAAGTGTACACAAGGATCTCTGTGGTTCAACAGACAGCCTACTTAGCCAACTCTGCAAGCCCTGGGTGAAGGATCATCTCAAAAAATAAAGTGGACGGCTCCTGAGAAAACCACCCAAACCAGCACTCATGTGCACTTTTACGCCTGGCTGACAGCCTCAAGTGTTATCCATTGGCACAGAGTCTGCTCTCTTCAATGTCTGTGTAATGAGCATCACAGACAATGAACTCAAGTACAGATGTCAACGAGTATGTCCTTCAGGGTCATAACTCTGAATTTCCTTTGGATATTTGTGTACTTATGGCCTGAAAACATGAGTGGGCACAGGTGGGGCATCATTTTTGCTACACTTGCAATAAATGAAGGGAGCAAGCTCATCGGTGTTATTCTACAGAATCCAGCATCTTATTTTTGAGTCACAGTTTTACTGCTCAGGCTGGACTTATACTCAAGATCTTCCTGTTGTGATCCCCCTTAAGCTTGGATTAAAAGTATATGCAACTACACCCAACTTTAGAACCCAGGTTCTCCTTAGTACCAAAAAGTGGCTTTACCCTCCCAACCCAGTGAGGCTCGGTCACGAGCCTTGGAGGATGGCACAGTCAATAAAAACACAGGCTCCCCCAGGGAGCACCGCGTGTTCTTGCAGGGGGTGGTCTAGAGACTGTGGGCTTAGAGGCTCTCACCAATACAGCAGCACTTCCCACAGTTGTCATTGTTGGTTGCCCCTTTGACTGTGTCTGCACAGGCTGGGGCTGGGCCTGGACCTGGGGCTGGGACTGGACAGCAGGCTGTCCTGCTGGTGGCTGGCTGCCTGTTGCCTGTGGCTGTGGCAGTGGTGGTGGTGGCTGCTGTGGAGGTGGTGGGGGTTGCTGCTGCTGATGCTGCTGTTGCTGCTGTTGCTGCTGCTGCTGCTGCTGCTGCTGCTGCTGTTGCTGCTGTTGCTGCTGTTGCTGCTGCTGTTGCTGCTGCTGTTGCTGCGGAGGGGGTGGCTGCGTCACAGGTGGCTGCTGTGCCTTCTGCTGATCAGCCAAAGCCTAGATGGGTCAGACAGAAAGAGAAGCTGCTAAAGGAGCTGGACCCAGCCCGGGGTGACAGCACATCACAGCAGCAAGTTTCTGAGAGGACCCAAAGTCCAGGGCACCATACCTTTTTCTCTTTTGCAATTCGCTCTGCACGGAGAGATGCAACTTGAATAGGAGGCAGTGGTTTGTCATAGTTGATTCCACTGAAAGGTAAAAAGTTCTCTTATCTACAGCTTAGGTTACATATATCAGCCATGATCAAAAATATTACTTGGAAAATTCTAGAAACAATTCATTAGTATTTTGTCCTTTGTTTTTTTTTTTATTGCGAAAAGAAGAAAAAAAAACATAAACAAAAAACAAGTTTCCACCTCCTCCCAGCCTCCCATTTCCCTTCCCCTCCTCCCACCCTTCTCCCCCTCCCCCCACTCCTCTCCCCCTCCCTCTCCAGTCCACAGAGCAGTCCGGGTTCCTTTGTTTTTTAAACAGATTTTTTAACTATGTGTAGGTATCTGAGCTTATGCACATGAATACAGGTGTCTATGGAGGCCAGAAGATTCCAGGGAGCTGAAGTAACAGGTAACAGGTGGTTGTGAACCATCTGACATGGGTGCTAGAAACCAAACTCTTAGCTGCTGAGTCTTATCTCTAGTCTCACAAGTCACTGGTTTGAAACTACATATTGTCCTCAATAGTTTGATGAAAACAGGCACTGTCCCATTCATTCCAGCTCAGGACGGAATGAGCTGTGTTTTGGTCCGGGGAGTCCATACTGTATACACTACTTATATACACTACTCATTCTGTCATAGTCTCAGCTACCAGACTGACTATATTTCAGGCTTGTGTTAAAAACAAACAGCCAGGCGTGGTGGCACATGCCTTTAATCCCAGCACTGGGAGGCAGAGGCAGGAAGTTTGAGGCCAGCTTGGTCTACAAAAAAGTTCCAGGACAGTTAGGGCTGTTACAAAGAGAAACCCTATTCTGAAAAACAAAGCAAAAACAAACAACAAACAAACAAACAAACAAAAACCAAATGAAACCTGACTTGACTTAATAATACAAAAAAAAGTGTAATGTTGGGAATGTGTAGATACCAAGAAGAAGTCAAGTAATGCTTAAGTGAAAGGTTTTTACTACAGAAACAAAACAATACACAGAGGTAGTGGCTTCTCCTCAGTCTGGAGGCTGAGGCCTGAGGCCAGAGGATTACCACAAAGTTCAAGGCCAGCCTGTGTTAAGGCCTAGTCTCAAAAAGAAAGCAAATACAAACAAAACCGCCAGGATACAAGACATTCAGTGCTTTCTGTAATTTTAAGAATTTACTATCAGGCAGCACTTCATGAACTCTCTGGGTCTGCTCAGAAATACCTCCACAAGTCTTCCACTGCTTACCAGAGAACCTAGAGCCTGCCCAAAGCTACACCACAACCCTGGACAAACACTACCCCACCTCTTACCCCCCACTAAATCCTTTTACTAGCACTCCAGAGCAGAAGTTAGGTCATCACCCAGTTAAATTACATGATAGGCCAGAGTGACCTCATTAATACCCATATCTAGCCCTTCAGTACAGTCTGTTTTTACCTATATAGGTCTGGTGGCTCTGATTCTCTTGTCCTCAAGCTTCCTCTCCAGGCCCAGCTCACATCCCACCTTCCCAGGGAGGTGACTAAATGCCCCCTACACTGGCACCTGAAATTACTCTTCCCAAGCCCCAAAGAGCCTCCTTTATGTCCTGTACACAGCCATCTGCGAAAAGCCTTTCCTCCCTCTTTCATGCTACATAGACCTCTGGAAGGCATGCCAGCACCATTCATATGCACTGTGTGCCATGGCCGCCTTTGACCTACTAACATACACTAGCTTGATCAACCAACTCATCACACTCCACCCAATCTGCTGCAGAGGTACATATAACACATGAGTAATACAGGGCACCTCTGAAGGTAATCCCTACGGCAAAAACACAAAGAACAAAAAACAGCAAAGCAGGGCTGGGCTTCAACATAATGGCCCAGCCCCAGGAGATGGGAAACCATGAGGTGAAAAACCCATGTCACAAGGTGCACTGCTAAAGGAAGCATAGCAGTGCTATTGGGCTCTCAGCAAATGTGTCATGAGTTGACTATTTGGCAAGGACCACTCCCATAGCTATGTGACAAGGAGACACACAGCAAAACAAAAAAGGAAGGGCTGGAGAGGAAGCAACCAGTGTGCACGTGGGCAGTGATGCAAACAGAGAGGCAGCTGTTTCACCAGACCAGACTTCCTCTCTAAGAGTTCATCCAGAGAACAAACAAACAACCACTGCCAGTATCCAGGCCAGAGCTCAACGCCAAAGAGAATGGTCACTTTCTCCCATCTTCCCATTTCACAATCCATCCACTAATTAATTTTTCATTTATTGAATAACCAAGTACACTCACCTCTAAACTAAATAACCTTTTATGGTACAACCAACAAGAATTGTACCTGCAGGGCAGAAGAGCCTGAGGAAGAAAGTTCTTTGCAATCATTTTCTTAGCGTTGGAACATATTTGCTATCCCAGAGAACAAAGCCTCTGCCAAAAAGCAAAAGGAGATGATGGCTCCTTACAAATGCAGAACATGACTCTCATGTATCTTGGCTGGCTGGCTGGCTGGCTGGCTGGCTGGCTGGCAGAGGCTACCGCACACACACTTAAAGGCAAAGACCTCAACATTTCTCAAGTACAGAGCATGTACCACCATCATAGCCAAAGCTTAGATCATACTGCCTCACACTACTGTTCTAAACTCATTTCGAATGTAAAAACTGTGTCCGCTCCATAGAAGTACCTTTCTGCCAGCACAGAGGCATGCTTAGGGTTTTTCTGAAAGGGATTCATTCCAAGCCTGCAATAAAAACAAGGGAATGGTTACCAACAGGAAGACAACATAGTCAAGAAAAAGTCTTGAGCACTAGCTTCTCAGCTGCTGCAATCACAGTAAGAGGATGAAAGCCCAGGGAACATACAGAGGCTTGATGGGGGGGCTTCTCTTGCCAGCTGTCATTTTCATCAGGTCGAAGTGGCTTGTGTACAGCTGGGTGTGAGTGGCATTCTCATCCTGGGCATAAATCTGGCTTGTGCGGAGTGGACGGTTGTTCTTACTCTGAAACAAAATTGATAGGAGCTCAAGTTTAGACCATCAGCATGACACACAACTACTCTGGAAACAACATTTTCTGAATTAGAAGCCTGTGGCTAAGATCCAGTGGCTGCACCCAAGTCCCATTCCCTTTCTTTCTTTTTGGGATAACATAATAAGACAACAGTTGCAACAGGGAAATGCAATCATTTGCTGGTAGCTGGCAATACTCCCCAATTCTTAGAACTTTGCTCAGTTGAGCCTCCCTTTCACTGAGGAAAGAAATGTTGCACAAAATATTCAGGGTCACACTCCGGAGTTAACACACAGCAGGTAACAGGGTGTTGAGTCTAATACCCTGGACAAATGAGGCAGTGGTAATTCAATAGATACCTTCTACCCATACTGGACAGTGAGGTAGCAGAGATGTCTAAAACTGCATTCCTTGGGGCTGTGACATCATTTGTACCTAGTGATCCTTTCTGCTTAGAAATGCCATAGACAATTCAACAGTTGTCTACTTATTACCAAGACATCTTAACCCCCTCAGATACAGAAAGTCCAGAGACAGTCGTGCAAGGTCAGAGGTCAGGGACAAGAGTTCACAACCCCAACTAGCCCAGGACTCTCTCTGTCCCTCAGTATCTCTAAACCCTGACCAACCCTATTATCACAGTCAGTAATGTATACCCAGTATAGTTATGATATAGTTAGGCAAATACACACATGTACACATCTGTTGCTGGAGGAATGCCTTAAGTTCAGAAGAGAATGCCAAGGAAAGTCAGAACTAAAAAATGAACGTGCACGGTTACATGGAACTGCTTCTTCAACATTCTCCTATATAAAAACAACAACAACAACAACACTAAGCAAAGGGAGAAGGGAGAGTAAGAGCTAGTGAGTCACACCCACCACCAGAGTGAAGGCAAGACAAGGCCAAAGGCAGGAAAGACACGTGTTCAACAACAAGCCCTGGATGGTTCTAGCTATGAACAACAGCGCCAGGGCTAAGGACAGTGTGCTTATTGGCATCTAGCCAGCATGTCACAGGCCTCAACAGGGTGTGAGCAACAGGGAGGCTCTGATGTCCCTGAGGGGCTCAGTGAGTCACTTGTGTGGTTCCTTCAGATGAAGAAGCAAAGCCTCTATGCATAGGAATAAAAGGCACTTGAAAAAACCCTAAGTGCTGTATTTCTGTTACTACAGTCTGGGCTCAATCTGAATCTCACTGTGTTCCTGTTCACAGGCACTTACAGAAAGCTTTCCATCTCATTCAGAACACCTCCTCGTACCTTATAAATATTTTGTGCCTTTTTCTTTGGATTAGCTTCACAAATCAGCTATAAGAGAAGAAAATATTTTAGCTTTATTTTTTTCAATATTAAGGTAATGGCTGTTATAATTATTAAATGCTTCCAGAAAATAAAGAGTGAATGTGAGACTTTAGGAAGTTTTATGGTACAGGTACCACAGAATGGTATCATGAGGAAGGCTTGCTTTTTTATGGGGGAAAAAAAAAAGCAAACAAATGCTTTGTTCTGAAATGAGTGTTTTAGAAATGATAAGAGATGGTTCAAAGAGTGGTCACAGAAGTGAGGTGAGTGTGGCGACCTCATCCTGAGGGCACATGTGGCTCTTAACACCAAAGACATTTCACAAACTGTACCAAAATAAGAACTAGATGCCTATCTTGCCAACATCGCTGTTGCTCCTATGCTAATGAGCATACTGATGTGTTCAGAAAGGCAGTGTTCTCTGCACACCTGCCTTGGCATCGGGGCTGAACATTTGTAAACGCTGGTGTGACATGGCCTGGGGATACTGTACAGAAAAAACTAGCTGTCAAGTGACAAGAGAGAGAGAGAGAGAGAGAGAGAGAGAGAGAGAGAGAGAGAACACGAGCTGTGTAAAGAGAGCCAAATGGAGAAATAGAAACAGACAAACGCAAAGCAGATGAGGAAAAGCCAAGAAGAGGCCTACATGTCCCTGAGCAGCCATACCAACTCATTTGGGTTGAGGATGCAAACCATAGCTGGCTTCTTAAATCAAAAATACAATGGTTTGTCTATACTATAAATACTTTCAATGCTCAAAGTTAACCCACAAACAGAGACATGAAAAGCAGCACAGAAAGCATGAGCAGACTCTTCTTTAAGTTAGATGGTAACGAGTCAAAGAAGAGTTCTTCCCTTACTCATCTGAAACCTGAATGGCACAGTTTTCTAGACTGCAGCAACAGCAAAGGCTGGCATCTGGTTCATATGCTAACACCAAACATGATCAAGGGTAAGGTGATTGACTCTCTACTAATGTCCATTACGTGCCAGGTACTGTGTTGATGTAGGCCTCACTGATCAAGAAGGCTGACTTCACCAGTCTACAGGGACAACTACATTACCCAGCAATACACAGCAAGACCTGGCCACTGAAGAGGCCAATTCTTCCCAGGAAGACCAAGGGGTACAAGCTCACCTTCCCTTCCTCTCTGGGAATGATGACATTCTCATAACGATTCCGGCACTGCTTGGAAGACCGGTAGATTCGGCTGCAGGAGTTGACAACATCACTGACAAGGTCCCAGTTAGGAGTGTGAGCAGGTGACACAATCGTGAGGTTCAAGGGCAGCTCAAGTAATTGCTTTACAGCCTGGAGGACAAGGTTTCAGAGCAAATAGGTCAACGTACATTCAAATGCCAAAGACACACCGCAAAGCACTATGAATCACCAATGTGGGGGAGCAAACAAACCATGGGAATGCTCAACCCAAGGACAACAAAGCCATTTACCTGTAGCAGGGCCCAGTCTTCACCAATGAGCCAGTCGGGACTGTCTTGGGCAGGTTCCCCCGAGGACTTGACATAGGTAGGCAGAGGCTTGGCAAAAGGTGCCTGCTGTTTTAGTAGCAGGTTCTTCTTTTGCTCCTTGCCTTCACGTCGGATTTTCAACATGCCTGGTGTCGCCCGGTCAAACAAGGATCGTGGCGGGACAACTGCCTCACCATGCCGCTGCTTCTTCTTCCTCCCTGCAGCTAAATGGGGCAGAGTTCAGTAAAACAGGACACTCAGAGATTTTCTCACCAGTGGAGTGAAAAAAAGGGAAGAAGGTACACAAGAGGCATGTAGACTGATGGGCTAATGGAAACAACTGCTAACGTAAAATCACTTTCTCGAGTTTACTATTTGTCTGTTTTGGGGTTTCAAAACAGTCTATTTATTTAGCACAGGCTGGCCATCAACATTTATGATCCTTCTGCCTCAGCATCCCACATGCTGGGAATGTAGGTATATGCTATGGTGCTTAGGCTCCTAGTGGTTTTGTAGTACTAACTACTGTAACTATCAAGGCTCCTTCCCTGAAATGGGAAGAGCCGGAAACATGGTACAAAAGACAATGGCTGAGTCACTTCTCCCATTCCAGCAGAGAGAGAGAGGTACATACCTGACGGATCTGTTTTGTGTCTCTTGCGCTCCTTCCTCACATAAACAGGAGGCAGCTTAGCTTCTGGGATGGGTGTGGTCTCATACATGAGACACATAACCGAGTCAATGTAGATGTCATTGTCATCCTGAGGAGGTGTGGGTGGTGTCCAGAGCTGCACAGAGAAAGCAGGTTCTGTAAATTACCAAGCGATGGGAAGGTTGGCCTTTGCTCAGGCATTCAGGGAGAGGGGTCATGTACCGGCATGACTTCTGTCTGTCCATCAGCATCTTCATAGACATATTCCTATGGAACATAAACAAGTTTAAAATATAACAAAGGCTTTACACCTCATGCTACATGCCACAAATCACATATTTTCATCAATATTCAAGCATGATTGTGAATTTAAAAACTGTGTTTTAAAATAGTATGAAAAAAACCTGTGTTTTATTTAAATCCTGAAAATACCATTCACTGAGGATTAAGTCATTATCAGTTAAGACCTCAAAGTGTCAGAACAGCAGTCAGGTGAGAATGGACCTGAGTGCTAGTTTACCATGCTGTAGGCGTCTTCCCGAGTGTAGGTGAGAAGCTCTGCCTCCTCCTGCTCAAGCTGCAACTGGGCCTCCCTTTCCTGCAGGGCTCTAGCATTGCGGAATTCCCAGTCCCTCACTGATGCCATCACCAAATCCTGCTAAGAAAATACAGGGGAAAAGAACTTTCAAGATCAGAGGAGGCAGGTTGCTTCTTCCTAGTACTCAACTCCCCCAGCCACTGTACACACACAGTAGAGTCCTATCTCCCCAAAGGGATGTCTCAGTTCTTACTGATGTACGTGCTCTACCTCTCCACATTTAACCCTGTATCAACTCCAAGCTACTTCAAGTCAAATGCAATGACATCAAAGTGCAAAGCAGGTGCTCCAGCTGCCTGAACAGGGCTTGGGAGACCTCAGTCTCAGTGCGGCCTGCACTGCCAGGGTTTGGCTTCATCCCTTAAATTTCATGGAGTGGAGTCACAGTCACTGCAAATCAAATTCAGCACTGAAATTTTTTACTTTTAATATATTAAACTGACCAAAACTTGATTCTCTTACCTCATTGTTTCTCTCTTTTTCTTGTTCAATGGTCATATGGAACAATTCCAAGTAATTCAATGCATATTTTTCAATTGGTGTAAGCTATTTCAAAGATACATTTTTTAAAAACAGAGTTAGTAGCAATTTAATAAAGATCAATAATATTCCTCATAAAATCCTCTCATGGACATTTAATTTAAAAAGTAACTGTTCTTAGTCACAGCAAATAAAACATATTTTACAAAAGGGTTCAAATGCTGAAATTCTTAGCTTAAAAAAAAAAAATCCCCAAACCTGTTCCATAAAATCAGCCAGCTCCTCCAGCTGGGATGGCTCCTCATCATATCTAGAGCCGTCTGAGTCTGAGGGCACAACTACAGTGCTGGATCCAGGCATGGCTTCCTCTGTAGACCTCTGGGTGTCTTCCTCCAGATACTCAATACTCTTGAGGGCCTAAAGGGAGTGTGCACTGAGACTTGGTTGTGGACTTGGCAAACAAAGGAGTTTGTAATGTTAAAGTAGATACTTGTACTGTAAGCAACCAGTAAGCCTCCAGAGGCACTTCCCTTCTTTTACAATTTTCATACACATGCTCACACATTCCAGTGATAAGAGATATGGATGGATCTAAAACTTTTAAAATTACTATCAAGATAGGTGGAAAAGCTTCATGGAAAAACAAAACAACTGACATGGGTTACAGATGGTAACATGACAAAAGAAACAGGGAAAATGAGGTCATCAATAATTACAGACTCTAAGAATGAGAAGGGACCATGTGGTTTTATCTCACACCTAGTATATGGTACTAACCATAGGGACACAGGGAAAACAAAACAGAGACCTAGTTAGAGTCCAAATAAGTCCATTAAAAACAAAACAAAACAAAAAAACAAAAAAAAAACTGTAGCAAAGGTGCTCAGAACACACAGGACAGCTGACTTTATTAGAATAAGAGGCATGTATATTAAAAAGCTGCCACTGTTCACCTCCTAAGTGCTGGAAGTACATCATGGCTGGGAATGTGAAAAGAGGTGCTCACATGTGAGACAATATAGCTATGCTTTAAAAAAAAAATCATAAACCATGCAACCAGTTCTCACAGTATTTGACAAAACCTGCAGTTTAAAAGATGACCATTGATGTGGGAGTGATTTCTTTCTAATCTGTTGCTTTCATTGGTTAATTAATAAAGAAACTGCCTAGGCCCATTTGATAGGCCAACCCTTAGGTGGGTGGAGTAAACAGAACAGAATGCTGGGAGAAAGAAAGCTGAGTCAAGAGAGTCGCCATGATTCTCCTACCGGACATAGACACAGGTTAAGATCTTCCCTGGTAAGACACCAAGTGGTGTTACAGGGATATTAGAAATGGGTTAGATGGATATGTAAGAGCTAGCCAATAAGAGGCTGGAACTAATGGGCCAGGCAGTGTTTAAAAGAATACAATTTCCGTGTAATTATTTCGGGTATAAAGCTAGCCGTGCGGGCGGCTGGGTGACGGGACACAGCCCCACTGCTCCTACTACAACAGAGTGGCGCCCGACATGATGGTCTAAATCCACTTAAAAACCTGAGAAGGCTTAAAAATAAGGGAGAGAGAGTTTAACACAGATTTTTGCTGTTTGTTGATGGCATGCTGTAGAGAGATTTCCTGATTCAACAACAGCAGCAGAAAAAACACTGCGTCATTTGAAAGCGCAGTTTCTTGGGGCTGTGCCGCCAATGCAAACTCTGGCTTTAAAGCATTTCAATGGCTTTTATGGGACTGGATGTATCTGTTCCCGCTTGGGATCGGAAGGAGAGTGTTCTGAGACCGTGAGCGCTCCCCGCCTGCATCTGGGCAGAATCAGGCTTAGGCAGGCGGAAGAGCATGGCGGATTCCTGCTGCCATACAGAGGCATGTTTTCAGACTGCGCAGTGCTCTGCGTGTCAGATTTGGCTGTAACTTGGATGAAAAGAATTTCTGTGCTGCAGGCTCAGTCTCAGAATTAAAGTGCTGAGTGCCGCTCCCACCTGGCGGCCCCAGAGCTAGCACAAAATGGTATGTCCTCCATTTTGAAATTTTCCTGACTCAGCAGCAGGAAAAAACTGGCTGTTTTAAAATGCTGGCTTTCTGGGTTGTGCCGCCATTGCGATCTCTGTCTGGCTCCTGCGGGAGACAGAGCTTTTGAATAAAAGCACATTTGGAGTAAAGTGCTACGATTTGTTTGATGGCAACTAGACTCGCTGTGTGCCTAAAAGGGGGACATTGCGTGCCGCAGCTCAGAGGCACAAGCAGCTCTGCCATGCTAGTGGTGCAATATGCAAGGATCAGAGGCATGAGCGGCTCCACCATGTTGGACTGGGCAGGGCAAGCAGGCAGTACCTGTTTTTGACCTAGGAATGTCACAGCTTAGATTCTTAAGCGCTTAATGATTTAAAGGCGCAAAACAAAGTGCTCCTGAATAGTAAAAAAAAAAATTACAGATTCACAATAAAACAGATTGTTGGATGAATGTACGTAGGCTTGGGAGAGAAAAAAATATATATAAAAAATAAAGTTAATGTCTTAAAAAAAGGGTAAAGTCTTTAAAGAGACAGAATACAGATAGTTAAGAGATTAAAAAAATAAAGAAAAATAAGCCACGTAAAAATGGAAAATTCACAGAGAGTCTGGATTATATACATTGTGTTTTCTTTAAAATTTTTGACTGTAAAGGAGCTAAATACAGAGAGACATTTCATTACATGGGCTGCCAAGCTAAACCAGAATGGATATAAGGGCATTACGATTTCAAAATTTGGGTCTAAGAATATGATGCTTTGGAGAGGGTCTTCTTTTGTTTTCACAGAGGACCAGACCCTATGGATTAATTCTATCCCCATATGGTATGATAGACCACGACCTCCCGAAAAGTTGCTGTAAACACCCTCAAAAAATTACTTCACTCAACTGCCAACTGAGATAAACCTGGCACACAGGTTACACCCTAAATGATCTGATTAACAGCGCCCCCATTCAGCAGAAAACAGTTTGGAGAGAAAAAACTGCACCCATGTTCCCAAAATATTGTTTATAAATGTTCTATTACATTTAAAGGGGGAAATGATATAGGTATGAATAATTTGCACTGGTATGGATTTTAAGGTCAATTTTATTATATGTATATGTATTTCTTGATCTTGATTAAGGTATTGTGATTGTGTAGTTCATTTAAAAATGTACTGTATAATTAAGAAATATAGGTTGTTAATGGATAATCATCGATAATAGTCAAGTTTGTAATCATGTTACTTAGATTTTCTAGATATATAGAGATATATTTCAGATAGGCATTCTTCATATCTCTCAAAGGCTGCAGAATATGGCATTTAAAATATTTTAATAACTTAGGGTTTTTCATGACAATGAGACACGTCTGCTCCTGGCAATACCAATCTACTTCAAGAGGAAGATGGGCATCGAAGAGGCTCCTTATGGAGTTGGTTAGCCATTTGGGCAAGAAACTGCACTTGCCTGGACTGATGCATAAACTGGACACAGAGAACCCGCAGAGAGAGGACTGCTGAACTTGCCTAAAGGTGAGATGGTCTTTCGGGGTTCCTGATTCATGAAAGAGTTTGCGAGACATTCTGCAGGATACAGAAGAAAGTGACTGAACTGTCTTTGGAATTTCCTGCTTCGTGGAGGTGTGTGCTGGATACTATGGACCTGTAGGCCGAAGATGAATGCCCCAACGGTACAGAGGAACTTTGGGTGACTGTCCAGGCAGCGAGATGTCTCTGTCGTTTCTAGAGTTTGGATTTCTTATTTGCTTAGGTAATATTATATCCTTCTGGAGTCTTTGATGGAGTTGAAGAATGGATAGTTATAGTTTTCCTTAGTTATGATAAAAGATAAAATAGATATAAATATTGTAACTGTAATTCTTGCTTGATAACTGTTTTGCTATATGTAATTTTACTATGTTAAAATGAAAACCTTTTTTATTTAAACAGAAAAAGGGGAAATGATGTGGGAGTGATTTCTTTCTAATCTGTTGCTTTCATTGGTTAATTAATAAAGAAGCTGCCTAGGCCCATTTGATAGGCCAACCCTTAGGTGGGTGGAGTAAACAGAACAGAATGCTGGGAGAAAGAAAGCTGAGTCAAGGCAGTCAACATGATTCTCCCACTCCAGACAGACGCAGGTTAAGATCTTCCCTGGTAAGCCACCTCGTGGGCTACACACATTATTAGAAATGGGCTAGTCCAGGTGCGAGAGTTAGCCGAGAAGAGGCTAGATATAATGGGCCAAGCAGTGTTTAAAAAAATACAGTTTCTGTGTAATTATTTCAGGTATAAAGCTAGCCGTGCAGGTGGCCGGATGGCAGGGACGCAGCCCCGCCGCTCATACTACAACAGACCATACTGCACTAGACCCACAAAAAACATATCCAGAAGACAATAAAGGAAAGCACCATGGTAACCTGGAGAACCTTTGAAGCTGGATACAGAAAGCCCTGATGATGACAACAGATGTAGGAACTGCTGTGGGATAATGACCTTGTATACTGTGAACTCACATTCATATTGGTTTAATAAATGCTGACTGGCCAGTAGCCAGGCAGGAAGTATAGGCAGGGTGATCAGACTAGGAGAATTCTGGAAAGAGGAAAGGCAGAGAGTCAGTCACCAGCCAGGTACAGAGGAGGCAAGATGAGAATGCCTTACTGAGAAAAGGTACCAAGTCATGTGGCTAACATAGATAAAAATTATGGGTTAGTTTAAGTTGTAAGAGCTAGTTAGTATTAAGCCTGAACAACAGGCCAAACAGTTTATAATTAATATAAGTCTCTGTGTATTTTCTTGGGACTGAACGGCTGTGGGACTGCATGGGACAGAAACTTCTGTCTACAAAGAATCTCTGTTTAGCAAGATAAAGAACAATGGTAGGGATGCCCTGAGTCGGTAAGATATGAAGTACACAGAAGTAGAAAAAAGAGAAAAACAAAACAATCTTCAACAAAGGAGAGACAGTAAGATGGTTCAGCAGGTAAAGGTTTGTGCTGCCAAGATTTATGATCTGAGTTCAATCCCCAGAACCCACATGGTGGAAGGGGGAATCTGACTCATGCAAGCTATTCTCTAACCTACACCAACGCCCCCCCACCCACCCACTATAAGTAAAAGAATCAACTGGAGCAGGAAACCAACCAATCCCTTAGCACCTTGACTCTGAACTCAGAGCTGTCCTATTGCGGCTCTAAGTATAGCCTGGCTTCCTGATATGTCAGGATATCTTTGCAGCTCCAGAGTTGTAACACCCACACTCCCCTACACACATACACACACACACTAACGTTAGAAGATAATGGCTGAAGAGATGGTTAAAGAGGACTGAGTTCAGTTCCCAATGCCAATAACTGGGTGGTTCACAACACCTGTAACTGATTCCCTTTCCTGGTCTCTGCAGTCACCTGCACGTTCGTGCACACGCGCGCGCACACACACACCTCTAGGATCCAAAAAACTTGACCAGGCAATTAAAAGAAAATTATCCAGGGGCTGGGGTGAGGTTCAGTGGTACAGGTTTACATGATGCCTCCCTCGGGTTTCATCCCCAGCACTAGGGCAAAGGAAAAGACCTTCATGGGCAGCAAACTCATGAAAAGGTGTACTCAACAGCAAAATACAAAATAAAGCTATCCCATGAGACTATCAGTCTAAGAGCGAGGCCAGGCAGTGCTCAACAGCTGCAGCACTCAGACACCACTGAGCTCTATCCACTAGTCATATATTCAGGATATGCTGGCCAGAGACCCCACTTCAAGGCCTTACATTCAGTAGGAATGCATGTACTTGCTTATATGAGACACTGCAAAAGTATACTTCAAAACAGGTCAGATGAACAATGTAGTGAATTCATAAATATCGCTCTCCAGAATGGAGCCAGATAACATTAAGGCCACGTGAAAAGAGCAGAATTCCATTCATATCCAGCTCAAGATAGGCAAATGCAGTAAGACATCAAAAGAGTAGTCTCTTCTGAAAGAGAGTGGCTAAAGGAAGAAAGAGGGATTTTCTCAGTAGTTTCACTTTTAGGACCAGAAAGTAGTTGGTAAAGACAAGCTATAAGAGCATGAAGTACAGGCCAATAGCAGACCAGGGCGCTGCCACACACCATCATCCATGGCCTTTGCAGAAGAGCAAGTAACAAGACAGTGGTCACCACCCTAGTCCATGTGACAGCTTCCATGGGGAGGACAGTCAAAAAGGGCATGGAGAGCAGGATCTACAGAGGAAGGAACCCCATCCCTTCACTTGAAGCTGTGGTAAAGAAGAGATACTTAGCAAACAGGGGCCAAGTCTTGGAGTAAAGAGAGCCTTGGTCAAGCCAGGAGGGAGGACATTTAAGTATCCCTAACAGGTGTCTGCTATGTTCCTATACAGATGGCCACTGCACAGGACCCATGTGTGCAACTCCAAATCTTCCAGTGCCTGCATTGCAACAGTAATATCCCTCATATGAATTAAAACATTGCACCCTAAAAAGGCACCAACATGAGAAATGCTAAGAGAGACATTCTAGGGCCTCATCTAAGTCTTCACAATCAGCTGTACATTTTTTTTTTTTTTGATTTTTCGAGACAGGGTTTCTCCGTAGCTTTTGGTTCCTGTCCTGGAACTAGCTCTTGTAGACCAGGCTGGCCTCGAACTCACAGAGATCCGCCTGCCTCTGCCTCCCGAGTGCTAGGATTAAAGGCGTGCGCCACCACCGCCCGGCTCAGCTGTACATTTTAAAGAAACAGTAAATTCAACACAGGTGAACACGATTTCTAGTGTTTGGTGGCCACATGGGACTGGTGGTTCTTTGAGTCAGGGGAGTAAGAAATAAGACAGCTCAACACAAAAAATCAAATATTGCTCAGAAAGTCCTGATGGAAAGAAAGAAGACAGTGGCTGGCATCTTCTCTATTCCCTTGATATTTCTTTACAGTTGAGACAGAGGAGGAAGGAAGGCAGAAAGGCTGCAGGATCAAGGGTGGGGAGAATCAAGTAAGAGTAAGTACGGAGAACTCAGAAGATATGACCATATTGTGAAAGCACACATAGTCAAGACTCAAACAGACCATTCATTGTTAAACAAGTCTTACGGAGGAACATCTATCTCCTCACCTCTATGAAAGGTCTTGCAATCTTGGGTGCAATGGTTTCACTGACAGATGGTTCCTGAGAAAGCACCACAAATTCTTCAGCTTTCACAGGAAAACCAGCATCATCCATGGGCGAGTAAACTTCAAACAGCTCCTGGATAGTTCGCTGAACACAAGCAATGAGCACAATCACTTCTAGGACAGACCCACTCCTGTACCTGACCTGAGCCTTGGGCAGCATAAAGCCCACCAGAGAATCATTCCTCATTAGTGAAGTGAAATCAAAATAAAACAATTCTGTTCACTGTGGCATTCTTCACTGAGTAAAGTAGGGAGGTGAGACAGGGTTCCCCTGTGTAGACCAGGCTGATTTTAAAAGTCTCAGCCTCCTGCCTCAGCCTCCTAAGTGTTGAGCTACAGTCCTGCACTACCATGACCAGTTAGTTATTGCGGATTCCTAACAAATGAGAGCTACCTGCGTTAAGAATGCCATGGAGTAGTCATTTCCCTGAGCAGCCACTTCACGGATCAAATCTTTAGTTCCATTTTTCAACAATTTCTCTTCAATAGAATTGCCACTGACAAGCCTACAAAAGAAAAGAGGGAAAAAATGTGTATGTATACGTGTACAGATGAAACAACAGTTAAGTCACCTAGAAACATGCCAATACCAGGTACAGGCGTCCAGATGGTAAGCAGAGAAGCAAGAGATGTCTCACATGCTAATCAAGACCTATTAAGTCAGTGTCTGTCAAACTCTCTCCAATTTCAACTCTAATGAGCTCTGAAGTCTGTGGTGCATCCCTCTGCTCGCCAATGTTTCTCCCACCATATCCAACCTAGACATGTCTCACTGAGTCCTGCACTCATCCCCACTGTCTATCCTCTGACACAAGCAGAATGATTCTGACTTCCCAGTGAGAGACTATTTTTTTAAAATGTTCTGAATCTTTTTTTAAAAAAATATTTATTTATTTATTTATACAATTTTCTGTCTGTGTGTATGTCTGCAGGCCAGAAGAGGGCACCAGACCTCATTACAGATGGTTGTGAACCACCATGTGGTTGCCGGGTATTGAACTCAGGACCTTTGGAAGGGCAGGCAACGCTCTTAACCCCTGAGCCATCTCTCTAGCCCCTGTCTCCTACAAATTGCTAGGTCAACAGAGTGCTGTGGGTGTTGTCCCCACTTAACAAACAATGGAATAGTCTCAGGGTAGTACCCCAAGCAGGCCCTATCATCCAGTCTATTCCCTCCCCCTCCTCCCTCTCATTCTTCGAGACAGGGCTTCTCTGTAGCTTTGGAGCCTGTCTTGGAACTCACTCAGTAAACCAGGCTGGCCTTGAACTCACAGACTGCCTCTCCCTCTGGGATTAAAGGCATGCACCACCACTACCACCCGGCTTGCTTGCTTGCCTTCTTTTCTTTCTGTCTGTCTTTCTTTCTTCCTTTCTTCTTTTTTTTTGGTTCAGTCTATTATATTCTAATTCACTGCTTTGTTTTAAAACATAGTTTTTAAGCATTTTTTATATGTGGGTATTCTGCCTGTATATCATTTGCATGCCTGGTGCCCGTGAAGGCCAGAGAGTGGCACTATAGCACTGGATTCACTGAGACTGGAGTCACAGACAGTTGGTGAGCTACTATGTGGGTGCTAGGGCCTCTGAAGAGCAGCCATCTCTCCAATTCTGCTTACATGCTTTTAGGATACTAAATGCTAAAAGTCAAGAAAGTTTAAACTACTTTAACAAAAATTTCCACAGGGATAAAAAGAACAAATGAGAATTTTCCAAGAGAAAAAAAAAAACCTCTAAATAGGGAGCATAGAAAAAAGTGACCAATTGAGGCCTGGAGAGATGGCTCAACAATCAAAAGCACCGACTGCTCTTCCAGAGGATCTTGGTTCAATTTCCAGCATCCATATGGCAACCTGTCTGTAACTCCAGTTTCAGGGGCTCCGACACCCATGGCAAAACAGCAGTGCACATAAAATAATAAAATATCTTTAAAAAAAAAAGTCACCTATCAAGAAGCACTGCTGTTTCATCAAAGCAGGTTCAGTATGCACAGTCTGATTATGTATGAGCATGAGGAATGAAAAAGCAGCCAGATGCTAATCCATGAGATTAGCACCAAAACAATTCTATTTCTGCCTACCTTTGGTTTATAAACACACCAACACTCTTCATGCACAAAACAAGATGGTACCACCTTAACACATGTAAAATAGCACATACACTAAGTTAGTTGGGTTTTGTGATAAGGTATCACTGTGTAGCCCAGGCTAGCTTCAAACTCATGATCTTCCTGTCTAAGCCTCCTGAATGCTGGGATTGTTAGTGTGAGCCACCATGTCTAGTATGAGAAACATTTTTTAAAAAAATAACAGAGAGAGAGAGAGAGAGAACATAAGCACACAGGCATGTATGTGCCACAACTCATGTGTGGAAGTCAGAGAAAAACTTGTTATCACAACTGTTATCACTATTGTCAGTAATAGTGACAACTCTCCCTCTACCCTGTAGGTCCTGGAGATTGAGTTCAGGTCATCAGGCCTGGTGGCAAATACTTTAGTCAGTTGAGTTATCACATGGGCCTTGTAAGTGACTTTTTTATAGATATATTGTACAATGTGGTCCTCAAAACAAAATAAGCAGCCATCTTCATCATATCAGCTGTGCCTGCTTGCAAGAAAACACCACTGAGTGGACCTATTGACTGCTGAGGTTCTCTCAGAAAGATGGACTGGGGAAGGGTCACAGGACTCTTATCTTTGTATGTGATTCTGCACTAACTGTGGAGGGGCTAGAGTATAGACCCAGAGAAGATGGCAAGAAGAGATTCTATCTATGCAGCTATACAGAAGTTGCCATTTATTCTAGGGTGCAGCTGCTGCCTTGAGGTTCATTTAAGAAACCACACAAGCTCTGTTAGTAAGCCCAATAAACTAACTGCAATGCTTCCCAAGTTAAGCTTTAGTGGCATCAAACTTAGGCTTGCCTTCAGGACCTTCCTTATAAGGAGGTAGATGGTAAGGAATTTGTGCAATACATGTTTTTATCATTGTCTTTCCAACCCCTTCCTCTAGGCAGCCAATGCAAAGGCTATTTTAGCAAAATGCTTTTAGCCTGGGTATACCTTGACAGGCCTTTGATGTGTATAGCATGAAGTAAATCCTGTCAGCTTTGCTAAGAAGCATGAAGAAGGTCCCTGTGAATATGCTTTCCTTTTGTCTGCAACGGGTGTATGGCTATACCCTAATGAGTATTCCCCATTCTTGCTGCAATGAACAACCTTACGCTATGGGGTAGTCAGGATAAAGGACACAGCATTTTAATTTCAACAAGTCTTCTCATGCTGCTTTAGAAGAGTGAGGCCCTCCCTGTGCCCCATGGACATGGCAGCTTCCATTAGTAGACTCAGCTTCTCTTTGATATGCTGCCTGTCTGCAGGCCTGGAGAGACATTTCATACTGAACCACAGTATCATGCTGCCCCACAGTGAACTGCATCGTTTTCAGTCTGTGACTCTTGGAATTGACTATTCATACTCCTAGACCCTCTCTAGTTCCACTTTTAAATAAAACTGACCTGGCCTTTGCCTTAAGAACTGAAAGCCATTTCCTTAAATCTATCATTTACCTGTTTATTATAGTTTTCTTTCTTTTTTTTCTTTAAGATTTATTTATCTATTATGTACATAGTGTTCTGCCTGCATATATTCCTGCAAGCCAAAAGAGGGCGCCAGATCTCATTACAGATTGTTGTGAGCCACCATGTAACTGCTGGGAATTGAACTCAGGACCTGTAGAAGGGCGGCCAGTGCTCTTAACCTCTGAGCCATCTCTCCAGTCCTTATTATATTTTTCTCCAATACTCAACCTAGAGCCCATTCCTTTTGCCTATCTAGACTATGCTGTGTTCCTAAGCAGAAAACAGTGACCCAGCACCATTCTCTCACTTAGACCAACTAAGTAAAGGGTCCAGCACACTCACACATTAGAATACCAAATAACAACCAGAAATTTAAAAGTAGGCCATGGGCCCTTCAGTCTTCCCAATTAGTTGTAAATGGCCAGTTACAATTTAAATGCTTGAAGATGGACATATCGCAAGTCTTTCAACAGATACTTTGTATTTTATAATTCTTAGAACAACACAAATATAAACTGTGCTCTCCAGTTATTCTAAAAATGATGCAACATGTGAGCAATGAACACCAGTAAGCCAATAACCAGGCCTAAGCCACACAACTGATTACAAATTCAAGTAAATGTCAAGTACAGCGACAAGACAAAATAACAGCACTAAAACATGTCTAAAAGGAAAGTAAACTTTGCAGTTATGTAGGAATTTGTAAAGTTCAACTGCAGCATATTTATTACATCTGGCTCTACTCAATTCCTACACCCAGACCTTGTACAAAGTTCATTATGTGCACTTCTATGAGCTGGCCAAGATTGTCATCACCTGTATATATGGATGTCCTTGCACCTCCCAATTCTATCACACCATTCCTGGGCCTTGGCATCCATAACTGGATTTAGGTCATTGTCATAAAACACCACGGTGTCAGCCTCCACAAGATTTATGCCAGTGGCACGGCTATGGGTAGAGAGAAGGGCACAGAAAATCCGCCTGTCTCTGTTGAAACTCCTCATCAGCTCCTGAGAGGAAACAAAGTACTCAAATAAACATTTCTGGAGAACATTGGAAGACCACTGACACTTTGGATGATCTGTTTTATAACAGTCTCATTTGTCCCATGGATAACATCTTACCCTGGATGCATGCAGTTCCTTCTGTCCATAAGCATCTGCGTGTGATATTTAGACAATATAGGTGTCATATACATAAGATGTCATGCCTTATCTGGTACTTTCTGTCAGCCCAATCTGTAGGCCCCACAAGAAAGCAGAGTCTTGCTAGGGAGGGAGCTGTGCTTTCTCCTCTATCCTCAGGCAATGCCAGGGCACTCTACAGGCAAGAAGCCCCTGGAGTAAGGCTGAGGAAGTACAACAAGATCTCTCTAATCACTTGGGACAATGAATTGTACATAATGAAAACATGAGTACTTTTTTTTCTTAAATTATTTCCATGCCAAAACAGAACTAAAAGTTGACCAATCATCTTCGTTCAAATAACAACCCAATTTTCTATACTATTACCAATAAAACAGGCTCTTTTCTATTTGCATCTAAGCTGTGTAGGAATCTCATATTTGCTATGTAACAAAAAGAGGATAACTCGAGCCTTGTGCAGCACCCTATCTTTTTTGCACTAAGGACTCCTTGTACTCAGGCTTGTATTGAGAAACTTCTGGTTCTAGTTTGTCACATGGAGCTGTGAAGACAATTTGTGGTTCACTGTCAAGGCACAGACCTTCTTGTGTACTCTCTTCGGCTAAATGCTGAGCAGTCACTCTGTTACTGATCACAGCCTATCATGTGCAATTCTACAGTGAACAGTTTTATGTGCCAATCATGCAGTGAGGCATTCTTGCTGTTGTGTGGAAATCTTGGATAGGGACCACTAGATCAAGTGTCTATCTCTCTCTGAGGCTGGCAATCATGCTGCTTTCTAAAGTTATACTAAAGAGGCTCCTACCAGCACTGTCTATTAACCAAATGTTAAAAATGGGCAAATATGGCAAGTAAAACATGGATATACTTTTCAATTCGTATTTCTTTGGAAGTTAGTCTAAAGAGCATTCATATCTTTGCTACATAGCCACCTCTTAAAAGTATGTCAGTACTAACCCAATATGACTACAGATTACCCCTATTTATGTGTTCTGAGACATGCTTGTTTAGCGGGAGGGGGAACAAAACATCAGGAAAAGAGTCAGTTTGAGCAGGGCGGTGGTGGCGCACGCCTTTAATCCCAGCACTCGGGAGGCAGAGGCAGGTGGATCTCTGTGAGTTCGAGGCCAGCCTGGTCTACAAGAGCTAGTTCCAGGACAAGAACCAAAAGCTACGGAGAAACCCTGTCTCGAAAATCCAAAAAAAAAAAAAAAAAAAAAAAAAAAAAAGAGTCAGTTTGGAGCTTAGATATGCTCTAAATGCTAGAAGGGATATGGGACACTGATCTCACAGCTGTAGGAAGTGAGGCTTGAATCCCATGATTCAGGGTCACACCATGCAATCACCATGACAGGAAGATTATTTACCTGCCGTTGTTCACTGTTGGCATTTTCATCAATCCGTACATAGGTGAGATAATGGAAGTTCAAGAACATCTCTAAAATGTCCAGCATAAGAACCATCTGAGATAAAATTAATACTCGACGTCCTTCAGATTTCAGTTTCTGTAGCAGGATTGCTAAAGCTTCTAACTTCCCTAAAAAGAGGAAGAAAGGAAGGAAGGAAGGAAGGAAGGAAGGAAGGAAGGAAGGAAGGGAGTCTGATAATCCAGAATATGAAGTGTATGTCACTTCATAACCCATGACAACAGGGTCTGTCATACCTGAGTCGAACTGTACCAGCCTCAGCTCTGGGAACTGCAATGAGCGCAGTGCTGTCAGCTGCTGCAGCTGCCGGTGGTAGGGGCGGGTATGTTCTCTCAGGCACTGCCTCAGAGCTCGCAACCTGCTGCTATACAGTGACGGTGGCCTCGCCACCCACAGGGAGGGTGGCGTAGCCACTACTGGAGGAATCACACAGGCTACCCTGAGGAGCAGAAATCATGTGTGGTTATTATGTGCCAACCCTGTAGCCTCTGGCAGCAGCAGTGAGGCTTCTGGCCAAGGACAGAACCCTCTGACAGTGTGTATTGCCAGACAAAAGAAGTCTAAGCTCCTGATTCTATCACTACAAGGTAGCATAATCTTTCATATTTAAATGACACCACTCCAAGAAACTTCCATCAGGACAGATCTAAATGATTTGGGTCTCTTGGGACAAAAGTAAATTGTCTCTGGATGCAAACCTTCTAAATGCTGCAGGTACATGTAACTGAGAGGGGCCAGACTCAGAATATGCTGCAAATAGACAGAACAGCAGTGCCATGGCCAACTTGACACTACCCGCTAAACTCCAGTCAGCTACACCAGAAAACCTTCCCCTGGGCATTAGCCAAAACTCAGTTTTAAATTTTATTTATTTACTTACTTTTAATATTTTTTTATTTTATTTAGATGGGGTAAAATAACTCTGGCTGGCCTAGAGCTCCCTCTGTCTCTCAAGCGCTGGAATTACAGGTGTGCACTATCATGCCCAGCTACTTTTATTTTTAGTTATGTTTATACATATGTGTCTATGTATGGGTTTGTACATATGCATGCAGTGCCTTTAGAGACCAGAAGACGTCAGATCTCCTGGAACTTGAAGCACTTGTGAACTCCTTAACATGGGGGCTAGGAACCAAACTGAGTCCTCTATAGAAGTAATATGGGCTCTTAACTTCTTAAATTGTCTCTCCAGTCCCTGAAGCTGGGTCCCAAGTACATTTCCACTGAAGTGGTCCTCTGTGATGTATAAAGACAACCAGCATTTTAAAGATAAACAAAGGCATGAGAACAAATGGCTGCAAATCTAGCACACAACCTGGGAAGCCCTGAAATAGGAAGGGTTCCCTGCCCTTTCCTTCACTAATTCATTGATCTGAGACCTGAAAGGCAGGCTCTGAACACTGAACTCAGGCACTGGGTAACAGGGCCTTCCTTTGGACAGGGATTAACAACATAGCTCAGTCAAAGAAAATGAGCCAGAAGTTGAGCCTGGAGAGCAGGGCCAGGGCATACAGAAACTCGTATAGAGGGTCAATAGTCTAAACAGAAGCAGAAATATCAAGGCCTAGCAGGAATAGTGTGATGACAGTGGCACCCAGCCCACTAGCACTGGTCTACTAACTTGTTCTGAATTCTGTTCTTCAATGTCCCCAAGTAGCATATGGCTAGTTTTCTAAAAGAGCTAGCTAATAGCCCAATAACCAGGTTCTCTTGTCCCAAAGACAGAGATCCAAAACCATTTCAAACCCCCAAGAAACTCAAAAGGACAACTTGGGGGAAAGCAATAGAAATAAGAACATTAAAAATATATAAAATTTAAAAAAGTCCAAAGAATGAAGTACTACAGGATGTGGTGACTCACACCAGCACTTGAGAGGAGGAGGCAGGAGCATCAGCAGTTCAAGGAAAGTCTAGGCCAGTTACATGGAACTGGAAGCCAACCTGTGCTACCTGAGAACCAAAATTAAAAGAAGAAAATTGCTTATGTGTAGCAGAGTAAAAGAACAAAAAAATAAAGGATAAAAAATATTTACCTGCATACACTAACTCACCTGTCAAGAACATCTTGAAGAGATTCTTGACATTGATCCAATATCACAACCAGATCACCTTTACTTTTTGAGGGTGACATGTAACAGTTTGCTACTCTGGCACCTGTCCCAAGGTTGCTATCTAAAGACCAGCACAAAAGCCTCTTCCTTCTAGCAGGCAGGGAACAAATCCTCAGCAAGTCTCTGCCATACACTGGAGCTTGGGAACAGCGCCGCTCATTGACAAAATGCATGTGATCCAAGCGTTCCTTCAAAAGTCTGCTTTTTTCCTCCTTGATCACATCAGAAAAAAAAATGACAAAAGAAAAGTTACTTGAGAAACAACCAGACAAAATCATTTCACTAAACACTTTGGGAACTATTATGCACACATTCATTTCAACATCCATGGCCTACTTCTATGGACTACAAGCAGAAAAAAATAAAGAGGCAGAGAGCTTTCTCTCTCCTCCTCCCAAGATAGTTAACATTTATAACAGAGGAAAAGACAAGACAAAGGGGATGAAGACCTTGATGTCTGCAATTAAAAGACCCAGGTCAATTTCTTTCATTGGGAATGAGTGTTAAATCAAGGCTCTAATTCAAAGAGCATGTGCATCTTTGAAATTCATTGAAAAGGACCCACGGGAATCTTGGCTGCCACAGAAAAGACCCTGAAACTGCCTGCCTCAACACTGTGCATTTCTCACCATGGCCCTGATCTAAGCCTTACCTGGGTGGGCCCTGCAGCAGGAGAAGCTGGTTTGGAAGCCAGCCCAGGTTCTCCAACAGTCATAGCGCTCACTGCTACTCGACCCGGAACACCAACTACAAATGTAAAAGCAAACAGCTGAAGGGAATGAGTTTAATGCTAGAACACTTGCTTGGAATGCTTGAGGAGCACCATCCCTAACAACCTTACACTCCCTACCCCCAAAAGAAAGAAACAGACAGGAAAACCAATATGTTTTTCATTCAAAAAGGTGGACTGCCAGGCCAAGGTTAGTTCCTGAAATCCCAAGAATATAAAAGGAGCTGGATCTAAGCATCTAGTGCATCAAAGCCACGTCTAGAACTGGAGTGAGGACTGTTCTGAAATAGACAGATCACATACCTGTCCCTGCCCAAGCCAGCCTCATATCCTCCTTTGTCCTACACTGGTGAAAAACTACAGGTCATCAGCAAATAGTGAGTAATAGCTCCTTGCTTGCCCATGAATCAAACCCACCCACCAGTTCTAATATACTGAGCACATCCAGGCAAGGGTTGGGACTTAGAGAAGTGGGCAGAAAAAAGGACAGAAGCTGGAACCCAGCAGCATTTGGGCAACAGCCAGCTAGAGCAGTGTGCAAAGCCTGCACCAAGCACTCTACTCTCAGGGAGCTCTAGGCAAAGTTACTAAACATTTTGTGCATCCTAAGTTTTCTTTGTGTGTGTGTGTGTGTACACATACATACACATACATATATTATATATAGTATATATACATATAATATGAACATATAATATATAATAAAGTTTTATTTTATTAATATACATTATATATAATTATGCATATATATATATATATATATATATATGCCTTAAAAGTATCAGTGTTTTGCCTTCATGTATACTGTGTTCCACATGTGTGGCTGGTGCCTGCAGAGGTCAGAAGAGGGTGACAGATCCCCTGAGTCACAGATGTGAGCCACCATGTGGGTGCAAGGAAACAAACCCAAGTCCGCTGCAAATCAACAAACGCTCTTAACTGATGAACCAACTCTCTGACCTCCACAGTTTTTTATTGGAAACCCTCCACAGTAGGGTTTGGTCATATTCAACTAGTACATTTGGGAGCAAAAGAAATAAGCAAAGCTGATGCCATGACATGTGTGGAAACCGGACTATCACAAATAAGGTTTTGACATACAAGAAGGCCCATGGCCTGAGGTGCATGACTCCTCCCAGTCATTGCAAAGAAAAATCAGAAAGACGTTCTCACCAAGCTCTCCTCCTGTTCAGAATACCCTACCTTGTGGGGTCAAGGGCGCGGGGGTAGGGCCACTGGTTGGGGGCTTGCTTCCCAGGGCGCCATGCACAGCGCCTGCCTGAGACACGGTCTGCATCACCACAGGGCCAGGGGCTCGCAGATAGGGTTGCCCAGGGGCTGACACGATCTGGAGTACACTACCTGCAATCACACGTCCACCAGGAGCATCAGTAACAGGTGTGTACACAGTGACACGCTAGCCACTTCCAAATGGTACAGTATACTGCACACACACATCACATTTACATGAGTAAACATATCCACAGCTCAGTAACTCTGATGAAGGAGGGAAAAGTTTGAAAATCCCAGAGACAGAAAACCAGTTTGCTTTATACCACATCAAAAAAAGACCACTAACCCTGCACATATCCAGGCACAAACCCAATGAGAACCACAGCTGTCCTAAGGCTGTGAAGGTCACAGAAACACTCCCAGACCCATGCAGCTATTGCCAACAGGATGAAAAACTACCAGAAAGAGCCCAGGTGCTCATGATGACTCTGTAACTTTTCTATTATGTTATTACCAAATGTGTGACAAGAAAACCAAATAAACCACCAACTACATTCATAGATAGCCCTGTGGAGATAGGCATTGAAGTGCCATGACAGTCATCCAGCAGAATTCAGGGTAGAGTCTTCTGAAGCTGCTGGGCCGGTGTGCAGGGAGACTAGTACTGCCATAGATCCCTGTGAAATCTTAACCTGAAGGTAAGCAGCCAATCATCACCTGGTGCTGGATGTAGCTAAAGAAGCTGCAACTATTGTTACGTATCACTCAAGATTAATTTTAAGGAACTACTCAAATTTCACTACCTCCATTTCTTTGAAAGCAGTAACTACAGATTCTTAGCACAAGGTATGAGAGCTTTGGATCCCAGAGTTAAAATTAAAACTTGAATCTGGCACAAATCTTGAAGTCTCAGCTATGAGACTGAGGCAGGAGATGGCTTGATCTCAGAAGTCACAGGTCAGTCTGGACAACATAGTAAGAATCCAACTGACAGGTAGATGGGTAGGTAGAACATTTCCCCTACATAAATTGCCAGTCTTTTGGCACACTCATATTAGAAAGCAACAAATATTTCTACTCTGACTTACAAAAGAGAAAACTTTTCAAAGAGAAGATGGTACTGATAAAAACAAACAAACAAAAAGCCAAGAAAAATAAAAAGAGTATCACTTATTTAGAGCACTGCCAAAGTGACTCAATAATGCTATCTCATCGTTCCTTAATAAGCCCTGATGTGAGACTTGTCACCATCACTTCTGGATGAAGAACCTGAAAGTCAGTGGCCAAGTTACCCTGCCACCCAGACAGGTTCTCAAGTGCATATCTCTGTCCTTCTCAACATGAGTATCAGCTGGTTGTCTCTTACCTTGTAACTGTAGAGGCTGGCCTGCTGTTAGCTGCCGCAATTGGCTATGTGACAAGGTAAACTTGTTCCCCTGAAACTGCAGTGTCACAGGTGTCTCTGGCTGGGCAACACGGCTCTGTGGCCCTGCAATGGATGCCAGTTGAGCTATTTTCACTACTTCCCCACCTGTTAAAACACAGAAGAAAAGCTGAACTAACATCACGTGGAGTGAAGTTACTGACCATTATACAGCAATCACTTTCTATATATAATGATTGCCTATACTATGCTCAAGTGTTTTCAAAAAACTAGTTAGGTATTGCTTTCTATCATTTTAAAAAAAAGTTATTTTAAGACAAAAGAAAAATACTATTAAATATCAGACTTTAGTGGTTAATCTACTTAATCACAACTGGTAAGGACTTTTAGTATCAACTCATCAAACTATTAAGGAAACTTTTACTTTTCTCTACAAGTAATAAAAGGAGAAAACCAGTAAATATAAAATATATCAGAGGTCTATTTGTATTAAATTGGAAAATCTTCAGAGGACTTACAAAATTTGAAAAAGTACGTGTCCAGCAAATAAGATCGTATCATCAACATAAAACAACAAATTTTAATTGCACATGCTTCTAAGTCTAGGAAAGCTTAAGTAAGTAAGTCAGATATAAAACTCTTAAGTTTACACTAATTCAATTGAGCTCAGAGAATTTGATATTTCAGAGCAAATGATCAGAAACTTAAAGGTTTTATCCAACAAATGCTATCCAAGTTCAAATGCTCCTCTCCCAAGAAAACCCATGTCAGGGTTAGTATAAAAGTACCATAAGGAGAACAGTTAGTAAAAGACTACCAAACTACCTGAAGATGCCTTGCACACAAAATAACTGTGTACAAGGAAGGGGAAATGAGAATCAGAGATAGATGTACACACAGACACGTAAATCTCCCATCAGCACTCTTAGATAGGTAAAGCCAGTTGAAACACTCATTCCACACACTACATGTAAGGCCTCCCATACTAATGTAACTCTCATTACCTACAGAAACATGAGGTACACGCAGCTTTCTCCTTTCATGTGACTGTCTAGGGCAACCACTCCTCACTGCTGGCCAGAGAAGAGATTCCCAGTCTTTCCTGAGGCTTTTCCCTCCCTTCCCAGTTTTCCAAAAAGGCCTCAATGTGACTCTGCTACATTATAAATAAGAAACATTTTATGATCTATAATACTTTAAGTTGGCATAATTCCCATATAGGCTGGATACTGGTCTATAGAAGATCTGGAAATCTGCCAATCCCATTGCTGGCAGTACAAAATTCTTAGTTAAGAAAAAATTAGTTAACAATTAGCTGTTTTAGTCACTGAATTGTTGAGAAATGTCTCTGTTGAGGAAGAATTCGTGCCAAGTTTAAACTTGGAAACATGTGAGAACCAAAAACTAGCAGTACCTAGACACCTAGAGCTAGTTCATGCAGTCTCACCACTTGTCCCCCAGTGGACCCCGGCACCGCGGGAAGAGAACTAAGGCTAAGGCTAAATGAAGGGGCTAGCCCTGAACACCAGTGCAGCACAGGAGGAGAAGAGTAGAACAGAGCAGGGCCCTGGACAATGACCTCTGGCAAGGCCCCACCATGACAGGCATCACGTGACAGGCATCACGCTCCAGGCCTGGATTGAGGGACAGACAGAGGCAGTGGACAGCAAAGGCTCTTCAGACATCCCGTGTTCCTGACACACTGCTCCAAGGCAGTGAGATCAGACTCTGGACAGTAAGGCCACTTACTGGGCAAGCGGGCCTGTGCCTGCGAGGTAAGCACCAGCCGCTGGGGCGGTGCACTCTGCCCGGCCACCAGCGAGGGGGCCTGGGGCGGGGGCAGGGGTGGGCCTGGGGTGGAGGCCTGGACAGCGGTCTGAGCCCGCAGTTTCGAAGGATGGGCTGGGCCTGTTGCTGTGCTGGAGGTCGAGGTGGGTTGGTGTCGAGGCGCACCGACGGAAGCCTGAGAGTTCTGAAACGGGGCTGCTGCTGCTGCAATCAATAAGGTTGTTTTGTGCAAAGCTGTTAGAGGTTCTTCATAACACGCAGTATTTTACAACCGAATGTTAAGGAAATTACATAAACATTATTTCACAGTTTCTCAAATGAGAAGCCCACTCTTAGGAAACAAAAAAGGAGGAGCTTGTACAGTCCTTGGGTTAAGAGAAACTTAAGGCTCTGTCTGTTGTCAATCACTAAAGCTCCCTGTAAGCTGACAGAACACACAGGGCAAACACCTTGAACTAAACAGGGCTGTCAAATGCTCTCAGCTATTAGGAAGCACGGCAAACACACAGAAGCACCCTCTCTCTGCACTACAGAAACCTTTGCACTGCTGTTTTCAGATGAGGCTAAGACCACTTCTAGGACTTTCCCTGTCCCCTTACCAAGGAAACTAAAACAATAGCACCAAATGCAACAGGAAGATTCAGAACTTTCCTGAACAACCTTGACATACTTTAAGAGAACACTTTGTAGAGGTTGCCCACCTGCTCAGCTAAGGTGAACTTTCTTCTATAGGGAAAACCCAGAACAGAAAACAAATCTCTACAACCAGGCACAGTGTTGCATGCCTGTAAATCCCAGTATTCAGGGGACTGGAAGCAGAGAGATTGTGAATTCTAGACTATCCTGGGCTACATAGTAAGAGCCTGTCTCAAAAAAAAAGAAAGAAGAGAAAAGAAAAAAGGGAGGGAGGGAAGGAGGGAGGGAGGGAGGGAGGGAGGGAGGGAGGGAGGAAGGGAGGGAGGGAGGGAAAGTCTTCAATTCATCAGGATCTGTAGGTGGCACTTTCACAGGCCCTTGGAGGTTTCCAGGCCCTACAGCAGTGGCTATAACACTCAGTAGGCCAGGAACAGGGTGGCAGGAACTTTCCCACAGTCTTCTATAAAAGAGAGCTGATTATGTAAGATACCTTTTGCATCTGGGTTGGCAGAAAAAGTAGCAATCGGTGGCCGTCCTCGAACCTGGCCCTGTGGGGCAGCAGTGGCTGCATTGGCGGTTGCCATCCGAGGTGGATGTGTGCTGGGGAATGCCACGGTACGACCCTCGGGCTTCTGGCCATACTGCACAGGCTGAAATAACCTAGATGCCCATTGGCCCAAGCAGAAGACACAAACATCACCACATCGCAGATAGCATGGGTTCTAGAGGACTGCCCCTAAGAGACCAGCTGGGAAGGCAAGTTAAAGAGGCATAGAGCAGGAACAAGGTAGCTCCAAATAACAGTTGGCAAGAAGCTTGTGTCCAACATGTGGAACCACTGACAAACTCTGGACTCAAAGGTCAACATCTCAATCAGTAATATAAGAATACTGTTTAATCTCAACTATTAGGAATATGTCGAAGTATGTAAAGAGAAAAACACCTCTGGCATATAACATCTAACTACAGTTTAAAGCAACAGCAATCAAATTCTCTACTAGTACATGTGACAAGACAGCTTATGAAATGGACAGAAATAACAGGAGCTGGAAAGGTACACAAAGTGCCCAACTAAGCAGCTGATTCTAGTTTGATCATAGAGGTAAGAGTTCTCTGACCTAGAAAATGGAAGGACAAACAAGAAGCCAGTCATAGAAACCTTTTAACAAAGCCCAGGTAAGTACAAGTAGAAGGCCTTGTCTGTAATGGCTATAGGCTTCCTATATGGGTCTGTCAGGCTTGAGCTGAACTGCTAAGGATGGCAAGCAGATCACAGTCCCAAGGAAGTCTGAAAATGAACTTGAAAATGGGTTTCTGATCTGTACAAATGTCCTCTTTATTTCTAAAATAATAAATATTTTCTTGTTTTCCTTTTTCACCCAGGCACAGGATTTTGCTTCCTTTTCACCACTGGGTTTGGTCTGTTCAGAAGCATTTACATCCTGATTTCATCACTTACCTCTCCCTGCCTCATGACCTCTCTCACTCCAAATCATCATTTATATTGTAGTATCACTTGTAAGAGTCTTACAAGTCTCTTACAAGCCCCATGTCTGCCCTTGTTCTGGCCCATAAACATACTCTATACTCTTCCCAATCAGTCGTCTGACCTTGCCATGACAGACACTGACTAGTCAGACAGCAGACTGTTCTCAGCCCTATCATTTCCCCAAATCCTAAAGTTTACTCTATTAAACATAAACAAGAGAAGTGACTCTCAGGATTTACTGCCTCTATTTGAGTATCTTGTTAATGTAGTTGTGTTCACTGAAACCAGGGACATATGAGACATTCTCAAGAGCACAGCTTTTCTCATCACCACTGACTAAGGTAAGCTAGAGGAAGGGATTGCTTATGGTCCAGGCACTTGATCTTTCAACAAGCAGAACATCCTTGGAATAGTGAACATGACAGATGAACCACATGCTGCTTCTAACCAATCCACGTACCTGCTGGCCTTGAGCTTCATGGCTGCTGGCCGGGCTGTCGGAGGTGGTGAAGCAAAGACTTCCTCCATGAGTTTTCGAGTCACCTTTTTCTTACACAGTAATTCAGCCTCATAGCGAGCAATTTTATTTTCTAGCCCAATGAGATCAAATATAGAAAGATCGGTTTCCTAAGGAGAAATGAAAAAAAAAAAGAAAGAAACATTCTGTAATAGGTGGCAGATGAAAATATCTGACCAAGAGTCAAGACCTGTTACAAGGTAAGAGTCAGTTGAGGAAGCTATTTCACATGGTAAGCCAAGCTGTCTCATGCTTGGGCTAGGTAAGATCACATCTCCTCAGAGGGCCAGATTTCCTTTTCATAATGGGACAACAGCTGTTTTTTCTTTCCCCAGTGTCATATGAACAAAGATATTGAGAGACAACCTGGAACTGCAGAGGAACATATGCAACCACTCATAACCTGAATAGTCTGGAGACAAACAGCAGTCTTCCCCAGGAGGGCAAGCGTAGCTCCATTTGCTGATCAGTGTGTGGAGCAACTCCTGTAAGGCTACTGTAAAGGCTACTCAGTGCTAGACAGAGTGGAACCAATCAGACTGAAGTGGGAGTCCCCTCTGTATGCTGTGATTACCATTAATGAATAAAGAAACTGCTTGGGACCTATAGCAGGGCAGAACTTAGCTAGGCAGGGAAAACTAAACTGAATGCTGGGAGGAAGAAGGCAGAGAGAGGGAGAGGCCATGTAGCCCCACCAGAGACAGACGCCAAAACTTTACCCAGTAAACCACAGCCCCGTGGTGATACACAGATTAATAGAAAGGGCTAAATTAATATGTAAGAGTTAGCCAATAAGAAGCCAACCAGTGATTTAAATAATATAGTTTCTGTGTGATTATTTTGGGGCTGAGCAGCCTAGAACTAACAAGTGGTCCCCCCACAACAAATTGGTGCGCCAATGTGGGTAACTACATCCACATAAAAACCTGAGAAAACCTGGAAAGGAATTCTAGACCCTAAAAAACAAAGTTTAGCCACATTTATTTTCCCAAAAGGGCTTTGCTTGTTGGTGGCATGCTGTGGCTCCTTTAAGAGAGGTTTTCCTGATTCAGTGGTAGCAGAAAAAAGCCACACCATTATGAAATGCAGGCTTTCTGGGCTGTGCTGCCAGCGTGACCTCTGGCTCTTTCAGAAGGCCAAGCATTTAAATGGGGTTTGTGAACAGAGTACTACAACTTGCTTAATGGCAACATAGACTGGCTGTGTACCTAAAAATGGGGCTGTGAGCATGGCTCTCAGAGGTAGCAAACAGCTCCACCATGCTGGGCTGGGTGAAGTAAACAGACAGTGCCGTAATTCCCCTAGTAATGGTGCTGCTTACGTTCATAAGAAGGGTTTAGCATTTTAAGAAACACTTCTGGTAAAAAAGTAATTACAGATACACAATAAAGACAAATTCAGATGAAAAAGACCTCTAAATTAGAAACTAGAAACAGTGTGTTTTTAAAATGTACATAAGCCTGGGAGAGAGAAGAAAAAGAGTATAGAGAGTTATAAAAAGAAGTAAATGGTTGGGCTGGAGAGATGACTCAGAGGTTAAGAGCACTGGCTGATCTTCTGGAGGTCCTGAGTTCAATTCCCAGCAACCACATGGTGGCTCACAACCATCTGTAATGAGATCTGGTGCCCTCTTCTGGCCTGCAGGCATACAAGGAGGCTGAACACTGTGTACACAATAAATAAATAAATCTCTAAAAAAAAAAAAAAAAGTAAATGGTTTATAAAAAAATATAAAAAAGCCTTTAAAGAGACAGAGTACAGTCATAGATTAAAGGAATAAAGATAATAAAATAAATATTAAACTTGCAGAAAAAGTAATAGAGTAATAAAAATAAGCCACATAAAGATGGAATGTACATAGAAGGTCTGGATTATGTATTGTGTTTTCTCTGAATTTTTGACTGTGAAGGAGCTAAGTAATCAAAGTATATACTTTAAACGTCTCTTGTCTTCAAAATTTGGGTCCAAGAATATGTTGCTTTGGAAAAGCGGTTCTCCCTTTGTTTCCACGGAGGATGAGAACCTGTGGAATACTTCCAGACTGGTGTGGTTTGATGCACCAAGATCCCCTGAAAAGTCGCCATGAACACCCCCAAAAATTATTTGGGCAGCAAAAAGCAGGTAGCAGTAAGGAAAGAACTATGTATCCCATATACCCAAATATTGTTTATAAATGTTTGTTTACATTTAAAGGAGGATATGCTATAGAGATTTACACTGGCATGACTCTTGGTTTGTTGATACAAATTTAAGGTCAATTTTGTGTTATATATATACATACACATACATATATATATATTTCTGCTCTTGATTAGAAATATAGGTTAGTAGATAATCATGTATAATAATCAAACTTGTAGTCATGTTAGATTTTCTAGATGTACAGAGATATATTTCAGATGGATAAGCACTCTTCAAACCTTTCAGAGACTACAGAATATGGCATTTAAAATGTTTTAAAATTTAGAACTTTTCATGACAATGAGACACATCTGCTCCTGCTTCAAGAGGAAGATGGGCATCAAAGAGGCTACTCATAGAGTTTGCTAGCCATTTGGGCAAGTAACTGCCCTTGCCTAGACTGCTTGAAGGTATGCTGTGTGAACTAACATGCAGGACCCACAGAAAAATGACTGCTGAAGTTTCCTAAAGGTGAGACAGTCCTTCAGGGTTCCTGCTTCATGACATTCTGCCAGGCATTCTGCAGGACATGAAGAAAGTGACTGACAAACTGTCAATATAGGCAGAACTGTCTTTGAAATTTCCCGCTTCATGGAAAAGTCTGTCACGTTAGAGGCTGAAGATAGATGCCCCAACAATACAGAAGAACTTTGGGTGACTGTTCACACAGCAAGATGTCTCTGTCAATTCTAGAGTTTTGGAAGTTGCTTGCAATGCACTTCCTGTTTGCTTAAATAATATTATATCCTTCTAGAGTCTTTGATGGAGTTGAAGAATTTATAGTTACACTTTCCCTTAGTTGTGATAAAAGATAAAGTAACTATAAATACTGTAACTGTAATTCTTGCTTGATACCTGTTTCGTTATATGTAATTTTACTATGTTAAAGTTAAAACCTTCCTTTTTATTTAAACAGAAAAGGGGAGATGATGTGGGAGTTCCCTCTGTATGCTGTAATTACCATTAATGAATAAAGAAACTGCTTTGAACCTATAGCAGGGCAGAATTTAGCTAGGCGGAGAAAACTAAACTGAATGCTAGGAGGAAGAAAGCAGAGAGAGGGAGAAGCCATGTTGTCCTGCCGGAGAGAGATGCCAATTTTCATAAGCCACAGTCACGTGGCCATACACAGATTAACAGAAATGGGTTAAATAAGTATGTAAGAGTTAGCCAATAAGAAGCTATAGCTAATGGGCCAACCAGTGATTTAAATAATATAGTTTCTGTGTGATTACTTTGGGGCTGAGCAGCTGAGAACTAACAAGATTTATGGTCCTGACAAGAGCAAGTATCCCGCTTTCCGTGGCACCACTAATATGTATTTCTTGGAATTTAAGATAACAAGAAAGCAGCAATACATTGAAGAGGATGAATGACAAACAAAAAGAGGGTCATGGAAACCCTCACATTGCTAGGGCAAATCAAGTGGTTCAGCTGGCAGTTCCTTTTTTTTTAATATTTATTTATTTATTATGTATACAATATTTTCTGCCTGTGTATATGCCTGCAGGCCACAAGAGGGCACCCAACCCCATTACAGATGGTTGTGAGCCACCATGTGGTTGCTGGGAATTGAACTCAGGACCCTTGGAAGAGCAGACAATGTTCTTAACCTCTGAGCCATCTCTCCAGCCCCCAAGCTGGCAGCTCTTTAAAGAAGTAGACGGAAAAGCTATGTAAGCCAGGAGTCCGGCCTGAAGTGGACTCACAAGAACAATGAAATCCAAACTATAGGAATGTTCTCATCAGCAATACTAATAGCAAGAAGTGAAAATTGCCTAATGAAAGAACAAACAAAATGTGGCCTTTCACAACAGAATGCTACCCAGCCCTTAAAGGGAACGGCATCCTGACGTACTGCAATGAGGATGAACCTTGAAAATACTCTAAGTGTGAAAGAATCCAGATAAAATTCTGTGAGCTATGCAAAGCCAGATAAGCCCACAGACAGAAACGAGACAGAAAGAGCTAGGACAGTGGTTCTCAACCTGTGTGCATCCTCAACAACCCTCTCACAGATGTCACCTAAGACCATTGGAAAACACAGATATTTACATTACGATTCATAACAGTAGCAAAATTACAGTTATGAAGTAGCAACAAAAATAATTTTATGGTTGGGGGTCACAACTTGAGACACTGTACATTAGTAAGGTTGAGAGAAGAAGAGTTGGAAAGAAATCAATATAACCATGTGGATTTTATCTAGAAAGTAAGTACTAGAAGTCCTGTGCTACTTTTCTAAATCCCCTCTCTTACCTTCCAGAACTCTCTCTCCAGAACTCTGAGAATTAGAGAGGCTGACCGATACTGCAGAGAGCCTGCTGCATAGGAGGAGCCTGGTACCCGTGGCTCTACCAGCCCAGGATGGTTACAGATCCGCTGTAGCCGTGTCAAAACACTCAAGACACTGACAAAGTGTCCACTCTTCAGAGCTTCCTGGGTCCTGCTCATAGAGAAGAGGCAAGAGTTCAGTGTCAAGGGCAAATGTATGTTCATCGTTCAGTCTCATCATCAGTTACTTCCTTAATTTCAGAAACATAGGAACTAACAAGATTTCCCAAGACAGTGAATTAGTCATATTGCACATTCAAGTCTACATTCCTACACAGGTCTCTACTAATTCACTCCAGAGATCCAGAGACAAAGGGTTAGTACAAGCCAAATCTCAAGGAAGACTGTTCCTTTGTAAAAGGACCATCTTTCAATAATATCACGATCACTTATCCTGAGGAGTAGAAGCACTCAAGGTATGGATTGACATGTAAAAAGAACCAGTTAAGTCAGAAGGTGGGATCAGAATACCCCAGAAAGCACATCCCCTGGTCCTACAAGGAGAGTGCACAGATGAGATGGTAAGCAGGCTTCAAGCCAAGCCCTGCTGTAGTATCAGAGATCCACAAGGCACACCAGGATCAGGGAACTGCAGTATGGAATAAAGCTCTTGAACGAGGAAGGGGGCTCCCAAGTCAGGTAATGAAGAATGGCATCTGGAGAGCTTGAGAGAGGGATGTAGAACCACAGTGAGATGCCTGCAGGCTCCAAACCCAAGCAACTTATCAAAAAGGTGCCTAGAAAGAACTGGGCTCAGGAAGTAGCCTGAGCTCCTCGTGAGAAGTGCCAGTCTTAGTTACTCGGGAACAACTTAGGTATACAACAGAGAACAGTGGGAATCCTGAGAAACATTGCCAAAAGGAAATTTCACAGTAAACCTAACTTGGACAACAGGAAAGCCAGACACAGCCAGCCCTGAGTCCTGTGATAAAAGTCTCTGCACAGTGCTAGGCACAAAACCAGAATAATAAACAAGACAGACTATTCATCTAGCTTAAAAGAATAAATAGAAGTGGAATGTGATATTTTAAAACAGTTGCCAAGTTTGGCTTCGAGTGGGCTAAGACTGGGATCTACTTCCCTGAGTCTAAGAATGATATATGCTTCCAGAGAAAGGGCAGGTGTGTGTGTGTGTGTTGGGGGGGGGGGGAGGGCGTATGTACAGACAGGAGCAGAAATGAAGCTGCCTCAGAAAACCAGAAGCCACAAGAGAACCTGAATGTGTCTGATTTAGTGTTTCTATGCATCTGGACAGTGTAATATAGAAATGAGGGCCCTACCTCAGGTTTTTGTCTGGCCGTCTAAGCACCTAATTGTATCTAGAAACCTGGTTCCCCATTGCAAAAAATGGGACCAAGATGCACAAAGGCTTAACACACTAGCCCTTGAATTGTGGCTCACAGAGGAGGAAGGAAACATGGAAAAGTCTCACTGTTATCCTCTTCAGAGCAGGTGTCACAGAACCAGAAAAAGATCATTTAGACAGCTGTTCTAGATCCAATGCTATGACCTCTGACATTTTCACAAAAGATGACATCACTCCCAAACACAAGCACCTCACTATCCAGCTGGAAAAGTCACATATCAACCTAAATTCCCTGAACAATGATTTGTTAGAACTCCTAATGGAGGGCAATCTAAGTCATTTAAGGATAACTGAGACATATTTCTCCTGCCTGCTGGCACCTGACCTCCAGAGAAGCTCCCCACTTCCCACAAAATTACCTCTCACTAGCTAGAACTAGTGTATCACTAAGGTCAAAAAAAGAAAATGTCAATATCTTGCTGAAACATCAACATGGCCAAGTATTTTCTGCTCAAGTAGCTTACAGTGTTTGGAGGGTTGATACAGTGAGTACTTTGAGCGAGCATTCCCTGCTCCTCTTCAGCATTAGATGATAAGCTGAGTGTCTCATTACTAATTCAGCTTGGCGAAGACTTCCTGGGAAACAGCCTATAAATGAGCAGCCATTCACTTTTATACTCGGTCCCAAGATTTCCAGTAAGCCTTTTAAATATGGTGCAGCAATGCCAAATCATTTCTTGAAGGCATCAAGGAAGCCACAGGCTACTCCAAGAACTTTAGACAGTTATTACTTTTTCGTAGAGACTCACATATACCCTGTGCTCAGCAAACAAAAAGTGGCAGGAGGCTGACCAGGTTCTACGTGTCCATCATGAATGGGCCTTGTGCCCCACTGCCTTCCTGGTACAGCCTACACCCAAAGCTGTCTTGTATGCACTTGCCTTAGCTAAGGCCTCCATCTACAGCTAAGGCAAGTGCATACAAGACAGCTTTGAGTATGCCTTAACCACAGCACCATGTTCCTACCCAGAGTGGGAAACCTGTGAGCCAGGTGAGTGAGACTAGCCTAATGGATATGGACTAGGTCCACAGATGAGACCTATCATATGAGGTCACAGTAAAAACACATGTAGCTCTTCTCAGCTGTTTTGAGTTGAAAGAGTACTATTTAAGTCCTGAAAACTCCAAGTCTAAAATTAAAATCCGTTTGAACTTTATTTCCACAGTTCTTGAATTTGTTTTAGACATAAGACACCAGAGAGCACAAAAGAATCAAAGCAGCCATGGAGAGGATTCAGAGGATAAAAGTTGAGCCCACTAAATGACATTTAGGGCTACCAGGCAAGAGTTGGGAGACGACCTATTCAGGTCACAGGATTCTGTAACATGACATGGAAACTATGCCCTGGTTACCTTCCAGAAAGACCATACTGACCCGGTAGAGCAGTAGCTACTTTTAAAGAGTAAGCTGGTCAACCAGTTGAGTTCACACTGACCACCAAAGCTTATGTAACGAGCAGCAGGCAGCAGAACAGACATCAAGCTACACAAATGGCAGATGTGAAGATAAAACGTATCTAAAGGCAGAATAAGCAAGAATGTTAAGAGGGGATGTTCTGGAGACGGCAGAGCTCCTGGTTGACTCAATTATAGGCATACTCACTGAAGCAACAGGGTGCATCTGCTTTTCATTGCTGAGGGGCAGGTGGGCAAAGCAGCACTTACCTAGGCTGTAGGATGACATCCTCATATAAGGCCTTCTGCCGACTGGAAAGGCGGCACTTCAGAACATGCTCATACTTCCTGGTCAGCTGTTTCTCCACATCTCTCTTTGTTCTCCTCAAAATAAATGGCTGTGTGACCTGAAGAAAATAACAACCATTTTCTCCCCAAATAATGCCATGGTATATTTAGCAGAAGGCAAATATGCTTTAAATGAGTCAGCTGCAGTCACCAAAGCAAACATACCCTGTGTAATCTTATGACCATTTTGTGATAGTAATCCTGGTTTTCCTCATTGGGAGCTTTCAGGGGGAAGCTCAGGTAAGGCCTGGAGATTCCAGGAATGAGAAAGTGTACCATGGTCCAGAGCTCCAGGAAAGTGTTATGCAGAGGCACGTCGATCAGAAGCAGGCGCTGCTGGCTACAAACAAAACGGAACAATGTTTGAACTCTGAAACACACAAGGAGGCTACATAACTCTTCTCCTTGGCAATGTGTGGAGGAAAGTGAAGACAGCAACTATACATATGCCTTCAAGAATGGACAGGCACAGTAGGACACACAGCACTTGGAGAAAGGGGTGGAATCAGAGGCAGGCAGACTTCTAAATACAAAGGCTAGCCTGGTTTACATACAGAGTCCAGGCTAGCCACAACTTTATAGTAAGACCCTGTCTCAAAAGAAAAGGACTGACAAAGGAACTCTGTCTCAGGTCCAACATGCTATGACAAAGAAATTAATTTACTAAATTAATTACTTAATTTACTAAATTACTAATTTACTAAATTAATTAATTACTAAATTAATTTACTAAATTAATTTAGTAATTAATTAATTAACTAAATTAATATATGTATACAATGATTCAAGTTTAAGAATCTTTAGGTAAGAACAAAGAACACTTGGAGATTTGGAAAGGACAGAACACTTGAGTGAGGTCAGACCTCTGCAGCTTGAAGATGGCTTCCCAGTGCCGCTCAGTCATGCCCTTCACCCGCTGCATTTCATCAATGACAAGGCATTTCCAGTGCACCCTTGAGAAAGCAGTGTAGCCCCTGAAGAACTGCTTATAGGACGTGATGCAGATGTGGAAGCTGTTGGGCTCAGTCCACTCCTGCAATACAGAAAGAAGCCCCCTGTCTTCCCTGAAACCATCTGAAGAGCACTGCTGGGCAATCACTCAGACAAGCTACACACATCACCAGCAATCCGACCTATTCTTCATAACAACTACACAAGAAAAAGTTCAAGGCATTCGTATTCTTCTCTGTTCTTCTAGAACCTTTCAATGACAAATTAGGCTGCTTTAAAAGACATAGAAATTTTCACTGGGAAAACAGATTACCATAGACAATTCTGGTTTTTATAGTGTATAATCTAAACAAGGAAGGTAAGAAATGCAGATGTCTACATGGCAACTAACTGCAACAAGATATTTAAAGCAAGTGTAGAATGGAATATGGTCTAATGCATCCCCTCTAAAACTATGGTGAACTGGATTCCCACTGTGGCAATATTAAGAGTTGGACCTTCTCAGTCCCTAAGTATAAGTCAGAGCTTTATGGAAAGGTAGCAAAGATCCAAGTGAAACCATTCTGCATTTCTGCCTTCCCCCAAGTAAGCACACAACAAGAAAAGTGTCATCTTGGATGATGAAAACAAGCCCTTGACAGATGTCAAACCTATCTGAAACTTGGCCTTAAGACTTCCAATCTCTAGAACTTCAAGCAATACATTTCTGCTCTTTATAATTATCTTCTCTGTGGTGTTTTTTGGAGGAGGTTGTTTTGCTTTGTATTTTTAACAGCAGGAGAAAAAGACCAAGACAGATTGTAAAAGAGGAAATGTACCTAAAGACCCACCCTTAATAAATTTTACTTGACGTAGTGTCTTAATCCTGAGCCAAAATTTCAAATAATGGAAACTGATCTATACACACTCACTTGGGTCCTGGCACTATTAAGTATTAGGGGCCAAAGGAAACTTCTATCTGTCACAAATATTCCTGTGAATAATCCACAGAAACTATTAAGAACTCGGGAGAACTCACACACTCCATTAAGCTTGTGAAAATTAGCACAGTCTTGAGGCAGGAAGCACTGCACACTCTCTCCAGACAAGAACTCATTTCTGAACTATTTTCCTTACATTACTGGGAACTGAACTCAGTCCACACATGCCAAGAAAACACTCTACTACCTATGCAGCCCAGAGGGCAAATGGGGCCTAAAGTCTAAGCATCTTTCACCCAGGGAACTGGGTGTCCACCCTGTGTCCTCTATGTTTCTAAGGACTCAAATTCTAGAACCACATATATATCTGGTAGCTTACAAATAAATGTTATTGGGGTTGGAGAGATGGCTCAGAGGTTAAGAACACTGGCTACTTTTCTAGAGATCCTGAGTTCAATTTCCCAGCAACCACATGGTGGCTCACAACCATCTATAATAAGATCTAGTGCCCTCTTCTGGTCTGCAGTGCAGGTGTACAGGCAGGTAGAACACTGTATAGTAAACAAGTAAAAATGAAAAAAAATGTCAGTGATACAAATAATCACATTAAGCAGCATGTAAAGTACTCACATGGCTGAAGCAGGAAGATCGAATGGTTGAAGGCAGCCTGAGCTACATAAGGAGATTCTATGTTAAGAAAAATTAAGATGTCTAGCTTTATTTCAAGCTTAATTATTATTGTGGGACATGTGTGGGACATGTGTGAGATATGTCTGTGTAGGCATGTGTGCACCACAACACACATGTAGGGGTCAGAGGAGAACTTTATGGAGTTGGTTTTCTCTTTAAAACCTTGAGACAGCTTTTAATGATCAAAATTAGGTTGTCAGACTTGTACAGCAAGTTCTTTTATCTGTTGTGCCATCTCTTCAGCCACTGTATATCGTATTTAAAAGATGCTTAGCTAAGGGTGTTCACTGGCACACCTCTTGTCTAGAATATGTGAAACTTGGGCGGATCCCCAGCAATGCAAAATAAACTAAGAGAGAGGGTGGTAGAAGTTGGGTGGCAGTACCTGTCTCTTTGCTTTGAGTTCTCTGTGGCTGCCAACATAAGAAAGAGTTTTGAGGCCAGGACACCAGCGTTTCAACTCAAGTTCCCACTTGAGTATGTTACAACTCCTCATGACAACAAGATGAGGGCCCCAATTACCTATAAAATAAAATAAAAAGATATGTGAGATCCAGGTACCTAAAGCTGAGTTTGATTAGCTTATTAAGTATGTGGCCCATGGGGAAAAGCGAATACCAAGGAAACAAAAACTATCCTCCAGCATAGATACACTGCCCAGAATAGGGGCAGGTGCATCCCTGCTGCACTGTAACAGGGACAGGCTCTCCAGAAACAGTGATGAAAAGAACAGACAAAAAGAAAACCAGGATCCACTGACTATATGAACTTTTATCATGAGCCAGAGAAAAAAACTCTTGTCTGTTCCAGGTGTAGTGGTGCATGCCTTTAATCCCAGCAGAGGCAGGCAGAGTTTTATGAGTTCTAGGTCAGCCAAAACTGGACAGTGTGACCTTATCTTAAGAAACAAACTACTAACAACAAAAAAAGAACTTCTGTCTATGGCAAACAACAATCCAAAACAAGACAGCTCCTGACGTTGGACCTCAGACCCTGATTGAACCTTCCCAGTAGCAAATGACCTGCAATCCAGACAGACTCCTTAGGCACTTCGAGGTAGAGAAATATCCAACGGACCCAGTGATCAAACTTAGTCTGAAAACAGCATTTTACAAGTCAGAAGGTGTAACCCAGAAAACAAACTTCAATTTCTGTGTCATAAATGAAATGAATACAATTAAGGGTCAAAGACAGAAATAGCTGATTTAAAGTAATGCTACACTTCACCTATCTGTGGCCACTGCTGAAGCATCCCTGCTGATTCTGAAAAGAAAGTGTTCAAGAGAAAACCACCATTTCAACAGAAGTTTCAAAGAAAAAAAATCAGAAGTCAATAAACATTTTTGTCCTTTTGGTGGTTAGTGCTAAGGATCAAGGCAGGATCTATCTAAACAACAGGTCAGAGAGACAGCTCTTCCAGAGACCTAAGTTTGATTCCCAGCACATACAATCAGGCCGCTCCAGAAAGATCTAACGCCTCTGGCCTTGATAGGTACCCATACACAAACACACACACCTACACACAGAGACCAACATATACATAATTTAAAAATTAAAATTCAATCTTTAAACTCTAAACATACAACCTTACAAGTAAGGAAACATGACCAAACCCAAAATGGCTTTCTCTAGTAAAACAGGGTTAAAAACCTGGAGTGGGAGAGCACTGCTGTTCTTGCACAGGACCTAGGTTTGGTTCCCAGCACCCACAAGGCAGCTCATAGATGATTTTAACTCCAGTTCCAGGAGAGTCAATGCCTCTTCTGGCCTCTATGGGCACCAGGCATCCATGTGCTATATAGACATTCATATACGTAAAACATATAAAAAATTAGTAATGGGTAGAACTAAGCATGTGGAACACTAGAAAAGCCTTGCCTAGCACACACGAGGCCCTGAATTCAATCCCCAGCATGGAAGGAAGGAAGGAGGGAGGGAGGGAGGGAGGGAGGGAGGGAGGGAGGGAAGGAGGGAAGGAGGGAAGGAGGGAAGGGAGTTAGTTGGAAAGGTAGCTAAGAGGACACGCTGTTCTTGCAGAGAACCAGAGTTCAGTTCCTAGCTCCCATGTCAGGTGGCTCACAACCACCTGCAACTCCAGTTCCAAGGGATCCAACACTCTTTTCTGGTCTTCAAACACAGACAGAGACACATAACAATAAGTCTTTAAGAAGAAAAAAAGGCCCAGGTAATGGTGGCAAACACCTTTAATTCCAGCACTCGGAAGGTAGAAGCAGGAGAATCTCTGTGAGTTCGAGTCTAGTCTAGTCTACAGATTAATTCCAGTAAAGTCTCCTGTCTCGAAAACTTAAAAAAAAAAAAAAAAAAAAAAAAGGGCAGCCGGGCGGTGGAGGCACACACCTTTAATCCAAGCACTTCGGATGCAGAGGCAGGCAGATCTCTGAGTTTGAGGTCTTGAGGTCAGCCTGGTCTACAAACTGAGTTTCAGAACAGCCAAGGATACACAGAAACCCTGTCTCAAAAAGCAAACAAACAAAGAAAAATGGAGGGAGGGAGGGAGGGAGGGAGGGAGGGAGGGAAGATGAAAGGTGAGGGCCAGAGAGATAGATGGCTCAGAGGTTAGGAGCACTGGCTGCTCTTCCAGAGTTCCTGAATTCAATTCCCAATAACCATATGGTGGCTCACAACCATCCACAATGAGATGTGGTGTCCCCTTTGTACACCAGACTCCATATATCCTATCCCTTCTGACATCAGTAGCTGTTAGCAAAGTGGACAAGCCCTCCTAACCTAGGCCTGTAATGACACTATCCTCTGGCTGAAACAGTCACATGTGCACAAAGACTTCCACCCTCCTTCCATATGGACATTTACCACCTTTCCAACCGTACCTATCTACTGCACTATCTCTGAGTGTACCACTGCATTCCAGCCCCACACCCATGGCTCTAGTTCCCTGGTTCCCTCACATACAGTGTGATGGACTTCCTTGTCCTGCCTAAAACTCCTGCAGGTTCACCTACTCATTCCCCTCACAACTAACAATATGAACACTCCTACTTTAGAAAGACAATCACTTCTAACTACATAGTACCATAGTAAAACTCAAAATTTTAGTAACACACAGTTAATCATTGTCTTAAATGTTAACTGTGAAATTCGAGAAATAAAGAATTCATAAATTTTAATTTGCACACCATTCTAAGCATATTCTGAGAAATGGGGCAATCCCTTTGTCTATTCTATCCACACTGTACATGCCACCTGCTCAATAGCACCTGGTAGAAACACTGGTTATTAGATCCAGGGCTTGTTCAAGTGACACTTAGTAACAGTCCTAATGAGGAAGAATAGAGAAGCTGGCACTTTGAGCATGCCAAAAAAGACACTTTTATATGCTTACTTTCAGTTAAGTTCTGAACTTCAAATGAAACATAGTATGGTTCAGGATTTCAGCACCCACGGGGGTATTATCTAATGAACATGTCTCCTGAAGATAGCGTAGACTTGTAAATATAGTAAAACATTTAACACCCTTTCCCCTTAAACAATAAAAAAGGCAGAGTGCTTTTTGTCCCATCTTGAATTAACAATTATATATGTGCATCTACTTTAAAATACATTTAAGCCATGGTGATACCAGCTGGGCATGGTGGTACAAGCCTTTCATACCAGAACTTGAGGCAGAGACAAATGGTGAGGGCACTTGCCACTGAGCCTGTAGACCTGAATTCAATCTCTGGGTCCCACATAGTAGAAGCAGAGAACAGACTCTACAAGCTGTCCTCTGATCTTGACAAATGGCCGCATATAATATGGACATACACATAAAGAAAGAGAGGAGAGGGAGGGAGGATGGATGAATGGACTGATGGATGGACGGACTGTGGGCCTGAGAAGCAGCTTAGCAGTGAAGAGTGAAGAGCTCTTCCAAGGACCTGAATCTGGTTCTCAGTGCCCACATCACATGACTCACAACTACCTCTGCAATGTTCCCATGGGCAACAAAATCCACAGGGCATACATTCACACAGACAAACACACATAGACAAAAAGAAATAAGAATAAAAACTAATTATATAATTAAACTTTTTAATACAAAGGGCAAATAACAATAAAAACCCAATACAAGAATGATAAGTCAGGTCAATTTTTCCTGCAACATGGCAAGGACCTACTCTGAGCAGAAGAGACTGAAAAGGTCTTCTCCCTCAGATCCAACACTCTGCTGGTGGAAAACTGAGAGACTCTTACCTTCATTACAGGCAAGGTGAGCAAAGAAAGCAATGATCTGCACAGTTTTCCCGAGCCCAGCTTCATCAGCTAATATGCCATTGAGATTCTTCCGGTATAGCTTGGCCAACCAGTCAAGTCCTATCTTCTGATAGTCTCGGAGAGCACCATACAGCAAAGATGGAGCACTAAACTTCACCTACAGTGACAGACAGACCAGTTAAGGAATGACTAAGCAATTAGCACACCTTCTCAGAGCCTAAATCTAGAGGCTGTATAACACACCTATACAGTCCCTAATGATTTACAGAACAGAAGAACAGCAATTATCTTTTCTAGCAATTTTCTATGGAGCCTGTTGGGAGGCAGAAAAGATTTCCTCACCGCAGTTGTGACCCGGGCACTGCCCTTAGGGAGGACAGCTTCCGCCACAGCAGTAACTTCTGTGATGTCCTTGGTGTTAGATTTTCCAATGCTCATTCTCTCTGCAGCTTTAAACTGATCCATGATGAAGAGTGAGTCAATGAGAACTGAATCCCTCCGGCTCTCCCTGTCACCAGGACAGTCTTCCACATCTAGAAAAACAATGAAACAGAACTAGAACTGCTGTGGGTTTTAGGAGCCTAAACATAGAAAGAACGGGGTAGAGGGGAGGAACGAACGACAAGAAAGAATACAGAATAATTGATACATTTTTTTTCATTGCAATCCATTTTATACATCCACAATAACATGAATAATTCTTAGGAAACACCACAATCAACTATATCTGGGACTCAAAGCATAATCTGCCCCAACAGCCTGGTGGTCAGGAAATGTCTCTGTTGATTGGGAGCCAATAACATGGACAGACAAGAATCTGAGGTTTAATGATCTCCCTTCTACTACCATCAAAAAGAGGAAAAATTAGAAACATCACACAAGTTTGGAAACAAGGAAGAAGTCTTTGTATCTGACCCTAGGTCTTGCTGCAGAAGGGGACTGTAAAAGGCCCTGAATTCTACAGGAGACCCTCTAACAACTGACACATGTCCTCACATCTTATATCTACCTAATAAAAGCAAAAGAATTAGAATGACTGTCTGGAATGCCTAATAAGTAAAACCAACCACTAAAAGCCTTCAAGTTAATAAGCAAGCACAGCAGAGTCCAGAAAAACAAGACAATGCTTAGGCTCATAAACCACAACACACATCTAGAAAAAATTTTTCTAGATCCTCCACAGTTTACCCAGTGCTCTGGTAAAGATAGCACGTTAATAAGTAAAAACCTCAGAGTTTAAAACTTATTCAATTGGGAAACTGCATATAAAATATACTTCTTTTTTTTCTTGGCTCAAATTCACTTGTTCTTTGTTTACAGTTACAACACAGGTTTTATCCTATCCAAAGCCCAAAGTTCCTGCCATAATTAACATGAACTGAAGAACCTGTCCTTGGGTCCAATACCACCAATTTCTTACATCTTATTTTACATATTTATTTTGGCTTTCATTTTAAACCTGAATTCTTTAACACTAAAAACATACCCTCTTCCCCGCTTGACTCCTCATGATCAGGTTCAGGTTGCGGCCACTGAAAATTTGGCAAAAAGGCACCTTCATACAATTTCATCAAATCAATTAAGGGCAATTCAGCTGGAAAGGATGGCAGAGAGAAACAAGATCATTTTATAACAACTGCCACTTAGCTGTAAAGAAAAAAAAGCACTCAGAAAGGTAGAGCAAAAAGACTGGATAGGTAAAACAGCTGATACAGGCTAGCATGGCTTATCCAAAATGCCTAAAACTAGACATATTCTTATCTCTTGATTTTCTGGATTGGAGACTATCTATAACTTGTCAACTGAGCACACATATGAAAATCTACTATCAAAAATACTCTGAAATCTGAAACTTCAGAACACCATTTCTTTACTACTCAAAAAGTTTTGGATTTGGTCAGGCGGTTCTGGCACACACCTTTAATCCCAGGACTCAGGAGGCAGATCTCTATGAGTTCAAGGTCAGCCTGGTCTATAGAGTTCCAGACAAGACAGGCTCCAAGGCTACACAGAAAAACCCTGTCTTAAAAACCCAGAAAAAAAAAAGTTTTGGATTTTAAAGCATTTTTGAATTCTGGATTTTTAGATTAGGAATTTATAACCTGCAAATTCTAAAAGCACATTTCTTTTCTCTGAAAATAACTTATACAGAGTCTAAATATTTTTTTCAGTTAAATTTATATTAACATTTTTAGATATTTTTTGGTTTTGTTCTGGGTTTTTTGTTGGTTTTTTTTTTGTTTTTTGTTTTTTTTTTGAGACAGGGTTTCTCTTTGTAGCTTTAGAGACTGTCTAAGAACTCACTCTGTAGGCCAGGCTGGCCCCCAACTCACAGATCCACCTGCCTCTGCCTCCTAAGAGATGAAAGGCATGTTTCACCATGACCAGCAACAAATATGATTTTTTTTAATTAAAAGTTTTTTTTTTTAAATCAGACACTATTGAAAGCCATTCTCATGACCAAAGTATAATTTATGTCCCCTGGGGTAGAGAAAAGGCTCAGCAGTTAAGAGTACTTGATGCTTTTCTATACAGAAGCTCAGTTTCTAGTATCTATCTCAGACAGGTCACAATCCATAATTCCAGCTTCAGAAAATTCAATGCCTCTCTGGTCACTTGAACTCATGCACATACTCACAGGCAGACACACATATACACATAATTAAAAATAATGAAAACAAAACAAGAATTTGTATCCAGAATATATAAGTAAGTCAATTAAGAAGAAAACTTAGCAGTCAAATGAGCCAGACATGAGAAAATGCACTTCACTGTCAGCCACCAGGGGGCTCTATCTTTATCACCAGCTCCAAGGCTGATAAAGCATGTAGCTTGGCACAGACATGTATATGCTACATGATTCTGCAAGCTGACCATGTTCCATACCTGAGCCTTTTTAGAGACATATGTGTACAAACACCACAGAACAGAATACCAACAACAGTACTGCTGGAATCAAAGTAACCAAAGACATATTTATGTGTGAAACAGTGTGTAGAGTTAAGGTGTTGACAGCAATATCCAACAATATATCTGAAACTACTGGGCAGAACCACTGGACAGGAATATCAAGCCACACCGTACAAAACCACTGTGAAGGAATTCTGTTTCTGTCTCAACAGTGGCTAGGGAGACTCACAGAGATGGGAGAGGAGAGTTCAGAAAGTGAGCCACAAAAAGTCTTACGTCAGTTGTGATCACCAGAACAGAAGTAATTCAACAGCAGAGATAGGTTTCCTTGAATTTGGCAGCACTATGCTATTGCAAAATATTTGTTCAACTATGCAATGATGTGTTGCATTTGTTTAACTATGTAAAGATGTGCTGCATTTGTTTATGCTGCAGAATATTTACTTAACTATGTAAAGATGTGTTGCTGTTTTACCTTGCCTATGTAAGATTGGTCTAATAAAAAATTGAACAGCCAATAGTGAGGGAGGAGGTATAGGTGGAACTTCCAGGCAGGGAGAGTAAAAAGGAGGAGGAACTTAGGTTGGGGAAAGAAAGAAAAAAAGATGATAGGGAGATGCCAGGCACCAGGCAGACTTTGAAGAAACAGAAGCAGGACATACAGAATGAAAGAAAGGTAAAAAGTTCAATGGCAAAACAGATGAATAGAAACAGGTTCAATTAAGTTAAAAGAGCTAGTGGGACAAGCCTAAACTAAGGCCAAGCATTCATAATTAATAGTAAGTCTCCATGTCTCTATTTGGAAGCGCGCTGGCGGTCCAAAGAAAATGATAACTACACTATGCCCCATGTACTACTGTCATTTGTGTCTGACATTATTTTCAAATGCTCCTGTGTCTATTTAATATTTAATGAAAGTATTTTCAGTAAAGTAGTGACAGCCTACCTTCTTTGGCCAGATGACAAAGTTCTGTGTGGTGGTCAACTAGCCCTTCCTGTGCTTCCTCCTCTTCAATGGTCTCTTCTTCATCTTCCACTAAAATGGTTATCATCAGAGGTCAGGGACATGCAAAAAACCTTACTTAAGTTTTCAGTAACACTAAATATTATTAGGCTTCAAAACTGTATTATAGTTATTAAAGAAACTGAATATAAATTCTTAAAATTTTCAGGCTGATTCCAGAAAACAACTGTTAAACAAGCAACAAACAGGAAATGGTTTCCTTTCACTTCAGCATGTTTCTTCAATATGCAATAGACCTCACACTAGCTCAGAATGCTGGTAAAGTTCCCACCCAGTACAAAGCCCACCGCAGACAAACTACATGCATACTTCCTGGGATGCATGCTTTCTAGGAACTCATCTCTGCCTACTACAAGAAGGGCAACAACCCAGACCAAATGTGTGCCCTCCCTTAGCAATCCTGTGCTTCAAAAGCCATTAACTGAGACCAGCTATTACTTTTCAACCCTAAATTCTCAGAGGTAAGAGGGCTGGCCAGAAGAGCTGAACGTCCTCAGCAGCAGTTCTTTAGGGGCTTCTTCTCATCCGCACTAGTAGATGACCCATCTCTTCCAGAATACGTGTGCATATGTGCACACACACACACATGCACATACTCTGTCTACTATCTGTAGTCCATCCCCAAATTCCTCACTTGTTCACTATAAAACTTCTACCATTCACCAAAGTTGACAAGGCAAAAGATACCACATCTACAGGCCCAGGACACAGCTAGTCCTAGAAATGAACAGCCTGCTGCAACCTTACAAGACAAGCTAGACCTATGTTGGAATTTCATTCTGCCACTTCTCCTGAACTTGCTTAACAAATGAACTGGCTTAGGAGAAAGAATAGTGAAAAGGTGTGGTTGGCCATGCTGACATCACAACTGAGGACAGCCTGTGACAATTTAAGGTGACAACATTGTCAGATATCTATCAAGCAAAGCAGTTCCTAATGAGTCTAATTCCCTAAACTGACCCACTACCTAACAAGGGGATGCCTCCAAATCAGCCAGATAGTCACATTTATAGTCTACAAAGAAAATCATCTAAAATCACTAGACATGGCTAGATGCCACCCCAAAACATCTATTCCTCAATGCTTTCTCAGTCATCACATGTACTGCTAGCTGCACTGATGACTGTGTCCTAGCCTCCCAATATCAGCAGGTAGTCAAGGAGAGAAAGACAAGTACTTAGCCTAAATCCTTCCAAGAGGACCCTTGTTTGGCTGGAGGCACCAGCATTGCTCCTGACCTCTACCTTTCTCCAGCTTCAGTGCCAACAGTCAGAGTTGTGTGGGAGGAGATAAAGAGGGACCATCTCCCAGGAAAATAGCTAAAAGAAGAGACAGAAGACTAGGACAGAGGAACAAATGGGAGAAACAAGAGCACTTTGAAGAATACCAAGTTGCTATGTCAAAGCAGGGCAATGGAACCCAAGCTCCTACTTCTGGTGAGTCACTGTCACTCATTTCTTTATCTTCTGGTGTGAAACAATCCTGACAGCTACCACACTAATAACCTGTTCAAACTCTCCCAAACAAGAATCAACCCCATACTAAAACCTCAAACTGGAAGTTTACACACTGCCAGTCAAGCCAGTTATTGTGCTCCTGAGACCAATGGGACCTCACTCATCTAGCATCTGCTACATACACGGTCATGTGTTTTCTCTAATACCTTATTTCTGCTTCCTTCCTCTATTCTTACAACTGAGAACCAGGCTATCTGTTTGCAAACAAGTCAGAAGCCATGAACACAGGCTGATCTCAAGTCACTCACACTTATTACATCTGTGTTCTACCTTGAACCAAGTGCCAACATTTAAACATGACAGGTACTCCTCCTAAATATCCCAGCCTGGTGACTGTGGTAGGCAGTGAGCATGTCTTCCTTCAAAAGGTACATCTCCACTAATGTACTAAGGTCAGAAAAAGACCTGGCCCTGAATCATCTCTGTGTATCCCTAAGGATCTCCAAATGCACCTAGGTTTCCAGAGATCACAAAATAAGACACCACCAAATTGCTACAGAAACACTCCATATGTCATCTGGAGATACCAAAGGTCACTCTTTTTACTCAAAGACTCCTGGATAAATAAAAAATAAACTTTTAACCCATTTAAAATAATAAGACCATGGTCAAAGTCAGCACAGCTGAAAATATGACAATACAGAATGCACATCCTGCTAGAGATCAAGTCCTAAAGCATCAGGGGAATAGGGAACAGACCTTCATCATCAGTCAAAGATGTGCTAGCTTTTCTTTTCCTTCCAGATAGTCCTAGATCCTGAAACAGAGTAAAAATCACAAATGTGAGATGTAATATCACAGAGTAAGATGTCAAGGTGGAAGTGTCTATTTAACAGATGTCCACTGGACAGCATCAAGGAATTTGCTGGGCAATCATGACATAAACACCAAGGAGAAGGAGTGAGGATATAGATCCTTAATTACTGTATACAACTTCATCCTCTCAAATTCGCAAATTCATATCCCAAGTGAAACTACAGCTATTTTAAGTGCCACTATATTTTTGTTGTTGTTGTTGTTGTGTTTTTCAAAACAGAGTTTCTCTGTGAAGCCTCTGTCCTGGAACTCACTCTGTAGACCAGGCTGGCTTCAAACTCACAGAGATCCGCCTGTCTCTGCCTCCTGAGTGCTGAAATCAAAGGTGTGCACCATCACCACCCAATGCCACTGTATTTTCAAAGTGGACTAATTTCATACCCTACTAACTTCTCTAGGAAATATAACAAGCCCACACTTTGTGTCAGAGAGCAAAAATAACCCTGTACTTACCAGAGCATGTTCTGGTGATGTATCAAATATCTTTAATCTGGACTCTTTCCCTAAAGACACAAAAAATATAGTATTATCACCAAACCTGTGGCAAGATGATGCTTTTTAACTCCCTAAGTACTGTCTACTTATCCGAGCTGAGTCCTATGGCTATCAACAATCAAAGACAGGGAGTACAAATTCCACCACCTCCCCTGCACAGTAAACCCATTCCTTTTAGTAACCCAGAACAACTGTTTTCATCTTGTGGTTCTTTCTTTTCTTCTCTCTCTCCCTTTTTTTTTTTTTAATGTTTTTTTGAGTCAAGGTCTAGCTGAGTTCGGGCTGCCTTCAAATTCACACACCCCTACCTCTACCTGCTAAGCGTTGGGATTCAAATTAGTGCCACTTTGTCTAGCTCTCAGTTTACAATTCTACAACTTTAGTAATGGCCACCTCTCAGTCTGCTCCGTCACCAAAAATATAAAAGGTATGAGGGCTCCTGGAACATCCTAAGGACTAGAGAAGACAGTAAGTGCCACTCGTGTTGGTGTCTCACATGTACCTAAGTATTCAATTACTGGGGGAAAAAAAAAAACTGAGATACAGAAATATCTCAGTAGTGCAAAGGCTAACCCAATTCCCAAAGGGCCCTATGCCTGACAGATAAATCAGTTGGTCTCTTTACCGTCCAGAAACAGGACTTCAATTATGAAAACATTCAGAGTCGACCAACTCTGGGTTACTGACACATAGTGGAAAGAGCAAAGGCGCTGAGATGAAGAACGAAACTGTTGCTGGGCCTGGTGGTGTACACCTTTTCATCCCAGCACTCGGGTGCTAGAGAATAACCTTTCCTCCTGAATTTCAGGCCCACAAGGGCAACAGAGGGAGATCCTACCCTCTCCCCACAACACTCCTTTGTGTATGTGTGTATGTGTGTGCACAAAATAAAACAAGCAGAACAAATGTATGCAAATGGTCTCCTAGCCAATGAACTCTCTAGCCAAAACCAGGAAGGTGAACACAATATAAAAAAATGTGAAGCCTATGTGTACATATCCTATAAGTTAAATGCTAGGCCTTACAAATGTTCTATCTAGACCTCAGAAATCTCTATATCTGAGATTCATTCATTAAGACTAGCTTTAAAAGCTTGGCAAGATGGCTCAAAGGGCAAAAACACCTACCATCAAGCCTGATCATCTAAGTCCAGTCCCCCAAACTCATGATAAAAAACAAACCAAGTCTCACAAATTGTACTTAGACCTCCATAGGCATGTGGTGGCACACATTCACTCATACATATACAAAATGAATATGTAAATCTTTGAAAATATTTTAAAACTATAGGAGGACCAGAAAGATAGGTCAAACCAGTAAATCCCCTTTCTGCCAAGCCTGATGGTCTGAGTTTGATCCTTAGGACCCACATGACAGGAGAGAACCACCTCTAGAAAGTTGATCTCTGACCGTCTCACATGCCATGGTGCACATGTGTCTTCCCCAATCCCACACTAAATAAATAAATGTAATAAAAAAGTTTCAATATCATACCTCTTCTGGAAACTTTCTGTAAATTTAAGGCCTTTTTCCTTTTCTCTTCTAATTCTACTTGTAGTTTTATTTCTACAACCTAAATGTAAAAAAAATATATATATGAGTAAATAAGCAAGTCATTATGGACGTAAACTGTGCAATTCCGCACATAGCACATTAAACTCACACAATACTCGTTCACAATACTTAAGGAAAAAAACTCAGTTTGGTGCTCTCCTCTTTGTTTTGTATCCTAGTCTATTCTGCTCAAATTCTATTAGGCAGTAAAAAAATCTCAGTTCTTAAAAAAGTGTGTAGATGGGAGCAGGTATCCTGAGACACTGCCTTCCACAGCCAAAGCACACCAACAACTACTTGACAGGCCTTCACTATATGTTCATTTCAAAGCTGCCACAGCTGCAAAGGTAAACAAAACAAAGTGGTGAGAACAGGATCATGCTAAACCTTGCAAAAGACTAACAAACACAGAGTGGCAAGTGAGCACAAAGTCTCGGGGTGCACACACATGAATGTTGAAGCTCCTAAGACTCTGTCCCCTGGCACACAGCCTCACAGTTTGGACACATTTGATTTTTTTGGATTCTTGTTTTTACTATAAAAGTTAAAGCCAAAAGCATACATGAGGAATCAAACTGTTTTCTTCTTTCTAGAGATATGACACACGTTTTCTGGTTGGTGACAGTAAACCAAAGATGACAGGTAACCACAAAAACTGTCTACTGCACTGCCCCTCTCCCCAAGCTGAGCTGATTTTCTTTTTAGATCCTACTAATTCCAGCATTTACCTGTTCAATGTTTGACCAAAAACATTCTATTTCACGGGCAGTGGTGGCAGCGATGCGTCTCAGCCTGCTCTGCTCTTCCTTCTGCCCTCTTTCCTCGCCAAGTTTCTTTTCCTCGTGATGACGGGCTACAGTTCTGACAAGCTGGGGAAAAAAGTTCAACAGTTTGTTGTACTCAGGCTGGTAAGATGGGTCAGCAAGTAGAGACACTTGGTACCAAGCTTAACAAGTTGAGATTGGTTCCTCAAGAGCCATGTGAAATGGAAGAGTCAACTCCCAAAAGTTGTTCCCTGACCTCCACATGAATGTGCACACCTATATGAAAAAAATAAAGAGTTGGGGGGGGGACAATAAAAAGAGCTCTATGCTATGCCAAGAGAAAAGGGAAATAAGGGGGGAAAAAAATTAAGACTTCTCAGCCTAGCCTAGCCTAGCAGTAGTGGAGCACATCTTTAATCCCAGCACTCAGAGGCAGAGGCAGGAGGATCACAATTTCAAGACCAGCCTGTTCCACAAAGAGTAACCATACCACAAAAAACAAAGCCACACATAATTCACTGATAGGTGCCCTCCTAGGCTCTTAGGTCTGCTAGATGAAAACATGGCTAAAAGCAAATAAATGCTGTCATTTTTTTACCTGACTTTTCTAGAACTTTATCTTACTATTTACATCTATTTTTCTCACATATGAAACTACATTTCTACTATATGACACTACAACCTTTTTTCCCTGTTTCATGTGATTAATATCTTCACATTCAACAAATACACAACATGCCTAATGGGCCATTGAGTATTTCATTGCATGAATGCAGCTAAATGTTCCTACATATGGAGATTGTTGGGTTGAGATAACTCACATTTTTCCCTAAACAAAAATAATGTTTATTTTCTTATTTTTGAGGTAGGGTTTTGCTGACAAGTTTTTTGGGGGTTTTTGTTTTTTGTTTTTGTTTTTTTAACAGTAGAGTAAGTGTGTGCATATGTAGGTAGGTGCATGTGAGTGTTAATGCTCTAAAATATGGGACACTTCATGAATCTGAGTGTCATTCTCGCACAGGGCCATAATAATCTTCTCTGTATTTTATAATATGTGTTACTGAAGCAAGTAATAATTGTTTATTCTTTTTTTTTTCTTTTTGATTTTTGAGATGGTTTCTCTGTGTAACAGCCCTTTCTGTCCTGGAACTCGCTTTGTAGGCAAGAATGTCTCCAAATCTGCCTTCTGAGTAGTGGGCTTAAAGGTGTACAATAGCCAATAGGCAAGGATTTTTTTTTAATTATTTTTATGTGTATGAATATTTTGCTTGCCTATATATGCAGTGCCTAAAGAGGCAAGAAAACATCAGATCCTCTGGAAATAAATTATAAATAGTTATGAACCACCATGAGGGTGGGTGCTGGGAATCAAATTAGGGTCCTCTGAAAGAGCAACCAGTACTTTTAGTATACCTGAGTTATTGATGTGGGAGTGATTTCTTATTAATAAAGAAACTGCCTAGGCCCATTTGATAGGCCAACCCTTAGGTGGGTGGAGTAAACAGGATACTGGGAGAAAGAAGCTGAGTGAGTCGCCATGATTCTCACTCCCGACACAGCCGCAGGTTAAGATCTTCTCCGGTAAGCCACCTCGTGGGCTACACAGATTATTAGAAATGGGTTAGGTCAATATGAAAGAGCTAGCCAATAGGAGGCTGGAACTAATGGGCCAGGAAGTGTTTAAAAGAATACAATTTCCGGGGCTGGAGAGATGGCTCAGCGGTTAAGAGCACTGACTGCTCTTCCAGAGGACCCGGGTTCGATTCCCAGCACCCACATGGCAGCTCACAACTGTCTGAAAATGCAGTTCCATGAGATCTGACACCTTCACACCAACGAACATAATAAAGTTAAATAAATAAAAAAAAGTTAAAAAAAAAAAAAAAAAAAAGAATACAATTTCCGTGTAATTATTTCGGGGCATAAGCTAGCCATGTGGGCGGCCGGGTGCCGGGGACACAGCCCCGCTGCTCATATTACAACAAGTTATTAGCACTGAAACTGACTTTTTTTTTTTTTTTTTTTTGGTTTTTCAAGACAGGGTTTCTCTGTAGTTTCAGAGCCTGTCCTGGAACTCACTCTTTAGACCAGGCTGGCCTTGAACTCACATAGATCCACCTGCCTCTGCCTCCCTCCCTGGTGCTGAGATTAGAGGCTTACGTCACCACCGCCTTGCTCCTTTTTGTTGTTAAGATGTCTATGTATATACCTTTTTTGTTGTTGTTGTTTTTCGCAGGGTCTCAGATTGGTCTCAAATGTGCTATGAGCCAAAGATGATTTTGAACTTCTTATTCTCCTACCTCCACCCCCCAAGTCTTAGAATTCCAAATTATAAGTGTATACCACCACACCTGTGTTATAAATGCTGGCAATCAAACCCAAGAACTTCAGGTATGTTAGACAAACACTCTGCCAAGTGAACTACATCTCAATCTGAAGATTTCAATTTATTTTAGGAGACAAGGTTTTACTATATAGCTCTGGCTGACCTGAAACTCACAAAATAGATCAGGCTGGCTTTGAAGTCACGGAGTTCTACCTGCCTCTGCCTCCCAAAAACAGGGATTAAGGTTGTGACCTACCATATCTGGCTTAAGATTTTACTGTAAAGAATTTTTTTCATGTGCTTGCATGTTTTCCCTGAATGTATATATGTGTACCTGTGGGTGTCTGTTACCCTCAGAGCCAGAGGAAAGTGTCAGAATCCCTTAAACTTGAGTTATAGATGGTTTGGGTACCCATGTGGATTTGGGAACTGAACCCAAGTCCTCTAAAAGAGCAACAAATGCTCTTAACCACTGAACCATCTCTCCAGGCCAATTTTAGATATCATTCTGTGTTCCCAATGAAAATACTCTATGTACTTGCCTGTATCAGCTCCAAAAAGTAACTCATTCAACACAGAGCACATACCAATAATCACTGTCTACCTCACCTGAGATAGAAAAAGCACTCAACTACAATGAGACCAGGCACTAGTGTCTCACCAATACTCTCATGGCTTCCTTGAAAGCTCTCCTTGAAGCTGGTGTTTGTTTCTCCCTGTCCCAGTGAGAAGGAAGGGTAGATGTAGGCTTAATGTGCAGAGCTGACCCCTCACTAATTAATGCCTATGAATTCTGTGCTGTTCTTCAGCCTACCTACCCTACCCCACCAGCCAGTGCCTCCTGAGTGCTAGGAGTAAGGTCATGTGACACCACCATTTAAGGTATGTGCCTGGCTCACAGCAATTTAAATCTCAACTACTCCAAAAGGCACAAAGCATGTGTCAAACCTACCTTCTTAGCAGCAGCCAACTTCCACCTCCGCTCCTGGGCAAAGTCTGTGGCCATCCACTGCATCTCTTCCAGCAGGTAGTCCCAATGAGATTTAGGGCGTGGAGCTTCTTGAAGCTTTGGCAGCCGCCTTAGGGACCACAAGCCTTCCTTCCTTAAATCTGCTATTCGCTGATGGATCTGGTTTTCCTGTAAGGAACATGGATGTGGGGGGTAAGGGTCAGCATGTAATTAAATGTACTCTGCTAAACCCTACTGTGTCAAGCTCAGGAACTGAAAGAGAGAGACTCAAAGAGGTCACCGTTCAAGGTAAGTGTTCACACAGGTTAAGTGGCTCTAGAAGAATACCATAGAGTCAGATTCTCTCAGACACCATCAAGGAAGCCAAGCAGTAGTGATCCTGCTGTCTCTAAAGAGCAAAATAAAATGGCCCAGATGTAAACTCAGTAGTAAAGCAACAACCTAGCATCCCAAGACCCTGGGTTCAAGCCCCGAGAGCCACCAGAAAAAGAAGAAAAAAGTTAGAATGAAACCAAAAGGACCAATGTTTACACCAAAAAATCAGTGTGTACAAGGGAAACAACAATGCCAGGAATTTGCTTTACAACAACTAGGAAGAAGAAAAATAAATAAATAAATAAAGACTAGCCACAGAGCTAACATCAAACTAGACAAAGAGAAGCACTTAGTTTATGTCAATCAAATATAATGTGTGCTTCTTTAAACTCCTGATAAAACTGAACAAAACAGTCCTCCAAAAAGAACTAAGTACTACGTGCTGGGCATTGCCTCTTGAGGATGTGGCTCCTGCCACTCCTGCCTGACTCCCACCTTCAGCCATGACTGGACAAAAATCAGTCCACCATGGTCAACTTCACCACAAGGCAAAGACGTCCACGAGTCTACTTTGTGCAGAAAAGGCTGCATTATTTAGTCCCAGTCCTGGTTTCTAATGATCATAAACCAAGTACTCAGTTCTAAACTATCACAGCCTTTAAATAATGAAATATATATCACAAACCAGAATACAAGATGAATTCTGGCTATTTTGTATGATGACATAAGTCTTTATTTTGTTCAGTTACTCTCTTAGTCAAGCTGGGAGCAAGATCTCCCAAACCCAGGCTAGCCTAGAAAACAAGAAGATTCTCCCAAACAAATAGGCTCTGTACTTTGCCTGGGCACACTTACCAGTGTTATCTGTTCGGCCAGCTTATCCTGAGAACCATCCTGGGATGAGGTTGCATTCTGAGCAGGACTCTGTGGCTTGTGGGGAGCTGACACTGCTGCCCCTGGAGACCGGGAAGTGATGGGAGACAGAGCCTTGCTGGTAGCAGTAGAGGGTCTGTTCACTGGTGAAGAACGAGCAGACGAGGGTCCAGGGCCTGAGCCACTCACAGGTACAAGGGATGAGGAAGAGGAGGAAGTGGGCAGAGACCGCTGGCAGGGCTGGGCAGAGTCCAGGGAGGGCCTGGTCGATGCCACTGTCTAGTGGGCAGAAGACAAGTGAACCAGGGTCAGGACAAGGCTTCCACAGGTTCAGAGTGCCCAAACGGCAGAGAACTCAGTCAACACAAGCCAGCACAGTCAATGCCTTCCTCTCTATGGCAACACATGCACACAAAATTAATCCTATCACAAACCACAACTTGGAAGCACAGGTTAGATGATGTCCAATAAATTGTTGTACTGCAAAGAACCTAACAAAAGCTCCATTATAAATTGTATATTATCTCAGAGCTCATGGAAGCTTTCTTCTTCTTCGGGTTTTTTCTCTTACTTTTAAAAGGTAATTTAATTTTTTTTCCCTTAAAAAAAAACAACAAAAAACAAAAAACAAAACAAAACCTTGATTATAAAGCCTAAGTATCTTCCTGCTTCAGCCTTCTGAGGGCTGGGGTTACAGATACGCACCATCATATGCAGGTTTTATTCCTTGCATGTTTGGAAGGTGGTGCTGTTTTCTTAATTTCTTGTAATAATTTTGGATCTGATTGGCAAGTTTTATTTTTTTCATTTATGCAGAACTAAAATTTGTATTATATAAGGAAGGAAAGGCAGTTGCTTTGATCATGAAGGCACATCTTTTTTTAAAGATTTATTTTTTTATTATATATGCAATATTCTGCCTGCATGCAACCCTGTGGGCCAGAAGAGGGCACCATTACAGATGATCATTACAGATAGTTATGAGCCACCATGTGGTTGCTGGGAATTGAACTCAGGACCTCTGGAAGAGCAGACAGTGCTCTTATCCTCTGAAGCCCTCTCACCAGAGCCTTGTGTTATATTTTCATGTAACAATATCACTCAAATGTCAAATGAGCTTATTATTTTTATGTATACTATTTAGAGACAAGATCTCAATATTGTAGCTTAAGCTGTCCTTGAACTCTCCATTCTCCTGCCTCAACCTCTGGAGTGCCAGGATTATAGGCCAGTACCACCAAGTCCCAGCTTGGCTTCTTGCATCTTTTTAACAAATCCAAGTATGTCTTTTATTGCAGGAAGGCTAGAGAGATAGGAAACCTTTCTGTACTGTCCAGAAGCCATTCTCACGAAAGGGGCCTCAACCCCAACAAGTCTGTGTGAAGTTCTCCTAGGAGCCCAGAGAGGAGGTCACTTAGAAAGAGGTGAAGGGCAAGGCTAGATTGGCAGGAAGGCCAGTCAGGCCCACAATCCTAAAATGTTAACAATGACTCCCACAGGTGTCTACCTCAGGGGCCCAGAAGTCACAGTAGGTACATACATAAAGAAATAAAGCTTTATTCGAATATAGTCACCTCATAAATTATCTGCAGCTATGTTTTCAGGAACAAAGCTAAGGGACTGACAGAGCAGAATGGCCTGCAAAGCCAAAAGATTCTCCTATGGCCCTTTACAGAAAACAGGGGCTAATCCCAGCCCAACTCATCAGAAACAAGGGTCTCTCCCATCAAACTGAAGATTGATCTGTGGGCCTCAGACAAGTCTACTTAACTTTCTTTTCACTTTTGCAACGGGATCTAAGTTGGCCAAGACAGCCTTGAACATGCAATCATCCTGCCTCAACCTCCCAAGTAGCTGGAATTACAGACCTGTGTTACGAGGTCTAACTAGTAATGAGTTTCTATAGATTTATGGTTTCTTTTTTTTTTTAAGATTTTAAATTATTTGCATGTGTATGTGTCTCTGTGTGGGTATGTATGCACACTTGGGTATAGGGAAGACCCTTAGAAGTCACAAGAGGATGTCAGAACCTCTGGGACTGGTCTTACAAGGGGTCATAAATCACCCAATGTGGATGTTGGGAACTGAACTCAGGCCCTCTGCAAGAGTAGTAGTATGTGCTCTTAGCCTCTGAGTCATCTCTCCAACCCCGGACAGCTTCTTAAAAGCCATTTACCATAGCTGATCCTTTGTTTGTTTGTTTGTTTGCTTTTGTTGTTGTTATTTTTTCCAGACAGGGTTTCTCTGTGTAGCACTGGCTGTCCTAGCTGATCCACTTAACAACAAAGGCAGGAAACAAAGGTAAAAACCACAATGCTGCTCTAAGGGAGGACTGTGGCTGCAAAAGAAGGACGATCACTCTCTAGAGAGCAAAGCCTGGTGTAATGGTGTGCGCCTTTAATCCCAGCATTTAGGAGAGGGAGGCAGGTGAGTTCAAGGCCAGCCTGGTCTACTGAGTTGAGTTCCAGTACAGCCAGGATTGTTGTACAGAGAAACCCTGTCTTGGAGGGGGAAAAAAAGAGAGAGAAAGCCATGGGGACAGAGTCTAGTGGTCCTGGGGGCAATCACCTTCCTTCCCTAACCAAGTGTGTGGGAAGTTTCCATACATGCCTGCCTCAAAGCTCTAGAATGACCCAAGATACTTGCCACTAAGATGATAACATGTCAAGTTTTTAACCTTATGGCTTGAACTTCTCATGAAATGGGAGTAGCAAATTCCACTGCACAAAGTTATTGGATAGAGAAATTACTACCAGTGACATTCCCACCACAGCACATGGTCGTCAGTATAGATTGTTCTTCCTTTTCTGTGTCCATCTGTTTTAAGCCTTTGCTGTAAATCCTAACTGGAACTCAAACTCTTCTGAGAAGCTCCCTTATTAATGAGAGAAGTGACAGCAGAGGGGCCCAGTACTCGCTGTCTCCCATCTATGCGCTAAAGCTGGTGTACCTGCCATGCTGCACAGTCTCAATGGACTTCAGGAGTGGGAGAAAGCACTCACAAACCCACATAGGTGTAAAGTCAGTGAGGAGAAGTGGCATCCTCAACACTAGAACAGGCACAGTGCCATCACACTGGTGGAATTCATCATATTAAAAAAAAAGGAAAAGGAGGCCTCAAAGGAGGAAGCCTAGCTGATGGTGAAGATCATAGCTTCACCCTTGAACAAAGCTGGAGTCAACTCTAAATTATCACTTCATTGATGTCTCTTTGGGTCAATCCCACAATTTTTAAAACTGGTAAAATTGATCACCACATAAGGTTTCCCAGAGGACCAAATGGGATGACAAGTACAACATGCTCCAAATATCATGAGACTTAACAGGTCGAGGCTCCTCTACTAAAAGCAACAATAATAATGATTTTCTATTACTTTAACGATTGTTATACAGAGCCAAATAGAATTAATTTGCAACTGCTACAATAACCAACTGTGCTAAGGAAGGCAAGTAAAGCTGCTTCAAGGAATGTGCTGGTTCAGTGCAGACCATACTACCAAATACCTAAACTGCAGGCCATCTTTGCAGACCGCTTCCTCTTTTCTTCTGCACCTCACTAGTCAAAACAGCCAATGTCCACAGAGTACCTGGGTCTGGGAAGAAAGCTGAGAGGTCTGCATCTGTGCCTTCCCGGTCATCGGAACATGGAGGGTCGGCTGGGCAGGCTGTGGAGAAGGAGCAGCAAGCTGGCTAGGCAGGGGGGCAGGGATGGGGGCATTCAGCTGTGGAGTCTTCACTGAGATTTGGAGCTGAGTTGGAGTTTCCACCATCTGTGACTGCTGTGAAAACTGTAAGGTGGAAGAGAGAGCTGTGGCTGGGACAGTGGCTGGGGGCAGCCTTGCAGGGAGCTGTGGTGGTGGGGTGTGCAAACTGGCGGCATTCTGCACAGGAGGCCCTGTGGAAGGGTCATACTGCTGTTGGCTCTGCTTCTGTCCAGTGAGTTGTGTAGCCTGAGGAGTTGGGGGCATCCCTCCTGCAAAATAAAAAAATAAATAAAAACCCAAAGCAATAATCTCAGTGCACAGCAGCTTCCACCAAGTGACTCACAAGGACTCAGACTGGACATCCTGCTGCTCACATGAGAACTTTTAACACTCAAAATGGTAGTGTCCTAGAGCAGACCTAAGGTCAGAATGAGCACACAAAGAAGGAAAGAATGCACCCAACTATTGCAAGTTAGTACTAAGCAAAACGAGCATCCAATAACCACAGGGCACCTGACAGCAGTAGGAATAAGGACACAGAGATAAAATCACTTGGAAGTACAATGTGGAGATGCGTGACTCCTACTAGAAGGGCAAGAACCTATCGCTAGGGGCTTTCTCATACTGAATTGACTGAGATGCAGAAACACGTCCCCACATGGGAAATTCTATGTCCAGTACAGTCCCTTAACTGCATGGTCCCAATGTGGGCCGGGCTCTAGGTTTTGGGCATTCCCTCATGACAAACTAAGAGTGCTGCTCTACTGCTGGGTCTTACCTTGGACTGTCGGCATTAACTGCTGCAGAGGGACTCCTGCATTCACCCCTGGATGCTGGAAAACTACCCCTGGATGACCCACTTCAAGACGAGGTCTCTTAGACTGCTCTAGAATCATTTTCAAGAAAGGTGTCGTTTCATGTAAAAATAAAACCACAGAAATAGTAGGAAAAAAAACAAATGTAAATGTTTTTATAGTCTTTGAAAAGGGAAGCCCTCCTACGCTATAAGGGACAAGACTGACACAGTTCCATTAAAAATCTGAAAGTACAAAGAAAAGCATCATACAAAGGTCAAAGGACAAGCAACACATGACTGGCAGAGGCTCACTTCATCATTCTCAAAGCACTCACAAGTAACATGAGAAGTTTCAATGACAAGGACAATTGACAGAGAACATCAATGGCAAGCCAGGGACAGGTTCACAAACGGTTAATGAGCAATAAAAGAAAAGCTCCTGTGCACCCTTACTCAGAATCAGACATCCACATCCAAACAAGAGGTGTGACTTCAGCCTCAGGTAGGACTACCAAACATTAAAAGATTTATCAAAATAAGGAAACTGGACAGAGAAAGACAGAAACTGGACATGCCTACTCGCGGGCAGGCTGAGAGCAGCACCACACATCACTCTTCTGGACCTGGCAGCTCCTTCAGATCAGCTACCAAATATATCAAATGAACATTTCAGACTATACGTCAAGTCTCTGCTCATTCTGGCAGAAAATCAAAACAAAACAAAAACCAAAAAAGTATAGTAATAAACATGGAAGACTAGCAAAGAGTGATAAAAATCAGCCATCTGCCAGGCGGTGGTGGTGCATGTCTTAATAATCCCAGCACTTGGTAAGCAAAGGCAGGCAGATCTCTGAGTTTAAAGCCAGCCTGGTCTACAAAGTGAGTTCCAGGACAGCCAGGGCTATACAGGGAAACCGTGTCTCAAAAAAGCCAAAAAAAAAAAAGTCATTTGTCCAAAGCCATGTGTAGTGTGGCACACACCTGTAAACCCAACATTGGAATGCCAGAAGTGGGAGGTTTTCTCCACGTTCAAGGACAGCCTGAGCTACATGAAGAGTTCCAGGCCAGTCAGATCTCATGATAGAGTATCTTTGAAAGAAAAAAAATTCATCCACATAGTGAAACATGGTGAAGATACTGGAAGATTCAGATGCATTGCCTGGGAAAGTGACCTATTAAGGTTACTTTTTTTAAAAGTAACTCTTTGTGTTTACGTCTTAGTTTTTTTCAGAATAACTCAAACATATAAAAATTTTAAGTATACACTGAAGAATGTCTGTGATAATCACAACCTACTGACAGTGACCCCCTGCTGGGACTGCAGAAGAAGCAGGCATCAAGGCAGAGGCAGCTATGTGTCACCTTCCGAACTACCTGTGCCTCTCACATTAAAAAGAGAAAAAAGTGCCAGACAGTGGTGGCACACACTATTAATCCCAGTGCTGGTGAGGCAGGGGCAGGAGGATTTCTATGAATTTTAAGCCAGCCAATGCTACATTGAGAAACCCTGTCTTTAAGAAAAAATTTTGGGGAGAGGGAGAAAAAGGGGCACGGTAATTTAAAAAATAGCTTCCGAAGGTGATTATGCAGTTCCAACAGTGAGTCATACCGGCTGTTTAAGTTTCGGAAAGCAGATGGAATGTGCAGAATTAATGAAGTTTCTAATTCCAATACAAATAAAAACTTATGCAAATATTTTAGCTGATAATAACCAAAAGAAAAATTAACTTAAAAAGTAGAAATTAAGTTCTTTAGAAACATGTGGCAACTAAACCACCACTGCATTGTTGGCCACACCGGGCATACCTGTAGATGGCATCACCTGCTGCCTCTTAAAGGGGTCGGCTTCTGTGGCACTGCCAGCCCCCACCACGAGACTCCCAGTCAGAGCTTGGTGCTAAAAAAATGAAAAGCAGTAAGATTCTTATTGTTATAGCCATCAGAAGAACGACACACACTACACCACCATATCTATTCCAAACACTGACCTCTCTCCCTTTAATAAAGAGGCTGCTACTACCTACCCATCATCTTTAAATACACATATATAATGTATATTAGAAATACTGTAAGATTCTAACTTACCTCTTAGGAGAAAAAAAAAGGACTGGTAAAGACCTATTATTCTGGTTTTAAATGGAATTTCAAATCATCACCAATCTACAAAACTAGTTTTAAGTACTGGCTGACAACAAAAGAGCTGGTCAAGACCTAGGAAACCTTACTTTTAGTTGTGAGGCTACAGCTTGGTTGACCTACATTCATACTACCTGGTCCAATTTCACACCAAAAAAATTAGTAACAAAGGGAAAAATACAGGTGCCTTCCTACTGGGGATCAAACCTAATAAACAACAATCTATCCAGAATCTTCAAGATGATGTTTTTTGATTACCACCCCCATCTCTCTCTCTGTGTATATATAAACAAATATGTAGTCATATATTTTTCATTTGCATATACACATACACAGATGTGTGTCTACATATATATCTATGTATGTGTATATACAAATGAAATATGTTACTTAAATAAGGCTTAAATAAAGCAGAGGAACTCAATCTGTATGAGTTTTATGGTTTTAACTAGGTGCATATGACATTATAGAGAAGGCAGAACTATGAGGACACAAGATAGTCAGTGGTTACAAGGAGTGGGTGGGAGGGATGGGTAGAATGCAGCACATTTTATATGATCATGGCAGTCTAAACCTGTATTTAGCACTGAAACAAGAGGGAGCCCCAGTGTATACTACAAACTCTGGATGACAATAATGTCCACGCAGGAACAGTTAAACAAGTGAACCCCTGTGGGCAATGTCGACAGAAGTCAGGTTACACATGTGGGAAGACAGGGAAAAGGGGATTTAGATCATCTCTGTACCTTATTTCTGTTCTGCTATAAATCAAAAGCTGCCCTAAAATAAATAGTCAAGCTTGGTGTACACATCTTTAATCCTAACAATCACAAGGCAGAGGCAGGTAGATCACTGAGTTGATGCCAGCCTAGTCTACATAGTGAGTTCTAGGCCAGCCAGGGATACACAGTGAGGCCGTGATACACAGTGAGGCCTTATTTAAAAACAATTTTTAGAAGACCTTTAAACTAAGAGGAGAAACTCCTACCTATAACGCCAGCACCCAGGAAGCAGAAGCAAAAGGATCTATCTAAGTTGGAGGCCAGCTAGGGATACATAATGAGACTCTCTCATTAAAAAACAAACAAAACAAAAACAAAAAAAGATAAAAAACTATAAAAGCATAATTTCATGAAAAGCTATTGACATGTCACTTCACAAAAAGAGCAATGAACTGAATCTTGGTCAGCAAAGACTTCTCCATCTGAGCACTACCCCTGCCATCTAAGCACGTCCCTAACAGCAGCACTGCCCAGTAGATAGAGGTTATGGGATTTATCTCTAAAAGATTTGGTTCTTCCAATTTAAACACCAAAGTTACGGGTGCTAATCAAAAGACTATGTGCATGAACTACTGAACTAAGTGCCTCGAGGCCTAGAAAGAGACAGGGTTTGGCCCCTGTAGCCCACACTACAGAATATAGGTTCACCAATAACAGGAGGCACAGTGAACACAGAGGTGCCCTGTTCATATTTAATACAGACAGGCGGAAGAGAGAGAGCAGGAGATCGAGTGTGCTGGCTAGTCTCATGTCAACTTAACATAAGCTAGAGTTATCTGAAAGGAGGGAACCTCAACTAAGAAATGCATCTATAGCCGGGCGGTGGTGGCGCACGCCTTTAATCCCAGCACTCGGGAGGCAGAGGCAGGCGGATCTCTGAGAGTTCGAGGCCAGACTGGTCTACAAGAGCTAGTTCCAGGACAGGCTCCAAAGCCACAGAGAAACCCTGTCTCGAAAAACCAAAAAAAAAAAAGAGCAGTAGTGGTACAGGCCTTTAATCACAGAACCTAAAAGGCAGAAGCAGGCTGATCTCTGAGTTCCAGGACAGCCAGAGCTGTATACAAAGAAACACTGTCTTGAAAAACCAAAAAAGAAAAGAAGAGGAAGAAGAAAGAAAGAAAGGAGGAAGGGAGACAAGCAAGCAAGCCTTTGTAAATCCAGCAGTAACTAAAATTAAAAAAAAAAGATCTAGTAGCTGTAGGGTTTTTTCGTAATTAGTGATTGACAGGGAGGCCCAGCCCACTGTGGGTGATGCCATCCCTGGGCTGGTGATACTGGGTTCTGTAAGAAACCAGGCTAAACAAGTAACGAGTAAGTAACACCTTCCAAGGTCTCTGCAATCAACCCCAGCATCCAGGTTCCTGTTCTGTTAAAAGTTTCTATCCTGACTTCCTTTAGTAATGGGCTACAATGTGGAAGTGTAAGCCAAATAAACCCCTTCCTCCTCAATTTGCTTTTTGGTCATAGTGTTTCATTGAAGCAATAGAAACTCTAACTATGACAAAGAAGGAAGAAATAAAGGAATGATCTGAAAAATCAAAACAATGGCTTCTCTGTGAATGGGATTATAGATAACTTGTAATTCATGTATGTGCACTTTTCTTAGTTTTCCAAATACTGTGAAATAAATGAGTATCACATTTATTCTTTAGTAAAAAGATAAATGGCTGGCATCCAGGAGCGACTAAGTACTCTCTATTAGATGAAACATTCTCCAAATAACCATAGCTCCAGGTGAAACACCAGAACAAAGAAGAGGTAGCAGGTGCTAGAGAAGGAAAAGAAGTCTCGCAAGTTTCCCAAAGTTGGCAGGCGGCATGAAGGTGGTCCCCAAGCTACACTCAGTGGAAGGAGGACAGGGAGAGCAGAGACTGCGGGACATAGGAGTCCTGTTTACCCTGCCTAGGTATGACTGGCAGAGATACTAGGAGTCTGACTGACCACCAACCACATTCAAAAAGGCAGCGTACAAAGGTCAAGATAAGAAACTAAAATTTAGTGCCACCTTTCTTAAAGGAGAGCAAAATGTGCAGCTGCAACGCAGTAGCCAGGAATGGTAGGCTGAGTCCTAACACTCAGGAGAGTGAGGCAGGGGGACTGCAAATACAAGGCCAACCTGAACTGCATGAAGAAACCCTGTCTTGATTTTTTTTGTTTTTCTAGACAAGGTTTCTCTGTGTGGCCTTGGTTATCCTGGAACTTGCTTTGGAGACCTGGCTGAAAACTCTGCTTGTTTTTTTGTTTGTTTTTTTTTTTTTTAAAAAAAAAAAGTCAGGTACACACCTTTAATCCCAGTACTTGGGAGGCAGAGACAAGTGAATCTCAGTGAATTCAATACCAACCTGGTCTACAGAATGAGTTCCAGGACAGCCAGGACTGTTACACAGAGAAACCCTGTCTAAAAAAAAAAAAAAAAAAAAAAAAGCAAAAAAACAAACCACAACAACATTAGCTACGAAGCAGTTAGATGACTCAGCAGGTGACAATGCTTACCACCAAGTCTGATAACCTGAGTTGGATCCCTGATACATACATGGGAGAAAGGGAGAAATCAAGTTCCCTAAGTTGTTCTCTGATCTACGTATTTATGCCATGTACTGTACTCCCACACATACACAATCAGTCAGCCAATAATGTAGCTTACAGAGAATCTAACTCAAAATAATTGCTGCCTACACAAGGAGAAAGAACCTGAAGCTTCTAAAGTCAAATTTCTCTACTTTAAATAAGCAATGAAATGGCTAAATGGCTAGACCACAGCTTCTAAGACTGATGCTGTCACTAAAGGTAGAATGGGGACAAGGAAGAAGAGAGAAACCTTTCTGAGTGCCTTTAAAAACATATCTATTAGTGGAAGAGACTCAATAACCTCTTATCTCTTAATTCAAAGTTTTCTGACACCAGATTTGGTATGGACAACACAAATACAAAGCCTACCTAAGATTTCTTTTCAAAAGTATGTACAGTGGTGCTGGAGGGATGTCTCCATGGTTAAAAGCATTTTCTGTTCTTGTAGAGGACTAGCGTTCAGGTCCCAGCACCTACAAGGTGGCTAACAAGCTCTAGTCCCAGTGATTCCAATGCTCTCTTCTGTTCTCACAAGCACCAGAATTAATACAATACACATACATACATGCAAGTAAAACACTCATGTGTACAAAATAAAAATCTTAAAAAACAAAAAGAGCTAGACTTGGTGGCACAGCCTTTTAAAAATCTCAGCACTGGGGGCTGGAGAGATGGCTCAGTGGTTAAGAGCATTGCCTGCTCTTCCAAAGGTACTGAGTTCAATTCCCAGCAACCACATGGTGGCTCACAACCATCTGTAAAGAGGTCTGGCACTCTCTTCTGGCCTTCAGGCATACAGACAGAATATTGTATACACAATAAATAAATAAATAAATATTTAAAAAAAAATCTCAGCACTTGGGAGGCAGTCTACGAGTCTGAGGCCAACCAGGTTTACACAGTGAGACCTGACTCAAAATAAGGAAAAATAATAATAAAATTCATTTTAAAAAAACTATGTACAATAAAACAGGTTATGATCCCATTTTATGAGAGACAGCTCAGAGGTTAAAAGCACTGGCTGCTCTTCCAAAGGTCCTGAGTTCATTTCCCAACAACCACATCCATTCCAGCTCACAACCATCTGTATTGCCCTCTTCTGGCCTGCAGAAATACATAGAGGCAAAACACTGTGTACATAATAAATAAATAAATCTTTTTTAAAATCCCATTCATGGCTGGGCGATGGTGGCGCACGCCTTTAATCCCAGCACTCGGAAGGCAGAGATTCGCGGATCTCTGTGAGTTCAAGGCCAGCCTGGTCTAGAGCTAGTTCCAGGACAGGAACCAAAAGCTACGGAGAAACCCTGTCTCGAAAAATTCAAATAAATAAATAAATAAATAAATAAATAAAATCCCATTCATGCTTAATAAACTTTCAATTATACACATTAAAACATGAACACATTCA